CCCAAGCTGGCGGTTAAGATCGTGAAGAGCGGTGAGCTCGAGCTTGAGGCCGAGACTGAGGACAAAGGTAGCCGCGATGAGCTCTAGACAGGTGACTGTCTGCGCGATGTTTTCTCTGCTGCTGGTCGGAAGTGGCTGATGATATTGGATATCTTAAGAACTCGACCAAGAGCCGGGTGTCACCGACAAAGCTCCCGATGCTTCCCAGGCCGCCACGCCATCTTACTCCCTGCAGTCGGCCGTGATTCTCTTTGTTCTGGTAGCCGTTGTGTGTATCTGGATCGCCCGTCGGCGAGGCCAGCAGCAACAGCAACAGCAACAGCAAGGGAAAGAACAGTACGATGCATAAGTGATTATTTTTAGATCAATTATACATTACTTTTTGGCTCTTCAGCCCGCCCCTGAACCCCTGGATTTCAATGTCCGATGACTCTCATCATCATAACTTGATAGATCATCCATGAATGTTACTTGGTCACGTAGGTGGTGATATACTTTGGTGGACTGTGGAAAATCATCCAGTCAGATCATTCGCCTCCTGTCTTAGTCAGACATGGCGTCCAGACCGCCCGCGAGCAGCAACTGGCGACTGGAAATTTCTTCAGTGGCGGTAAGGTACCTAATAAGTACTTCTAGTAGGCGGGCCTCTACACTGTAAAGATAGGTTCCTCCGAAGTACCTCCAACAGCCACACAGCGCCCCAAACTCTCCAACTTTTGTTGCCTCCTTCCCACAGACTTCATCCACCCGTTCTCTTTCTCTCTTGATTCAACCCCCCTCCATCATCCTTTTCTCACTACTCTCTCTCTCTCTCTCTCTTTCTCTTCTCTCTAGAGTTCTTAGATTCGGGAGATTTGCATTTTCCATCTTCTCTGAGGTTTTACTGAGCTTTCTTGTTTGCCACTCGATCTTTTTTTTTTCTTATCGAGTTAAAACAGAAAAGCGATTTGATCTTTTCACCGTCTCTCTCTTCTCTCTCTCTCTAAAGGTACACTTTACGTGGATTTCTTCTTCTTTGCAAGTATCTTTTCCAGATCACTTGCGCTTTATCTACGATCAATCTTTTCCGGTGAAGCAGAAAAAAACTGTACGCAGTATCGTTCACCTGCTTTGGTCGATATCGAGCAGCTTCTAACTCTTTCTTTGCAATAGACATTTCCAACAACCGCAAAAATGGCCGACGGTCTGCAAATGGGAAACCTTTCCCTCAACGAATCTCAGCACGCCCCCCAGGGTAACGCCCCTGTTGGCCGTGCTGCCTACATTCCTCCTCACCTTCGCCAGCGTGGTCCCGGTCCTGGTCCCGCCCCCGGTCCCAGTGCCAGCGCCGACGCTCCTCCTCCTGGACCTGGCTTCGGTGGTCCTCGGTACAGTACCCAAATGACTGAACATCATGAAGTGGCGACTGATTTTGTGTCTTCTAGTGACGGTGGTGGCAACTGGGCCAACGCTAACGCTCCCAACTTCAGCCCTCGTGGCCCCGCGAACGGTATGACCAGCTGGAACCCCGACGGAAAACTCCGGCCCTTCAATCCCAATGCTTACGGAAACCCAGGATCTTCTTATGGTGGTGGTGCTAGCAGCGGCAGCGGCGGCTACAGCGGTGGTGGTGGCTCCTCCCAGCAAGCTCGTGGCTCAGGCGACGGCCAGTGGCGCGATGGCAAGCACGTTCCCGGTCCCGCCAATGCTCGCCTGGAGCGCGAGCTGTTCGGAGTGCCCAACGACCCCACTAAGCAGCAGACTGGAATCAACTTCTCCAACTACGATGATATTCCCGTCGAGGCTTCCGGAAATGATGTCCCAGAGCCTGTCACCCAGTTCACTAACCCTCCTCTGGACGACCACTTGATCGCCAACATCAAGCTTGCCAGCTATGTCATTCCTACTCCCGTTCAGAAGTACTCGGTCCCCATCGTCATGAACGGCCGTGATCTTATGGCTTGTGCCCAGACTGGTTCCGGAAAGACCGGTGGTTTCCTTTTCCCTATCCTCTCCCAGGCTTTCCAGAACGGTCCTTCTGCCGCCCCTGTCCAGGGTGGTGGTGGTGGTCAGTTCAGCTACGGCCGCCAGCGCAAGGCTTACCCCACCTCCCTCATTCTTGCTCCCACTCGTGAGCTGGTCTCTCAGATCTTCGAGGAGTCTCGCAAGTTCGCTTACCGCTCGTGGGTTCGCCCCTGTGTCGTGTACGGTGGTGCAGACATCGGCTCTCAGCTTCGTCAGATCGAGCGTGGTTGCGATCTCCTCGTTGCCACCCCCGGTCGTCTGGTTGATCTGATTGAGCGTGGCCGTATCTCCCTGGCTAACATCAAGTACCTTGTTCTTGACGAGGCTGATCGCATGTTGGACATGGGTTTCGAGCCCCAGATTCGCCGCATTGTTGAGGGTGAGGATATGCCCGGTGTTGACGATCGCCAAACACTCATGTTCTCGGCCACCTTCCCCCGCGATATCCAGATGCTTGCTCGTGATTTCCTCAAGGACTACATCTTCTTGTCCGTTGGTCGTGTCGGAAGTACTTCGGAGAACATCACCCAGAAGGTCGAGTATGTCGAGGATGCCGACAAGCGCTCCGTCCTGCTGGACATTCTCCACACCCACGGCAGCACTGGTCTGACTCTTATTTTCGTTGAGACCAAGCGTATGGCCGACTCGCTCTCCGATTTCCTCATTAACCAGCGCTTCCCTGCGACCGCCATTCACGGTGATCGTACCCAGCGCGAGCGTGAGCGTGCTCTGGAGCTCTTCCGCAACGGTCGCTGCCCTATTCTGGTTGCCACTGCCGTTGCTGCCCGTGGTCTCGATATTCCTAACGTGACCCACGTCATCAACTATGATCTCCCAACCGACATTGATGACTACGTTCACCGCATTGGTCGTACTGGTCGTGCCGGTAACACTGGTATCGCCACTGCTTTCTTCAACCGTGGCAACCGTGGTGTTGTTCGTGACTTGCTCGAGCTCCTGAAGGAGGCCCACCAGGAGGTTCCCGCTTTCCTGGAGAGCATTGCCCGCGAAGGTAGCGGATTCAGCAGCGGTCGTGGCCGTGGTGGTGGTGGTGGCCGTGGCCGTGGCGCTACTGCCACTCGTGATGTGCGTCGTGTCCCTGGCGGCATGGGTGGTGGCTTCGGCGGTGCCGGCGGCTACGGTGGCTCTGGTGGTGCTGCTCCCTCCTACGGTGGCGGCTACGGCGGTGCTGCTGCCCCCGCCTACAGTGGTGGTGGTGGTGCTGGCTACGGCGGCGGCGGTGGTAGCTACGGCAACCCCTCCGGCTCCTCCGGCCCATCTTCCTGGTGGTAAATCAGTCGTGGTCTTTTGACGATGCCCTCGGGTCTGATTGGCTCCCTTGCTTTATTTTCTTTTGTCTCTCGTTGACGGATACGATCAGATTGAGTCCCTGAGTTCTTTTCTACTTGTGCTATCTCTCAGGGACGGCTTTGTCATGACTGCACGACTTTCCTATGCTTGTTTAGATTCATATTTTCCACGTTTGCGTTTGTTTTAATCTGGTTACCTTTGTTGTTCCTCTTCATGTCTCTCTTCGCTGATTCTATTCATGGCTTTTCAATATTGCCTTGGTATGGATACGAGGCATTCGCGCAGTCCGGTCTTCTTTTCTTGCTCCTAGGAGACGCCACCTAATCTCTTCGGGCAACCTGTGATCGAAACTGCATGAACATCATAGAATGCGTTGTCTTTTTTTTTCCTATGTCCGCTCTCGTCAGATACCCCTTATGTTCGAGCATCCCCACTGGGGATACGTTCGAGTGACGCGCGTGCGCCGAGCGGAGATTGATGACTTTTCATCATCTCGAAAAGTTCTCTTTTTCTCTTCGCATTCATCTTCTCGGTGTTGTTATGGCCGCATTCATCATATGCAGCATAGACTTTTTACAGCGTCGGTATCTCATGGCGGACATTTGTTTCTGTTGCTGCCCTCGTGCGTTCTGCAGTCGATTTTCTTTCGAAAACAAAAACGTGCGCTTTCTTTCTCCGGGCTTTTTTCGGATACTGGTTATCTTGCCGTTACACTTTACGGCGCGGCTGGTGTTTTTCGAAACCAAAAATGGGTATTCTTTGCATTCTGTATGGCGTTGGCTTAACCTGCAACTACATGTCCTCTGCTTTCGGGTCCGTGGAGGCTGATTGTCTCCGAATAGGAGCACCTCGCTTCATTTCCTTGTCTATTCTAATCATTTTTCTCGGACCTTGGGGGATAGGATGCTGTCGCCGCTGGAAGAATGGGTATACTTATGAATTCTCGGGTTCGAAATGGAAGGAAAAAAACGAACCAACGGCACTGAGATGGCCACGAGAAGGAAAGTCCTCTTATCCAATGCAATTTCGAAAAAGTGCTTCCAATTATCAAGGTCCTGAAGTAGGATTCCAGTAGGATGTAGACAGTCTGGGTGCTCTTAGGTATGGCATTATAAGCAAATCAACCTACATACATACGTAGGAGCCCGGACTTTTCTAAATTTACATTATTATACCGGACGACCTCGGAAATCCGCAACGCTGGAACCTCCTTTTCTTATCAAGTCGAGGTTAAGTTCTGGATTCCCTTTCTAGAAACCACTCATTGTGCCCTTTGGAGTCCCACAGACATGAGCTTTTCCCAACTGCCAAATGAATTGCTTCTTCTGGTGGCTAAGTCTCTTTCCAACCAGAACGACATTTTCGCTCTGGTACGAATCAACTGGAGGCTATATTATCTTTTACACCCATTTCTGTGTCAGTTTAATGCTTAGTATCACCAAGGTTCTGGGCTTCTATCCGCGGCCAGAAATGGAAACTCGTCTCTTATCAAAAGATTCCTACATGTTGGTACTAACATCGCATCCTTTGAGCCACTATGCAACGATGCCTATTTAGGCTACGAGCGCGAAACACAGCGCAATCCGCTTCTCCTAGCTGCTCAAAATGACCATATAGAGACTTTGGAGATATTACTTACCGAGACTCGACCAAGCCGCATGTGTGTGCCGTTATAGCTGCGCACCATGCTACATTGGGCAATTGGCGCTGGCCATCAAGCTATCGTCGAGTTGATAGTCAAAGCCCTGTTAGGTCCTTTAAACCGCTGGGACGACTCTACGGCGTTAGGCGAAGCCGTTGAGAAGGGGTACGAAGCCATTCTCGAATATCTTTTACAGTTAGGGGCGAAGCCACCAAGCAGTTGCTTAGACGACCCGCTTATCATAGCAAATGATCAAACGGGTTCCTCGTTGTTACAACTCCTCAAACTTGGGATTCGCCCGAAATCCGATGTCATCTTGTGTCATGTCGCTCGTAGAAACGATATTGTGTCTCTCCAGCTTTGGGTCGATTTCGGTGTTGAGATAGCTGATGGAGTTCGTCCAGATTATCAAGACCTCCAGCTTGCTCTCAAGCTGAAGTTTTCGGAAGCCGTCGCTATTCTGGAGCATCTATCTTATAAGGAAGTTCCGGAGAAAATGGCCTTCGAAAACTTTGTCCGACAACGAGAGGAGAAGCGGCTTGCGGATCCTGATTTCCAGCCGATGGAATGGGAGCCCTACGTTGGCCTCTGTAGTCCCTATGCTGAGGAGCATGGTCCTGATCCCGAGGAGATTGTTTGTTCAGGTATTCACGACGACGAGATACATCTCGATGATGTTGACTTCAATGTATATCTTGCTGATGCTGGTTATACTACGTATTCTGAAAGATAATGTAATGCTAGAATCCTTACAAAGGGGATTGCCCCGAGGTGGGATCGACTGGACCAGTGCTAAGATGATGCCCAGCCCCTAATGTGACCCTGTAATAGTATGCATCATCCGAGACATTATTTAGAGGTCAACTTCTTTGGTTACTGTTTTAGTGTCTTCCTCTCTCCGCCACCCAATCGGAGTAGCTGCTGATCCCTCCTAATAAGATCGGCTGCTACGCCGTGTGGCTTTGGTCCTATAGTGACTAAGAGCTGTTCACTAAGATTAAAGGAAGTGCAAAGTCTTAAGATAGAGGCGTCTTCGTTTTCAGGATTTTAAAATGGTTTCGATGGTCTCTTTACTTGCGTGGAAGAGGAGGAATTCGCTTGTTTTAGTGGATGCTTCTAAGTGAGTGAATTTGGGTTCGAAGATGCCAAAGAATTGCTCTTCTCCATGATACGTGTATCTTTTGATCAAAAGGGGGTCCTTGAGGAAGCTGGCATCAAGATTGAGGTCGTAGCTGCCCTGGTGCTTCGCCATCTCGGTGCTGCTGTGCGAATACACTGATCAGATCAGGCCTTTGAATATGTGCATACATACCTATTACTTTACTTTTACCATCAGTTTGAAGCCGAACGAAATTAGCATAGAAACCACTGTTCCTGAATATGTTACTTCTTACTTCATGACACTTTAGCATAACCACCTAGGCAGGGGAGTAGCTAGCACCGTAGTAATCACTTCCCAGTTTTTATTTTATAATCCTCATACGCGTAGCCAAACACAAATAACGAAATTAAGTGCAGCCAGTAGTCGGGTGGCAACCGGTCATCCTAGTAATGATCAGGCTCCCCCTTCATCTTCCACAGAAACTCCTACTCACCTCCTAGCGTAGCCTTCATCTGTCGACTCCATTTATCCCGCTTGATCCGCAGAAGGATCAACGGGACGCCACTGAGCAGACAGAATAAACAAACCGCCGTGAACGACCAACCCGTGCCAATCGCATCAAATAACGGCTGCGCAATGATCGCACTCACGCATGACAGACTGTTTCGCATGAGGTTATTCACCGCGACGCCGATGGTAGAGTTCTTCGGTGTAAATTCCGTCAGCATTGTCATAGTGACATTGGTGAGAATCATTCCGCCAAACCCGTAGAAGAAGTTTCCGAGGAGCTATTATCAAGTAGATCAGTGCCCGCTTGAAGCCTAAAGGCAATAAAACGAATGAATACACTTACCGGGATTAGCCAGAACTTATACTTATCAGCCGCCCATCCCCACCACAAGAGTGCCCCGGGGAAGAGAATGCCCCCAAGGAGGCAGTTCTCGCCTAGACGATCGACCGGGTGGAGGATCAATTCCCCCTTAGCATCGTATCGGCCTTCCTTTCGAGCTGTCCGCGTCATGATATAATCCTGCCAGCGGCCCCCAATAATCGCACCGAAGAGTAGGCCCAAGCCGCCGGGAATATAAGCCACTCCGACAATAATAGAGCTCCAGGAGTATGGTGGCAAGGCAAAGGTGTCTTCGATGGAAACGCAGATGAGATAGTACGTGGCGAAGATGATGCTGGTGTAATAGACCGTAATCAGGATGGGAGGGTATTGGAGGAGCTTGGCGGCTTCCAAAGGCTTCAGGAGGAAGTAGAGGGCTTTGTTGCGGGGACTGGTCGCGTGGTTTCGCTGCTCACGGCGGTTCTCTTCGAGGTTGGTGGCTGTCTCCGGCATGAAGAGGACCATCACAGCAAGCAAGACCCAACCATAGATGACCATGAACCACTGTGTGCTGCGCCAACTCCAACGCATCGTGAGCGCCCCGCCGATAATAGGTGCAAACATGGGCCCCAGCATGGGACCTAGCATGAACGCAGCCATATCCTTGCCGCGATCTTGCATTTCGAACATGTCTGAAATAGTACCGGCGCTGACAGCTTGAAGGGACGCACTGGATGCACTCCCAAGGAGTCACATGGCGATAAACATGCCGATGTTAGGGCTGATAGCAGCCAGAATATTGAAAATCCCAAGGAAAAAGAATGACGATATGTATACCAGTCGACGACCATAGAGCTCAGCCAGGTATGACCACCACAAGGGTGTGATGGCAACAGAGAGTGAGCCAAAAGCGATAGACAAGTTGACCACCGACACGGTGGTATGCATATCCTCGGCGATCTCTATCAGGCAGGCTATTTGAAATCCAGTCAGCTTCTTGTTCTGACTAGGGAAGAGGATGCCTTACGGAACAAAACACCACTACTCAGCGGAACCACCAACCCTCCCATCGCCACAATAAAGGTCAAACCCCACTTCATCCCCGGGGTATACTGCCTCGGATCCTGCAAGGCTGGAACGAAACATAACCACCGAAGAAATCCTCTGCGAACGTGTTCCAAATCATGATCAATTTCTTGCTTTCCGAGTTCTGCCTTGGTATTATCTTGCATGAGCTTTTTGGGTTCTGTTTCGTACTCTGGCATTGTTGTGCTTCTTGGGGATTGCATCGTATTGAATGCTGGAGACTCGGGTGTATTGTTTCTATTGAGAGACATGCTTGTGAATGCTGAATGCTCCTATCATCTCTTCTGACAAGCAGATATATATATTCAAAATCATCAACCCTATACCTATTAGGTATGATCCACCTCGGCCGATGGTGGGTCTCGCGCCTCGTACGAGACCCACTCCTTGTCCGGTCAAATTAGAGCGCAATACTATACACCTCAATCCATCTGCTATCCACCCTTCTCCAACACTCCAGAAAGAGAAATGAGAAACTATTCCATATCCCACAAAGGATGCTTTGCACGAACGTAATTAAATCGATCTACCAAGCCCAGCAATCAATCACTGTGACCCATGGCACCCCATCGGACCCAAACTGGCGAAGTCCTCAAAATCAAACTCCTCCAGATTCACCAAACCCATGAAATCCGCTGTATCAAGGCCCAGCACGGCCGAGCTTGGAGGAGCAGCAGCAGCAAAATATTCCTTCGACATGGGAGGATTATTCTCAGATAAACCAGTCCCCGTTGGCTGGTTGCTAGCGATCCCAGAACCGAGGCCCTGCTGGAATCGAATCCGATTCACCAACCAAATGATTGCGGGCCATGCACCGGCGGTATGCTGACCCCGAATCTCGTAGATGGCGTTCGCTAATTGGAGGCCTCGCTGGCGGAGATCGGCCCACTCCGGGGATTGGAAGCCGGGACTGCGGAGTTCGGAGAGTACGTAGAGAATCAAGTAGAAGCCGGCGTGGGAGAAGATATGCCATTGGAAGGGTTCACAGGCCTTGCTGCAGGCAATTGCACACCAGTTCTCTACGGCTGTGGCGGCGTCCACGAATATACTTGACGTTTGATACTGTCAGCGAAAACGTATTTACTCTCCCTTGTTGGGGGAGGAGGGGGAGGGTCGGAGGGCTAACTTTCTTCTCATAGCGGGACTGATGACCTTTTCGCGATCTTGTCGAGAGATTTGAATCCAGAACATGACCCAGAATTTGGATTTCAAGTGGTTTCTCAAGTCTAAGGCCATTGATTGCATACTCACCCTCTTATCGCAGTATCGAACGAGATCATCTAGATTCTTCTCAAACTCGCTGGCGATAGTCTCAGCAGTGTTGAACAGGCCTTGTAGCTCCGTTAATGCTTCGGCCTCGCCCACACCACGGGGGTTGGTGCGCAATCCCTTTCGCGAAGCATGCGTCACCTGAATAATGCGCCCGTAATACTGGACCGCGGTGGTCCGAAGGAGATAGATAGTCATATCGGTGAATTTAGGGACATCCGAGAGTCCAACCGAGGATGCCACCCCTTCGATTAGATCGACGTCATCTAGGCTGACAGGTCGACGCGTATCGAAGTCCGACTCGTGAATCGAAGGCGCAAACCCATGATCCTCCGCTGCGCGGAAATCTAAGTAGCAGATTTGCGCCCATAAGCGGCGACGCAGCTCCACCTGTATAACATCCATCGTGCCCAGCGGTAGAGCTAAAGGGTCCCGGTGGAGTCCGTGGACTGTCGCCATCCGAATAGCCAGCCCAGTCAGCGGCCATACCTTGCCCATGTCATCTTCCCGATATTGCGCGGTCTTTGGTGTATGAATATTGTTTAGCTCAATACGGGGACTGTTTTTCCTCTCTCCCTGAAACTTACCAGAAAAATCACAAATGCTTGCAAAACCTCAAAGCTCCTTGAGGTCATAAATTTCTGCCGTTTCAGATGTACTTCTGTTCCCGTGCGGTATCGATTCAGGAGGTGAGACCTATCAGTGCCGAACATGGTGACCATGTCGGAATCCTTCATACTGTTGACAGCCGCGTAGAAGATGGACATGGCTAGCGGCTCGAATGGGTCCATATTATTCGGGTGGGAAATCATATTGCTACTGGTCCCTGTCGGGATATGATCGTTCTCTAGAAGGTAATGGGTTCGAACAAATGTATCAAAGCGACGGCCTAAACTCGGCCGATGGACAATTCGGTGAATTGGGTCGACATTGGCCAGGAAAACATTCAGGAGCAAATAACAATCCTCTCGTGTATCGGGCCAGAAGGTAGCGCCATTAGCTATAGGGGAATCGGCGTCCCAGATGACATCTTCGAGCGCCTGTTCGGAGGAATTCTGAGATTCTGCAAGAACCGATTGGATGTCTTGGAGCTAAGAAAGCGGAGGCTTAGTTAGTACCGCTTTGCCTTCCAAGGTTGGCATGAGCACAAGCTTCAAGAACAACGGGAAGCGCACCTCTGCTGCCATCCAGGCCCAGTGTTTGCCGGAGATGAAGTGGGGGACTCCATTATCAAGAATCAGTGCATCTTCTTGCGATCGCGGCTGTAGAGGTGACGCATTATGAGGGGCGGGTGTGAATGAGTCCAGCGACGAGGGACTATGCTCCGATGCCTCATATGCTTTCGCTTGCGCCATGAAGTTACCAAGGCGCTGAATACCAGGATTGATTCAGGCTAGCGTGGATGAAGAGATCTTGGGGGCATTACTTCGTTTGGTGATCCGGCCCGACTCTGAGGCCAGCCCGGGCGACTGAGGCTTCGAGACGTAAGAACAGGCATATTCGCCTCGCTCACACACCAAACATTGCGGTTGTCGGCGGTCACATTTACCTTGCGATTACGACATGGCAGACAAGAGGTAATTGGACGACAGAAGCTACTCAGGGCTGCAGGTGGAGATGAAATGGATTCCACATATGATCGTGTGGATGAGGGGTGAAAGGGGGAGGCATACATGGTGAAAGAGATGAGAGGAAAAATGGGTGCAAACGACTATTAAAGCATCCGCACGCTGCTAGCAGCAGCATCTCGTGGTAAAATTGGACTGGCAATCCCCGGGAGTTTAATTGGAACAAGTTCCACCTTTGACGCAAAGAAGATGCTGAAGAGCGGAGCCTGTAAAATTAGGGCCATAGGAGATATGCATTTGGTCAGTTTCTTTATATTTCTTGCGGAGAAAGGTGGGTTCATGTTATTTTTGTTATGCCAACGGTACTAGTATACAGTACAAAAGGCACAGACAGGATTAGCGCGGTATTTTACGCTCCAAGACGTAGAGAACAACCTTGACTCACTTGGTACCTTGGGATGTGATTCAGATATTCTATAATAAATTGGAGACTGCTATTCAGACGTCCCGATTTTTGCTAACCGAAAGGACTCTACTATGTAGTTAATTAAAAGCTTAGGGTTAGAATCCTACCTTATTATTTCACCATAAGCTACTCTATATTCTATCATGGTACTAGAGGTGTAGTGTAGACCTTGAAGCAATTTTATATTTGAGATCCCCAAATAATAATTTGCAAAAAGTGCCCAAGTGAGCGTTTATATTAGACATCACTGACCCATCACGTGATGGGTCTGAGCAGCTCACTGAGTCTGAGGGCTAAAATCTAACTTGCAACAGTTGTAGTGAGCCTGACTCTTGAGCACCCTTATAAAAGCGGCAGCTAAGACAGGAAAGCCCCGAGGAAATATGGTACGTATAGCTGCCTAGTCCCTATGTAGGGTAGTCAATGGTACTTTATTGCTTACATATGTACTTGCAAATCCAAATGCGTGGCATTAGCCGCATATTAAACGCGTGAGGTCTGAGACGGGTAGATATCACACCAGCTATACCTTCATGGGCCACTCGGCTCTGCTTTCTTCCTCTTTTTCCGGCTTTTTGAACTTCATTTTCCCTTTTCCCTTTTTTACTTGGCACTCCTTTTCACTTTTATCTGTTTTCTTTTGATTTTCTCTTATACTACTTCTGCCTCTTTCATCGGCCGCCTCCTAGGGGGCAATTCACATTACAACTTGCGATTCTCCTAGAATCCGATCGCGGACTTGCTACCCGTTCCAATAACCCAATATGGCCGATTTTGAAAACAGCATGATGGACGAGTCCTTCGCGGCATCCGAAGCTGCGGATGACCAGTCTCACGGCATGACCGCCAGCGCGACGGTCGGTACACGGCGGCAAGCGAACGGCACAATTGGCTCTGTCTACTCCGGCAACAAGATTCGACACCTGAAGAAAGATGATGGCATACCTCTATGGCGCAAAGATATCCAGTATCAATTCCTGAAGCTGGTCTTTGAGGACAAAACGCCTGTTTTTACGCGGTATCCCGACGGACAAAAGGGAATGGACTTCGCGGATGTCTACATCAATGCAATGGCCCGGAGCAGCAAGACCAGCAAGATTCTGAAGGATAAACTGCAGAACGACAAACCTGCGGCTATCAATATGGCTATGGTCTGTCTGCTGGTCAATTTCGGTCGCATGAACACTACCCTTAACTGTACGCTTGCAGCTATGCCCTCAACATAATTTACCTTCTCCGTGCTAATTGCTATTGTCCTGGTTTCTAGTCTTCCCCGAAATGCGTGCTCAACTCCGAACCTACCACTCGATCCCCTCACTACAAGCGCATCAGGATTCCAATGCCTACAAGCAGCTGCAGGATGCTCCCCGTCTCAAGTCCATTCTTAAGGGCGCCTCAGAGGATGTAGACCAACCGAATACCTTGGAAAAGATTAAGCGGCAGAATATACCCCGGACGAACCCAGTGAATTTGATTTTTGTTCTGGCGCAGTACGCCCCCAAAGTGTCGGAAACACACTTCTTTCCTCCGCGAGACTTCTTCGACCTGGTCATGAGATCTACACTTAGCAGCCAAAGTCGCGCTAGGGCGTTCCTCTGGCTGATGTGGTGGTATCTAGAGAGTGATTTCAGTCACGAAGCTGCTCTGAACAATCCGTTTGGTCCGGGTGTGGAAGGGGAGGGTTCCGAGGGCCTTCCTTTGAAAGTACCTGCCTTTGATATTTTGACAGAGGAACAAGCCAGTGAGGAGAATTTAGATACACCTGAGGAACAGGAATACGGGGAGTCCAAAAGACTAGAGCGCAAGCGTACGTGTCTAGTTCTGACTGCTGTTGAACATGGGGACTTGACTGACGTTTGGTGCAGGCATCCTGGAAGAAGAGGAACCACTACCGCGCATTCCCAAGCGACCCAAGAAAGGTGAGCTCGGCATTTCGAATAGCTATCTTATATACACGTCCTCAGAACGCTAACCTTTTCTAACCGCAGAATATGGCTTTGACGAAGAATCATTCACAGGAGACTACTCTGGTATGGGAGGTCGTGGCTCTGCTATGTCCACCCCTCTCCATCCTTCTGCTAAACGCAGCTTGGATGACGAGGACGATGAAATGACACCTGGTAATTCACGTCCGCGCCCTAAACAGGCCAAGCGCGAGTCATCGCTTAACCGAGCCGTGGGCCAACAGCGCCTTATCTTGAAAACGAGGATGGAACATACCCCCGATGCTTCCCCCGCTCCTCCGGGCCCCAACCATCCAATCCTTAACCGCTTTATTGCCGAGCCTTCGCTTTCATCGGCGCCTACTATGCGTCGGATGCGGCCACTTACACAGCACCAGATTGCCGTTGAGCAAAATCGTCGGCAGAGGATTGATTATCTGCTGGCCAAACGTAAATCAAACGCATACCGCGTTCTCCGTGCTAAACGGGAGAGTGAGATTCCTTTCGCGCGCTACGGTCGCTTGCTTCAGGGTCTGCCCGAGGGCTACGATACAGATGACGAAGAAACCTCGTGGGGCAAGGGTGGTCTCTTCCCGAACCCGGAAGAAGAGGATGACTTTGGAGAATGTGCAAGCGTCGTTCTCTCTGTAGTGCGAAAAGCTGCCCGCCGACTCGATCGCTGGGATTACACCGAAGCCAATGGTCCCAGGAAGGATCGCAAGACGGAGCGCGAGGAGCGATACCAGGCCAAGGCGGCCCTGGAAGCTGATGTGCGAAGCTCCAACAACCGATCCCGTCCGCGTCCTCGCCCTAGTGCTGCTGCCAAGCGCAAGTCTACGGGTGTAACGGGCACTCCTGGCACTACCAAGAAAACCGCAGCGTCTCAGGCCAAGGGCAGTCACGGCCATCCTGATGGCTTGGGGGCTGTGCCATCAGCTATGGGTACCCCAACCTGGGACCCGGAGCACGGACCCGATGACTACATGGAGGGAGAGCTGGACGATCTCGACCGCGAACTCCTTGGCGAAGTCTCTGGTGAAGAAGATGATGGAGGTGCTCCTCTCCGAGCCGACGAGGAAGGGGACTTCTCTGACGATCAGGACGACGAAGACGACGTGGACGGTGAGGAAAATTCCTCTACCTATGAAGGCGCCAATGGTTACGCACGACATGAAGCCTCGTCCCCTGCACCGAGGGGTCTAGCTGGCCCACGCGGGGAAGGTTATGGAGACGACGCGATGGAAGACTAATAGCCCTGGAGGGTTGGCGTTTTGTGTTGAAATCTTGTGTATCACGATCTACTGTTTCTTTTGTCTTTTTCTCCTGTGTTCTAGGCGTATCATTCCCTTTCGGAATGGTTGTATTTCAAGTCAATTTCACCCAAGCCCTTGATATAAGTGGCCAGTACTACCTCTGACATCCGATGCGCACTGCATGTGATAATTGCCCCCCTCTTTCTCCTCGCCTACATCTGCCCACTTCCATAGCTTTGGATTGTTTCTTTACATTCTCAAATATTTTATACCCATTCAACACAAAAGCTCAATCATACGAGTAACAGGAGTTCGGTCTTAGAGTGGATACGAAAGCTGCAGAGTGGTGTGGCCAACAGCACGAAGCGGATTCCTAAGGCAATTTTGTTGAGACTCTTCATATTTGTACTTTTTCCTCTTCCCAACCTGAATTAACCTGGTCTAACCTGAGATAAATAGCAAGGTAACCCTTGTTGCCCAATTTCTCCGAGGAAGTTTATATTTCCGGTAAGCGTCATATCCCGCTAAGCTGCCCCAGTTGATTCTCTCCTTTCCCCATATTTACACATTTTGCCTCTGACGCATTCCCAGACGCGGACAAAGCATCTTGTACAATATATTACAGCTCTACCTACAGAATTGAGATCACCCAAACGTGTGGGACAAACACAATCCAGAGATTGTCTTTTGTCGCGCTGGCAATCGGAGACTCAGTTTTCCCCCAAGAGAACCCCAACAGAAACGAGGAGTCTTGAAACCAACACACAACACAAACCAGAACCCATTTATTCATCATGACTGAACAGCCTCGCATCCTGCGTCCACGCCCGAGACGACCATTCGATCTGACGCCCGCTTCCACCGAGTCATCCGGACCCCCAACACCGGCCGAGTCAACAAGCACCGAGTACCTGAACCCGCACGGAGACGTCGCGTCGAACTCAACAAGCGTGAGCCGCACAGGATCAGTGATGAATCTGACCTCGTCGACGTTGTACGGGATCTACTCGCCGACGGCATTTGACGGGTTCCGCGACGAGTCCAGCCCCTGGGGCACGGAAGCCAACAGCCCGGCATCAGAGTTCCCGCCCGAGCCATTGCAGCGCGCAGCAGAGAAATCGGCCATTGAGCCGCGGCGGATGGCGCTGCAGAGGACTCGGTCTCGCTTGAGCCATGGGATGTTCCGGGGCGTGATCTTACCGCAGGCATTGAGCAGCGTGCTGCTCTTTGGCTTTGGTCTTGCTTACGGCGTGATCACAGTTCATCTTCATGATAACCATTGGATTACGCCTGTCAAGCTGGAGAATATTCATTACTACGATTCGTGGCAGTACTTGGCTTTCTGGGGTTTGGCTGGTATTGCTCTGGGTAATCTGCTTCCTTGGCTGGATAGCTGGCGTGAGGGCGAGTCTGATTCGGAGCTTGCGAGTACCGATGAGGAGGAGAGTGAGGATCGCACCCCGTCTTGGATTACAGTTGCCCGCAGTGTTGGAGCGTTTGTCGGAATCGCATTTGCTATGGTAAGTGGACAGGTGTTTCTACACTTCCCGTCTTTCTCTATTTCTATGGGACAATGCTGACATCTCGATTTTTTTTTTTTTACAGCGGAAACTCCCTTGGGAATCTACTACGCAAGCATCGTTGACCCTCGCGCTCGCGAACCCCGTTCTCTGGTACCTGATTGACCGCACTACGACTGGCTTCGTCCTCTCGACCACCGTTGGCTTGGCTGGCATGGGAGTGGTTATTGGCCTCAAGCCAGAGCTTGTGCCCACGTCGACTGGCCCGTCATTCGGCACCAGTCTTCTGACTGGAACAGGACTTGAGAATGTACTAGGAGCAGGCATCACACAGGAGAGCATTGCGGTCCGCACTTGGGTTGCCAGTGTAATTTTCTGCGCATGCGTGTGCTTTGGAAACGTTGGCCGTCAGCTTGCCATCGGAGCTGGCGTCAGAGATGTTATGAAGCCATGAGGCTCGAAAAGCGTCTGGGTTTTCCTGGTTTAGGATCAAGGACTCGAGCTTCTCTGGGGAACGGCCTTATAGAGGGCAGGGAACGTTTAATGTACATTTGAAATAATTTATGGCTCTGATAAAGAATTGTAATAGAAATCGGCTCCGCTCTGATTTTTCCCTACATACGGAAGGAAAGGACTGTACTACGTACTCCGTAAGTTATTAAAGAACTCTTAAAAGTTTACAATGATTACAAGAAGCGAAGTTTTCAAGAAAAGTTTCAATAATATTTATTATTTTCGATTGGTATGTAGAATCAATCATTGCAATCCCTACTACATGACCAGAAGTCAAGCAGGCACTGCACCCAAGATCGACACCTTCGCCAGTTGGCACTTGGTCTCCATTCTCTATACGATTTCCGTACTTCATCAGACGAGTCTTCGTAGGAACGCTTTTTGAGTAGAATGTGAGTTTTGCGTTGTTCATGAAGAAGAAAAAAAGAAAGAGAAGATGGCGCCTCTCAGAAATCTCTTATGTATCCCAAGATCACGTGTCACGCTAAGGCCTTCTTCATATTGTCGGTCTCTTATTGGCTGGCGTCATAGTGGGCTGAGGTCGATCACGTAATACAACTTTTGCTATCAAGCCCCGCCGCCGTAATCGGTCCGACCCCGCGAGTCATATTTTCTTCTTTTTCTTCAGTTCGTCATTTGTTATACCCTCTTCGCTTGATTTTAGGTATGTCATTTGATTCCTTATCTCAATTGCTTTCGATTGCGGGTTCAATTTGGGGATTTCTCCTCTAACAGATCTAGTGTCGACCGTCGGATCCATCATGTCTCAACAAAAGTCCGGTATGTCACTCTTGGCTTCATAGTTCCCCGGACTATGATATTATTCATCCAAAGTAGTTGAAGGTCAATTCTAATATCCTTATTTTCGAATTGAATAGCCATCATCTCCGTCTATGACAAGACTGGTCTGCTTGACCTGGCCAAGGGTCTGGTCAAGCAGGAAGTCCGTCTTCTCGCGTCTGGCGGTACCGCTAAGATGATCCGTGAGGCTGGATTCCCTGTCGAGTGAGTTACCTCTGTCGTCATGGTGCAAAGAAATACAACGAAAGCAGAAACTGACAACCAATCCCAGGGATGTCTCCGCCATCACTAAAGCCCCCGAGATGCTCGGTGGCCGTGTCAAGACCCTCCACCCCGCCGTGCACGGTGGTATCCTCGCCCGTGATATCGAGTCCGACGAGAAGGATCTCGCCGAGCAGAAGATCTCCAAGGTCGACTACGTCGTCTGCAACCTTTACCCCTTCAAGGAGACCGTCGCCAAGGTCAACGTCACCATCGATGAGGCCGTGGAGGAGATTGATATTGGCGGTGTGACTCTGCTCCGCGCTGCGGCCAAGAACCACAAGCGTGTGACCATTCTGTCAGACCCCCGCGACTACTCCGATTTCCTCAAGGAGCTCGAGGACGGCGAAATCACCGAGGCTAGCCGCAAACAGTACGCCCTCAAGGCGTTCGAGCAGACTGCCGACTACGACTCCGCTATCTCAGGCTTTTTCCGCAAGGAGTATGCTGGTAACGGTCTGCAGCAGCTCTCGCTGCGCTACGGCACCAACCCCCACCAGAAGCCCGCCTCTGCCTACATGGTTCAGGGCCAGCTGCCTTTCAAGGTCCTCAACGGATCTCCTGGCTACGTTAACCTGCTCGATGCCCTGAACGCCTGGCCCCTGGTTAAGGAGCTCAAGCAGGCTCTTGGCTTCCCCGCCGCCGCCAGCTTCAAGCACGTTTCCCCCGCTGGTGCCGCTATCGGTGTGCCCCTGAACGAGAAGGAGCGCAAGGTGTACATGGTGGACGATATCAAGGATATCGAGACCTCCGGTCTGGCTCAGGCTTACGCTCGTGCCCGTGGTGCCGACCGCATGTCCAGCTTCGGTGACATTCTGGCCCTCAGTGACATCGTCGATGTCCCCACAGCCAAGATCATCTCGCGTGAGGTGTCCGACGGTGTCATCGCCGCCGGCTACGAGCCCGAGGCTCTGGCCATCCTCTCCAAGAAGAAGGGCGGCAAGTACCTCGTCCTCCAGATGGATGAGGACTACACCCCGGCACCCGAGGAGACCCGCACTCTGTACGGTGTCCAGCTGACCCAGCACCGCAACGACGTTGTCATCTCCCCCAGCAAGACCTTCAACACCGTCATCACCCCCAAGAGCACTACCTCTCCTCCCCGAGGCTGCTCTCCGTGACTTGACCGTCGCCACCATTGCCCTCAAGTACACCCAGTCCAACTCTGTCTGTTACGCCCTGAACGGCCAAATCATCGGTCTGGGCGCCGGTCAGCAGAGCCGTATCCACTGCACCCGTCTTGCCGGCGACAAGGCCGACAACTGGTGGATGCGCTTCCACGAGCGTGTCATCGGCATCAAGTGGAAGCAGGGCACCAAGCGTGCTGACAAGTCCAACGCCATCGACCTGCTCTGCTCGGGCCAGACCCCCCGCACCGACGCCGAGACCGTCGAGTACGAGCGTGTCTTCGAGGAGGTCCCCGCTCCCTTCACCCAGGAGGAGCGTGAGGCTTGGCTCCAGAAGCTCGGCGAGGTTGCTGTCTCGTCCGATGCCTTCGTAAGTAATCCCCATTTCCGCCCACATTTTTTCTTCCGTGGTAAATGCTAATTGTCTCTAGTTCCCCTTCATCGACAACGTCTTCCGTGCCGCCCGCTCAGGCGTCAAGTACATTGCCGCCCCCACTGGCAGCCAGAACGACACCCCCGTCTTCGAGACTGCCGAGAAGCTGGGCATCACCTTCGTCGAGCAGGGCGTCCGTCTCTTCCACCACTAGATTGTTCTACTGGTTGTCGTCTTTCGGTCTTTTTCCCTCTATTCCCCTTTCCCTTTTCCTTTCGTAAAAAAAAGGATGCCATCTATGTGGTTTCCACTGATGGATATTCGATATGATGATGATGTCAGGTTTTTCCTTTTGATTTAGATAAATTTATACACATATTTTGAGTACGTGCTACATAGTAGCTTGTTACATTAACCCCTTTATCCTTTAATAACTACCGAGAAAGCAAATAAAGTAGGGATGTCCCTTTTGTTTTCCCTCCGACTCTTAAAGACCTTGGCCCTGATGTGTCGCATGTAGGGTTTGATGCCCAGATCCGATACTTGTTTTCTGTTTCCCGAAGGATCCCAAAGTCTGAACAACTTTTACAAGTTTCCCTCGGAATTGTATCTCTAGTTCGACTCAAAATGAACTGTTGTTGCATCAATGGATTTCTCCGTCGGAGCTCCGTAACGAGGGGGGTACTCATCAAACTAGCGCCTCCTGTGATAAGCCTAAAACACCAAGCAACAACCAAGCAACAACCAAGCAACAACCAAGCAACAACCAAGCAACAACCAAGCAATGACACACAACATTGGCAGAATATGCCCCAGAAATTGCGATGATCGTCTTCATATCAGCCAGAACTTGCCAACTATGCCCTTGGGCTATCCCGCGTAGAGATATCGAGGTCAATATCCCCGCTAGGGATGTTGATCTCTAGCGTCTCAAACATCCTGCAGATACTACGGAATATATCCAATCAGATCTGCAGGCTTAATTGGTACCTTTTTCGTCATCAGACCCGGGAAATTAGGGTTGCAATCAGGCCATTCTGATTTGCTGTCCCCGCGTGTACTACCTAGGTATATATCAGGGGGAATTCCCCTGTCCCAGCAGGATGGCTGGGTATTATCACAGCTCTATTGTTTCTCGAGATGTTGGTACGTCAGGTTTTTGTCGCTCTGGCCATCGCGGCTCTTTCTGGAGCTGTCCCAGCACCGGTCAAGCATGTTTTACATGAAAAGCGAAGCGAGCATGTGGATTGGGTGAAAGGAGAGCGCATCAAGCGCGATTCCGTGCTGCCTGTGCGCATCGGTCTTACTCAGAATAATTTGGAGAAGGGTGATGAGTATCTCATGGCTGTGTAAGTTGTTTTTGCGTGTGTTTGCATGGTATGCGCCCCAGTCACTAATACTTGTATAGTTCTGACCCGAAATCTCCCAAATATGGGCAGTATTTGTCTGCGGAAGAAGTTCATGATTTGTTCGCTCCTTCAAAGGATTCTGTTGACTCTGTTCGTCGGTGGCTTGAATCCTCTGGGATTCATGGGTCCCGGATTGTACACTCCGATAACAAGGGATGGTTGGCTTTTGATGCCTATGCGCATGAAGCGGAGGATTTGTTCAAGGCTAAGTTTTATGAACATGAGCATGCTAGCACTTCCAGCATGAAGATCGGCTGCGAGGAGTAAGTCTTCTTGCTGCTTTCTCCCGACTTTCGGACTCTTCGATTAACAGCGTTAGGTACCACGTCCCCGAGCACATCCAGGCGCACATTGACTATATCACTCCCGGAGTCAAGCTCAGTCCCATCGTTAAGAAGAGCACCCTAGCGAAGCGAGTGTCGCACCTGGCTCATTCCAAGGGCACAGTGGAAGCCGATGACTCTATCAAAACCGCGGTTATTTCTGAGAAGGCGAAGTCACTTCCTGCGGATCTCCAGAGATGCGGAACTGATATGACTCCGGCCTGCATCAAGGCCTTGTACAAGATTCCAGATGCCACCAAGGCAAAGAAGGGCAACTCGCTTGGTCTCTATGAGCAGGGTGACTACTTCGCCAAGTCGGATCTTGATCTCTACTACAAGGACTATGCTCCTTGGATTCCTCAGGGCACTTATCCCATTCCTGCCTTGATTGATGGAGCCAATTTCTCGGTGCCTGATTACAGCCCGCTGAATACTGGTGAATCGGATATTGACATTGACATGGCGTAAGTACAATTCGCTTTTTCTAATTGCTTCTCTGTTCTTTGCTAACGACTCCAGTTATGCGCTTATCTACCCTCAGTCCGTGACTCTCTACCAGGTTGATGACCAGATTTATGAACCGAAAGAGGTTGCGACCACCAACCTGTTCAACACTTTCCTTGATGCTCTCGATGGTGTATGTTATGTTTTTTTTTGAAAATCAAATGGATACTGCTAACAACTTCAGTCTTACTGCACATACAGCGCCTTCGGCGAAACGGGCAACAACCCTGATATCGATCCAGTCTACCCCAACCCGCATCCTGATGGCTACAAAGGTAACATACCATTTCCACCAACTAGACTGATCTGATCGCTCACACAACAACAACAGGCAAGCTTCAATGCGGTGTATACAAGCCCACAAACGTCATCAGCGCTTCGTACGGACAAGCCGAAGCCGATCTCCCCATCGCCTACACCAAGCGCCAATGTAATGAGTTCCTGAAGCTCGGCCTGCAGGGCCACTCCATTCTCTTCGCCTCTGGCGACTATGGCGTCGCCTCCTTCCACAACGACGGATCCGCCAACGGATGCCTAGGACCCGAGGGAAAGATCTTCAACCCCCAATACCCCTCAAACTGTCCCTACGTGACCTCCGTCGGAGGCACCATGCTCTACGCGGACCAGACGATCAATGATGCCGAGAGCGTGATGCACGCTGACTTGGGTGGTAATGCCGCAAACTTCAGCAGCTCGGGCGGCTTCTCGAACTACTTCCCGCAGCCTTCGTACCAGAAGAAAGCCGTGGAGAAGTACTTCAAGAAGGCTCAGCTGACTTACCCGTACTACTCCGAGCTGGAAGTCAACGTAAACAAGACAAAGGGTCTCTACAACCGTATTGGTCGTGCTTATCCCGATGTGTCGGCCAATGGCGCCGTGTTCCCTGCTTATACTGGTGGAAAGATTCATCACTACTATGGCGCTAGCTTGGCGTCGCCATTGTTTGCTTCGGTCCTGAATTTGGTAAGTCGAGAATTCGGATTTGTTTGTTGACTGTGCTAATGGTTCTGCTCTTGGTAGATTAACGAGGAACGTCTTGACAAGGGCAAGGGCCCTATCGGTTTCGTGAACCCCGTGCTTTACGCTCACCCGGAGGTTCTTAACGATATCACCAACGGTACCAATGTTGGATGTGACTCGGACGGTTTCAGTGCTATTCCAGGGTGAGTACACTATTCTACATTGGCTACGGGCTTTTTACTGACGTGCTATGCAGATGGGATCCGGCTACCGGGTTGGGCACACCTAACTATCCTAAGTTGAAGAAGCTGTTCTTGTCTCTGCCTTGAGATGAATAAGGGCAGAGCTTGTGTAACAGACTTGCATACCAAGTGTTGATCACCTTGCTAGAAATCAGTATTAAGTTACTCTGGGCAGGCGTTATGGGATTTCTCTATGATTCTCATGTCCAGATTGCATTTCTTCTTTTCGTTCGGATATTCATGTCTATATTCAATGTGAGATGGTTACCTAGAGCAAACTTAGATCACAAATGCACAATGAGATGCTTGAGCAGATTGTTTTGTATAGTCTAGCTGTCTCTTATATACATCTGTGCTGATGTTTCCTAGACAAAGTAAGCTCAGTTCTGAAAGAATATCTCTTTGTTATGTAGCCTACAAATAATACAGTCATCAAGTGTTATTATGTGTTTGTGCCAATGTGCCCCAAATATCAGACTATCATCCTAGTCCACCACATAGCTAGAGCTAGAGCCAGTCCCCATTTTCGATTGATCCAATTCCTTTGACTTACTTCTCATTTCTCTCTTACCTATTAACTTGATATAATTTACTATTAGTTATGCTCAGCTTCGGTCCTTTAGGGTTGAAAATCGAGGGGGTGGTTGGCCGCCTTCGAACTATACGCCAGGGTGGTCCGTGCGCGGGGATTTGTATAGCCTCAAATATCTATAAACTCGGGATATAAAATTGCAAAGAGTCCCGTTTCTCTTCGCCACAGTCATTAATAGACTGTCGGTCTCATATAGCCATCTTAGGCAGGCACCACCGACTGAATTGCCCTTAAAACGCCATTCAGGCGGTAGCGTAGCAAAGGCAAAAAGCTGCTGAGGGCTCCCGCTCAGGAGCTCGATCAGAGAAAAGCAAGTAAACAAACGTTCGACCAATCCCAACCACACACAGACCCGTGCAAATTCCGAGGCACCATGACTATGTATCCAATTGAACTTCCTGTGAGTCTAATCCTTCGAAATTGAAGCCCAGAAGAGCGATTAACAAGAGTATACACATAGATCAGCGATGCATCCCCCGATCGGGGAGCCATCCCGAGCTCCCCAGCAACCGACACCTACCAGCTGTTCCTGGCAGTGTACCACCGCGGCGAGCTCTCTCTTGGCGACTACCGAAAGCGCCTGGGCTTCTCTGCATACCATTGGTGCATCCTCGTCCTGGACACCAAGAACGACCGCTACTACGCTTACGACGTGACTGATGGATCCTCGCCCGACCCGGTGTTTCGCCGCGACCTCAACCCCGACTTCCAATGGACCTACCGTGTCAAGACCAACGTCCGCCCGGAGTCGTGTGCCTCTCTTCTCATTCGAATGGCAATCGGCGAAGTCAACGATGGAATCGGCCCCGAGACTATCAAGATCCTGCTCCAGTCTGTTCAGCTGCCGATTAAGGGTGCTTATCCGCCCCAGAACTGTGTCAACTGGATCAGGGCTGTTCTTCACAAGCTTCGCTTCCATGGCTATGCCCGTGACCTGCACAACATCGAGATGACTATTGATCGTGCTCTTGCTTATGCTGATCTTCGTATGTCCGACCCTGACAACTCTGTCGCTGTTGTCGATCACCTTGGCAATGAGTTGTTCAAGACATATATTTGAAATGAGATATCTTGAAGGGATGTGTCAAAGGATATATGTGTCTTGCTAAATCTTGAAGGGTTGTTTCTTGCTGGAGTCTCTGGTGCCAAGGCGTCACTTGACTATCAACTGTTTTTTAATCTGAATGCGACTAATTGAGCGTGAATTAATTCTCTTTCTCGTAAGCTGGAGGGTGATCTGTACATGTTTTGCATTGATGTTGACGGTGCCAAACGATACTACATAGCTATGTAGATACAGATTGATGACGCTATCACGTGGCTTGATTTCTACCACCTATCAATGGATAGGCAAGTCTCCACGGGGACAAAAAGGCCAGAGATTGATCAAAGCGCCAACATTGCCCTGAAGATTTGTTTCCTGGCTTTGTTTCAACCCTACAGCTGCTTGGTTTTGTTCTGATAACTACACGCAGTGTTCATTTGCTTGCAGGCTGAAGATGATTAAATCCACAACCTATAAATTATTTATTAGTTAACTAACTAACGATAAGGTATAACTATATCCATGGATATGTTAGCAGCGGACAGGCTTACGTTGCATAAATCCTAATCTCCGTGGCCGCAGCGAGGAACCGCCAACCGTGCCCTGCACGATAGACTAGAAAAAAGGCCTCAAAAAGTATCGTCATGAGTCACGAGGAACTTATCTTACAAAGTTTGTAGTAGTGAATCCACACGGACCATTTCATCCGACCAGCCCCGTAGACATGTGCCGCATAGCCATCAACCCGCATCTAAGCTCGATCTAGCGGTAGACGACGATCAGTTCCGAGCCCCGGCAACGAAGTCCCGAGATCGAGTCACATTCGTTTTGTTCACGTGTCGATCACCCGTGAGTGATAACGATAGCCTATGTGGACAAAGTCAGGGCTTTAATGGGGCTAACGTGAATTGGCAACGTGGGTTGGGGATGCATAGCATAAAGTGTGCACAGTGCACGATCCTCCCGGACCCGGAACTCGGAAACGGAGTTTGCCTGAATTGCGCGGATAGATTTAACGCCGAGGGTCGGAGGAATCTCTCCTCTCCAGGGCCTTGCGAGCTACTTTCCCTGATAGGGTATGAGTACATATGCTGGTTATTAATGTGGAATTAAGTGTATAAGCTATGTACTGATAGTTATCAGCCTCAAGATACACTTGGTAAATAATTGGTTCCCGTCTCTTCTTCCTCAATCTCAGCTCATCATGCCATATGCTATCAACCTGGTTACCTAGGCTATCAACCTGATTAGGCTATCAACCTGGTTAGGCTATCAACCTGGTTAGGCAAATTGGCAATCCGCCTAAAACATATTTTTTCGCAATCCACTCCAGTAGACATCAAAATCCATCTCTCGGCCAACAGAGTAACAAACGGCCGAAGCCGAAGTCCTTGATGTCATACCTGTCATGAACAGTGGATCTCGGAAAATTAGCAGCCAAACGCCGAAGATCCGATGTCGATTATTGGGCGTTCAATAAAGTGTGGTTGACAACCAGCCACGGCTTAGTTGGCCGATTATTCTTGACAAAGACCCTGAATTCAATTGTTCTGGACTGCGGCTGGATCTCGACCTTACCTCATCGTTTCCCAATTGGGCAATTCTCGTACTCAATTTACATGGAAGATAGAAGAAAGGTTGATTACATGATAGAACATCTTCGACCGTGAGAGAAGCCTAAATATTAAAATATTCCAGATGAAAATTGAGACATTTCGTATTCGGGTACTCCGTAGGGCTACAAAGTGGAGATCAAAGCCCTGGAGTGTTTCGAAACGGGAAGCCATGCGAGCGAACCACCTACCCACCTGGGGCATTTTGAGTGCTTAGGTCATCTCCAAGCCGCACCCTTGGAACCTCGGAGCCTTGCCAGGTGGCTCGGTGATATCCGAATGGATCTTACCTAATATGCCAAGATCTACCTCGGAAAGTCCAAGGCATCTGAAAAACAGGACACCTTGGCAGGTCTGAGGTCTGTGACGTACGCCAAACACGCTATCATGGCTCAAGTATGCAGTAAGGACTGTACATCTGTACATTGTACCTGTATCACGAAGCGAGAAACACCTAATCTAACCCCCTCCTTGCAGGGCGCGGTGTCAGGCACTGTTTTGAGCAGATTTCATGTGGGGACCAATGAGATCCACCAATGCCTCATTGTGTGTCACCTGAGGAATGTCCGTACACGACGTAAATTGTGTGTAGGCAACGCTGTAGAACTGTGCAATGAGCAAATCTGGATAGAGTACCCCGTTGTCTTAGCTAGGGATGTCAGAACTATGCTGCCTCATGGCCTCATGAGGATCCGTGCATGCCAATGGTTAAGTACTTCCTGTGCGTTCCCCACAGCGCTGCCTACCCATGCATGGATTCCTGGTCAATCGCGAATTCCTGGGGAATGCTAGTCTGTCAATACTGCCAAGGCTGGGCACTCGTCGTACTCGTCTAGGACAGAGTACAGGCGAGGGGTAGTGTTGCATAATACAGAATACGCATACGGAACAATGTGGCTTGGCTTCTAAGGTTTCAAGAGCCTCCATGCTGACATGCCAACTCATTAGATGTCAATTTGGATACCTGGATAGGAAGCCGACACGTCGACATGTGGTCAAAGCAATTGTCAGCGATCGTAATTGTCAGCTACGGAGACATCCATGGATTCAGATCTGATACATAGATGATGATGTGATTTGACAGTGATTGGAAATCGATATGCTATGTAATCCGAACCTGAAGTTTCCAAGGCTCGATAGGAACCTTAATGAGTGTATCAGTAATCAAACTAACCACGAAAGGAAATAATGGAATTAAGGAATTAAGGAATTAAGAAATCAAAAAATCAAAAAATTAAAACGGCAACAAGTGCGACCGATACTCCGATCGGTTTTCTATCCTCCGATGCGGACCACGGCACGGCGGATTGGTCATCCGAGTGCCGTACAACAGTAGGTGACTCATTGATCTTAAGAATTGGATTTTGAATTGTGTATACTGTATGTAGAGTAGGTACATATGTACTGTATAAATATTCTAAGTATCTAGAACTGTTGTAGGTACCCTAAGTAAGCACAATGTGTAACGTAGCGGTGAAGATCTAGAAATCCCAGGAACCTTGGAAGCGAACAGTGCATTATTCATATCTCGGGCTCGGCGTATACCCTTTCTCCATTTTTTATTTCCGGTGGATCTCTCATCATCCGTAAAATCCGTTTCGGGTGGATCGGACAAAACAAAAAAAAAAAAAAAAAATGCCTTGTCAGATTAAATATAAACTTGTTGTCCTGGAATTGTTTCTGATATCTCATCTACTTCTTAAACCTGTTACACTATCTTGTCCCCCTGGAACAAAAACCTGATCTACCATCTATACTTTCAATACTTTCATGTATAACGAAGTTGATCTACTCCCCTTATCCCTTAGATCACACCGCCCCACGACGATCCACTGTGACTGGATGACGCCTAATTGAGTCACCACCAAAGAGTCATAATAATCCTTCAAAAGCTCCTCTGGCCCACCATGGACTCTTCTTCTATCACCTCGACCTCCAAACCCTCCCCCTACTTTGACTCTCTCCTCCGTCGTCGCCAACAAAAGAAAATGAGCATCACTCAAACATACTACCTCGCCCACACCGCCCGGAAGAAGCTCACTCATGAAGCTTCCCGGGCAGACCACGACCTGCGCCTGCTCGTTGGCCACGCCAACCTCCTCGACTCGCTGATGTACGACCTGGCTGATGCCGAGCGTGAACAAGAACGCTGGTTCAACCAGACCGTCAGCGGAGCCACCAAGGCTGCTGCTTCTTCCTCTCGTCAACACATCCAATGGGCTTCGACTGTGGTCGAAGAGCCCGAGGAAGACTCGGACGCAGAGGATGCGTCCGATCTGGACTCCGAACACAGCGACAGCGACAGCGACGACTCCGACTACGATGAGTCTGAATTCGTTATCAACACTCCTGTCCGCCGCCGCGCCCCATCACCAGTGGCGGCTCACTTCCAGGAGGACCTGCTAGAGGAGGAAGATGACGACACAGATTCGGACTTTGAGTACGACGACGAGGAGGATCTGGACGAGCTGAGCTTGACTCGCTCACCATCACGACAGTCGCCGCCTGAGCTCCTTGCTGACTCGGATGGAGAGTCCGAGGACGAGGCGACGCCGCCCTCCCCGCCCCAGCCTACGCTGGAGGCATTCGATGTAAAGGAGCCTGCTACCACGGCTATTGCCTTGGCAGGCTCTGATCAACCCCATCTCTTTGAGCAAGGGTATTTTGGTGCACAAGAGCAGACCATCATCGAGGCTTATTGATTAAGCTCGATCACTCATACATATTCCACTTACGATCCCGACTATACTCTCTACCTCTCTCTCTGCCTTGTGTACCATCATCCAGCGATACAAACGTGATACCCTGATGCTTTTATGACGATATTTTGGAGCTAGCTTATTATTACCATCTCTCATCTTCTCTTTTCTGGCGTTTTTGGTTCGGTCGCATTGGGCGAACCCTCATTTTTGGACATTTCATTATTTTCATGTCATATGGACATTTTATTACATATCCCTCTCATCTCTGGCTATCTGTGATAGCGGCCCAACATTCAGCTCTCCCTTTTTTAAGGTCGAGACTGTGCATTGGAGCGTTGAAACATCGGGGGGAAGACATTGTCATCCCAGCCGATGTACATACACGAAACAAGTGTCTGAACTTCCCCCACAGAAAAAAACAATAAACAATCCAATAAAAATTCAAAATCCTCAACATTTTCCACCTACTCCGCACTTTGTAGCAAGTAGCAGTAGTATAGTAAATAGTGCCATTCAAACCGGCAGAATCACGCATGTGACCTCGTCGATCCGCGCCCCGAGCGCGCAGAATCCGTTCCCAGCCAAATGGAAGTGCAGCTCGCCAGCACGCAATGATCTTCACCGCCGGATAAGATAGATAGATCAGAGCCAAGGGAGATAGTGTAAGATCATCGCGGCTAGGTCGGCATAGGGCGCCGCTACGGGTTAATAGTCAGCTGAAGGGTTTTACTAGTTTCATTCTTTAGGATGTGTTCGGACACTCCGCGGACTCGAGTGGATTCCGGAAGGGGGGAAGTTTTTTTTTTCGCTTCTTTTTCCTTCGAATGGATACCTTGGCTGTGTTAGAAGTAAGGTAGGGCGGGATCCATATTGGGCTAGTGAGCTAGTGAGCTAGTGAGTGAAAATCTTGAGGCTGGGGGGGCTGAGGCGTTTTGGGTATGCTCAATGTTGGGCGATTTGGACTGGTCATGTTATTGGTTCGGCTCGTTTTGTTTATTGCAAGAGATCTTCCCCTATCTGGCATCACTTCCGTTATCTGACGGTTCACTTTGTACGACCGTACGGAGTATTTAGACCCTGGAATATGAAGTTAGTCATGCTATATGCATAAGGTACATCATAAACTACGTGGGTCCTTTTATTGTGGCTTAGTACGGAGTACATATCTAACTGTTGAAATGTCCCGATATGCTAATCTGTATATCACGTATATCACGTATTTTTACTATCGCTTCAAAAATTGTTGCTATACAATATATACTGTTGACTTGGTATCTCTAATATCGCATCCATAGTAGGTTGAGCTATCTCTTTTACTCTTGCCCTCAAGCAAACCTTGCACACGGGCAAATTTATATTGATGCCATCGTAGTTTAGACTATTTAGATCATTCGTAGCAGCTACATTGCTTAATTTTGAAGTCTCGTGAACTTTTCCATTTCTTGCTTCCTAATTAGATGTAAATATATATGCCTACAAGTGGAAAGGTAGGGCTCTTTCTTTTTTGACATTCTCATCTGAGCCCAGTACCCAGATTAAGACTTCATATAGAAACCTCTATGTAGTTTTTAACAGTTTCTTCCTCATGTGGGCTAAATGAAGCTTTCAATTATATACAACATAGGGTTTTGTCAATCACTGGACCCGCGGACGACCTGCTGATCTTACATAAGCACAGTTAAGCTCCCGCTATCGATAACTGATCACCGCCCTGACCGTCCTGCCCCTCGCTGCATCCGTCACTCTCCAGCTCAAGCAAGATGACTCGTGACCATCACCCTTCCTAGTTTCCATTGCAAAGACCCTCTCAAAACATGATACCAAATCCCCGCTTGGTCCTGTGGAACCCTCAACAACCCCGTGGCCGCTGATACGTGCTACTAGCTCTGGTCATTTTATTTACGTCAACACACGGCCCACGAAAACCAACAAACCCATTATACCCCTGTTCATTTGCATCATCGCCGAAGATCAGCCTCTTAATGTCTGCACCGACTTCTCCAAAAGTCTCATCCGAGTCTGCAGGGCGACCCGAATTCAGAGATCATACGATCCCAGCTGCGGGGTCCGGCCACACCCGTAGCCTTTCAGGCGAGGGTAAGCCCAGAAGCCACCGGAGATCGATCCAATTCAGCGTCGGCGCCGCAGAGTCTCAATTGCCCACTCGCTCGTCGAGCTTCAAGGAAAAGCGGCTGTCATACGGGGATACCCCGACGAGGGAATTATTGGATGAAAAGGAACGGGAACACAAAGCTGCCCAATTGAACCGAGGGCCGTCTCCACCACCGCCGAAGTATGTTTTGCTTGAAGACTGTGTGTGAAATGGCGTGTACTGATATATAGCAGAACCTACGAGCGAGGTGTCTCTTTCGACACTTTCGACAATTTCGATGCTACCGATTTCTCCCTCACATTGAACTACAAACACAAAGGCTACCAGAACACACGTCGCAGCAGGACGTTTTTGTGCGGAACAGACCAGAACGACTACTCCGAATTCGCCCTCGAATGGCTCATTGACGAGCTGGTGGATGACGGGGATGAGATCGTCTGTCTTCGGGCGGTGGAGAAGGACTCGCGCATAGCCAGCGATGTCGGAATCGAAGAGCGAAAGTACCGGGAGGAAGCCGAAAAGCTATTTGAGCAGGTAATCCAGAAGAACAGCCAGGATGAGAAGGCGATCAGCTTGGTCCTGGAACTTGCTGTGGGCAAGGTTGAGAGCATCATCCAACGCATGGTAACCTTTCCAAGAACCCCATTTCTACCTCCTACCAATCTAACATCCTCTAGATCCGCATATACGAGCCCGCAATGCTTGTAGTCGGTACGAGAGGACGCAACCTGAAAGGAGTGCACAGTCTGCTCCCAGGCTCCGTCTCCAAATACTGTCTCCAGCAATCACCCATCCCGGTGATAGTCGTTCGGCCTTCACCGAAGCGCGAAAAGAAAAAGAAAAAGCGCCGTGCAGACCCAACACGACGCAACTACAACCATATCCTGGAAATGAGCGAGCAGCGCGGTAGTCAGATATTCGGCGCCAGCTCCAGCAACGATAGTAGCACTTCGAAACTGCCAGACGAGGAGGCTGCAGTGGCGGAGGCACTCGGACTCCCCGCATCATACTCGAATACGGCTTCGCGCAGTTCTTTGTCCGTCTCCGACCGCAGTAGCATTAGCCACTCCGACTCCGACTCGACTTACCCCATTCGGAACTCACTGGATGCAGTGGTTATGGCGAGTCCGGGTATCGGAAGTCCAGCAGATAGCTCTCAGGAGAGCGTCGTTACTCAGCCATTTCCTTTGCTGAACAGGACTGTGGTCTCGCCTTCTCCCTCTGATCAGCCCGACTCTCCTGAGTCAGACTCCTCTACCGAGGAGGACAAGCGTGATGAGGCGAACGAGGCTTCCGATTCATCCAAGACTCCCGTGTCTATCCCGGTGATCGAAGTTTCAGATAACGATGATAAAAACGACAAAACGAAAGAATCTGAATCCTGAAAATATGGCTTGCTTGATCCGCAGTGGGTTCTTATCTTCATTTTGCTCGTGTTGCGCTATACATTAGATCATTGCGCTTCTCACATACTCACGATGCATACGAACCGTCCGATTTCACATCTCTGCTTCTAGCCTCTCTCTATCGAACAGAATAAACGCCAGGAACCACGTCAGTTCGCACGGAACTGACCGTTATACCCCGGCTCAATACCCTCATCACTTATTGTCCTCAAATATGTTCTGACCTGGTTAAACATTGCACACGTTTGGGCCATGTGTATCTCTCCCCACTCTTGTGCCTACAGTGAGAATTCGCTGAATGAATGCATAAACATCGATTGCTTAATCTCTTACAGATGTGTAGACTGTAACTATTTGTTTACTCGTAACTACTATTCTTGTCGTAGTATATACCTAACCTAAGTAAGTCCAGCTCTACATACGGATACTAATCCATATAATAACAAGTCCATAGTCATGTTTAGTACATTTGAATACGGATCTACATGCATTTCTTATAAAGGAAAAAAATTAGAAGTAGCCAGAAGGCGAAGCATTCATTCAATCACGTTAAAGTTGAGTGGTGCTCCGGGTATTGAGAAAAAGGACAAGGACAAGAGAAAAGCAAGAGCAAGAACAGAAGAGAGAATATGCAAAGCACGAGAAGAAAGAAAGAGAATAAGAACAAGCTAAACATCAGCAACCCTTTCATCACCCTCGTCATCCCATCAATCTCTCCATACCAGTTTCCATTTCCATCCACAGTAACCCCCTACTAGATCCGCAGATGGGAAAATGAAAGACAAGAATATGAAATAGAAGTGATTCAGCAAGCCCAATTGCAACCTTGGAAGCAAAGTCCTACTGTCAAACACTGCTCGACACCCATCTCTCAATTCAATGAAAAGAAAAGAAGAAAAGAAGAAACAAGAATAATAATTGAAAAAGATGTCAAAATTGTACACTATGAATCGGGTCTTTTTTTCGAAAGAAGCTTCAAAAAAGTAAAACCAGCCGTGATAAAGTGAAAAAAGGAAGTCCTAGGGGATAACCGACCAGTCGGAAAATGCAAAGGACTGAGACCGATTAAAAACAAAGGCGCATGGCTTTCCCCACGGGAAAAACAAGATGGAAAATGACGAAAATGAAGAAATCTTTTTGTGAACCAAGAAAATGGAAAACGTTGATCATTAACTCCTAAGGACTTTCTATGCTGTGGATTCGCCGTCCTTGACAGACGGGGTTTTTGAGGGACGACGCTCCGCGGCCGCGGGCTGCGACTTGGTGAGCATTGGGGAAGTGGGGTTTGACGGTGGCGAGGTGGCCATGTTATCCCGATCTTCAAGGGCAGCAAGCGCGCTGGGGAGGGTATTAGCATGGGGGGTTCCGTAGGAGGAATGCGTTGGGAGTTGCGTACCTGAAAGCATTCATAGAAGAGTTGTCTTCCTTCTTGCTGCCGGTAGGAGTGCCGGTGCGGCTGCTGGCGGCGCTGTCGTCGCTACCACGGACTAGGCTACCGCCGGGACCGAGGTTCTTGCGGCCGCTGTTGGTGCGCGAACCGAGAAGGCTGGACGGACCGAATGACATGGGCTGGTTAGTGTTGCGAGTCGCACGCAGGCGGCGGAGATCGTCGCTGCCAACCTTGCTGGAGGCGTAATCGGGGGGAGGGGCCTGGTTTCCGTATCCGAAGCCGCGGGCGTCACCGCGACCCATGGGGATGCGGCCACCGCCTCCACGGTTGCTGGACTGGCGCTGGCGCTCAGCTTCAGCGGCTTGTGCGGCACGGGCAGCCTATTTCAAGAGTTAGAGATGAGACATAGTGGATCATAGCAATGAAGGTTACTCACAGCCTCGCGAATCTCAACAATGGTCTGAGGACCCTTATCGGCATCCTTGGAGTTCCAGCGTGCGGTACGCAGATCAATAATATCCTGGAAATCATGTTAGTCTTTTGTTTCCTCCTCAAAGGACGAAAAGCTAGAGAGAAACTTACCAGAAGCATGAAACGAAGACGGCTGGGCAAGTTGGGGGTCTCAACCATGAGGTGAATGCGAGCAAAGTAGGCGTCCATCATGGCAGGTCCCTTCTCAGAGGCATCGAGGCTGGCACCGATGGTGCGCAGCAGACTGGTCAAACTCTCGACCTCGGCTTCATCGGGAATACCCTCGTAGTCCACAAGCTTCTTAACACACTCGTGCATGATACGCTCTGTAAGCATGCCAAGCTTGTAAAGTTCACCAATGAACTTGACGAGACCAAGACCACGACGCTTAGCGGCGGCAGCGATGTAGTATTCTTCGGACATCATTGCAACCTGAGATCGATTATTAGTACAGGGGGTAAATAAAGTCGATGTAGATCGACATACCTCTTCAGTAGTGCCCTCGGGCTTATCAGGCAGGTTAGTTTTCCAGCCACGCTCGAACTCTTCTTGGCAGCGGTTAAGCAGGTACTTGCGGAACAGACTTCCACCAGCAACAACGGTGCCATTTCTGTCACGAATGTTCTCATCCTTAATTTCTGGGCTCATGCTCTCCAGCATGCTCTTACAGAACTTGGCGTACATGGGGGCCCAGTGAGCCTCATCAGTAGCCTTCTCGAATGTGAGTTGGATGACCTGGCGCAGGGTACGGCCGTCGGACTCGTCCTTGGACTGGGAGACAATCGCGAGGATCTGACCAGAGATACGGTCGAAGTTCTCCGGGGTCATCTTGTTAAGAGCAGCCTTGACCTTGCGCTGCACGACATCCGGTGCCAAGTAGCCCTCACCACCAGGGGCGGGACCAGCACCAGCGCCTTGACCAATACTGCGAGGCTTCCAGCCAGTCGCGGTGGTTTGAATTGCCTTCAAATCCATGCCAGCGGTAAGAGGCATCGACTTGTTTTGTGCCTCGTCCTGTCGGCCACCGTGCTTCTTCGGTCGGCTGTCGGTGCGGGGACCCTTGCTCGAGTTGCCACGAGGAGGAACACCGGCAGAGTTTTGGCGAATGTTGCCCATAGGACCCATGCCACCAGGCCCGCCTCGTGGGAATCCGAAGGATGCATTGCGGCCGCCCATCGGTCCGCTGCCCATAGGGGGCATCTGACCAGGTCGGCCTGTATTGAAGCTGCCCATGGCGGGGAAGGCTCCTCCTGGAGTCATGGGGCCGCGAGAGGGATTACGGCTACCACCCATGCTAGGGGTGCGGGCAGACTGGGGACGGGAAGAGTCGGTGGCGTCACCAACTGTGTCCCGCAGACGGGAGTCCCAGTCGACGGAGATCTTGTCCTTGAATGCGGCCTGGAATTGCAGCAGGAAGTCCCGGTCGTAGTGGAACTTGCGGCCTTCAGGCGCAGCGGCGTTCATAGCGGCGTCGGGAGGGGTGATGGACGAGGGGTAAGTGATCTTGCTGAGGTCTTCCAAGAACTTGGCATTCTGCAAAGACTTCATGCCGGCGGTTGCTTGCAGGGGCTCAGTGGGCTTGGGGGTATCAAGCTTGAGGCCAGCGGGCTTCTTGGGAACAGCGCTGGCAGGCTTGGCTGGTGGGCCCATGTCAGACGAAACAGGAGTAGCAGCACCGCTGTCACCAGGTGTGGAAGACTCAGTGGCAGTGTATCCACCCTTCTTGAGCGAGGCAAAGGCATCCTTGCTGTCGTCCTGGGCGGCCGCTTCACCAACACTAGCGGCGTTCTCGCGGGCAATCTCGCGGGCCTCAGCCTCAGCCTCGGCCTTCTTCATGTTGGCCTCGTAGTTCTCAAGTTCCTCGCGCTCCTTGCGTGCGGCTTCTTCCTTCTTGGCTTGCTTTGCACGGTTGTAGTCTTCCTCGGCGGCGCGCTCCTTAGCCTCAATCTCGGCCATTTCACGCTCGATGGCATCAAAGTCGATTTCATCGTCATCCGCGGGAGCGGCAGCTGGAGCAGGAGCCTTCTTGGGCTCTTCGGCAGGGGCAGCAGCTTCCTTCGATTCTTCAGCAGCATCGGTCTTCTTGGGCTCCTCAACGGGAGCGGCCTTATCCTTGATGCTGAGATCTTCAATGGCAGCGCGGGCTGACTCAGTATCATCCTTCTTGGCATCGGTGGACGCGGCTTCAGTGGTCTTGCGAGAGGCCTCATCAGCCAGACGCTGCTTCTGAGCAGCCTCATCCTGCTGGATCTTCAGGCGAACGGCGTCCTTCAGCTCCTGCTTCTTCTCCTCATCGGTCTTTGTGGCATTCGCCTTGCTCTCGGTACGAGTGTGCTCAGACGCGCTGGCAGTGCGAGGGGGAGGAGTGGATGTGGGAGGAGGAGTAAACTTCACGGGCGAAGGGGTGGCACGAGCAGGGGATGCGGGATTCTTTTCGAAGGTCTTGACTGAGCCGCTGTTGGGGTCCTTGATGATGATTGGACTCTTCTTGGCTGAGGGAATGATGAAGTGTGGCTTGGGAGCGGGGCTGTTGGAGGCGCGGCTGCCAGTGTGGGTGTGACCTGGGACAGCAGGACCAGTGGGTGCCGGTCCTTGGCCGAGGCTCGAACCTGGACGATCAGTAGATACCTGAGAGGGAGTACGCGAAAGTGGGGTCGCCTGAGGCATGGGGTTGGGGAATTGCTGTCCCATGTACTGAGGGTTGTAGGGCATGCCAGCAGTACGGGGCTGGGGCGACGGTGGTCCCATGTAGTAACCACCATTCGGGTTGTAGTAACCAGCGTAGTTGGGATCGTAGGCGTTGGGGAATGACTGTTGAAATTTAACCATTGTTAGAATTTGTTCGAACTGACCACTTTCGGGCGCAAGATCCACGGGGTACTCGGGTGAGTATGTAGGGTTGTCTTTGCGCCGCCAAGAGCTGGTAAGGTTCCTTTGGGGGCGACGCCAGGGATCCTGGAAAGAACGAGAAGGGGGGGATCTCACAGCTTGGGGGCCCATGTGTTGACCGTAACCGTAAGGTTGCTGAGGCATCTGGGGGTGTGCCATCGGAACCTGGTTCATTTGAGGAGTGGTAGGGTTAACGTTGGCCAGGGCAGGGCTGCGGTTGGCCTGGTGAGGCGAGTTCGGGTAGGGAGCCAAAGGACGGCCCTGGTTCGAGCCGTGAAACTGGGGACCCATGTTAGGACCGCCTCGGGGCTGGTTGGGGGTCTGGCGGAAACCGGGGTTAGGAGAGTAGGGCATCTGCTGTCCCTGGTAGCCGGGCTGGGAGTATCCGCGACCGCGACCACCCTGGTAGCTTGAACGTCCGGGGCCGTTGCCCATGTGGTTGCTCATATCGCTGTGGGTGGATTGGGAGGACTCGCGACGCAGGTGCTGGGCACCGTGTGCAAGAGAAGCCTGTAGAATCGAACGCATGTGTGAGCAAAACAATTTCGAAAACAATGAGGACTTGGAAAAGTCGCGCACAGGTGGTGCCACGCTTTATAACACATTTGCGCACCAAGATCACTCAGAGGGAAGAATGCCAGACACTTACGTTGGCATCAACAGATTCTCCAAAGCTACCAAAGTTCGGCACATTTCCTTGCGCCTGGTAAGTCGATGGAGGTGGACGGCCGCCGCTAGACGCGGGCTGAGGAATAGGCGAGGGAGAGGTCTGAGGAGACGTCACCCGGGGGTTTGTCGAAGGAGCACCAAGTCCAGCCTGGGCCTGGTTGGAGGCAGGCACAGCGGGAGCACCCATGTTGGGAGAACTCTGCTGGAATCCGAACTGAAGACTGTTGGGCCGACTGGCCGGGCCACCGCCGTTGGGAATGTAGCCGGAGGTACCGCTCGAGGTGATGGTCACAGATGGCTTGCGAGAGTGATCGCCGGAGGAAGCAGCCGAAGCAGTGGGAGCTCCATTGACAATGGTCACGCCAGAAGAGGCAGACTGCTGAGATTGATTTTGCATGGGTTTGCCGTTCACAGATACGGAGCTCGACTGCCCATGTTGCGCTGAACCGCCCACGGTGACGGGTGCGGCGGTAGAGTCCGTCGCGGACTTCTTAGTGGCGTTGGCGTAAGATCTGGCTGGCGCCTGGGGGGCAGCCAGGGGGGTAGAGGATGCGGGCTGGGTCGAAGCGGCGGGAGTAGCGGTGCTTTGTCCTTGGTTGCCCGACTGAGGAGGGTTCGAGCTCATTAGACAGGTTGTACGTCTAAACGCGCGAAGAGGGCGATGAAGGTTCGAGAAAAAAAGACGAAGGTGATGTCAGTACGCGGAGGCGTAACAAGGCCACATCCAAACCTAACTGCAGGTTGTCAAAGGGATGAAACTTGATTAAATAAGGGAAAACGAGTTTCCAAATACACAGAAGACCAGGTACGCAGCAAGAGCAGCGTTTTGGTCGACAGTGTTATGGTGTTTAAAAGGGTTGTTTCAAAGGGTAGATGGGTGGTGGGAGGGAAAAAATTCAAGGGAAAAAAAAATATTCGGGTTTGTGGAAAACGAAAGGGCAGAACGAGAGAGAGAGAGAGTTGCGTCCCGCGACCAACGTACCTTTGAATGTGTTTTATGGGATTGATTCTCTTGAGAATCTCTAGAAAAAATGAAATTAATGAAATTTCAGAAAGAGAAGTGAAAGTAAAATAGAAAAGGTCGAGAGTCACCATGTCTACAACGCCACCCACATGTTACAAAGAAATCTACAAGGGTTTAGTAGTATAGTGTCTATTTTGTATAAAGATGAATGTACAATAATATGAGTTATAATATTAAATAATAGCTATGACTCTACTCGTATTATGGCTCTGAGTATTCTTTATTCATCTGGAACCTGATAGACCCTCCAAATGCCCCCAAAGGCCCCATTTTCCCCGTTTGCCACTTATGGTGACCCCGTACTATCGACATCTACGGATCTACATCTATACAAGATACTTATAAGGTACCTACAAGGTACACTATATATGTCATAGCTATATCCTATTATATTTCCTTTCCTATCTCCTAAATGCACCCCTAATTCAATAACACTCAATAGTAGCCATTGAGGTACAGGGATATCAAATACTTCCCCATATCCCCCCTCCCCGTCCTTGCAGTGCATCTGCGTGAACTCTTTTATGCAAGGCTATTCCTCCGACCGGAGGGATTCGGCTTGACATCCTCGGCTGTTCTCAGTAATAGTTGGGCTAGCATTGAATTCAAGTTCAATTTAACTGTTATTCAGCAAGGCGAAAAAAAACCCCATGGTAACATAGCATGTCTCCCATCCCTATCTCTCACCCAGCAAGAGCAAAGTTTTCAAGTTCTATTTTGGTTTTCTTGTTCTACTCTAACCCCCTTGTTAAAAGTAGAACATCTCCGCGGGCAGACTCAAGATCGGTCGTACCCGGTTGCGCGCGACCGGGCAATCTCATCGACAGCACGCGCCGCAAAGTCAGTACCAGATGAGCCCGAGGAATCTTGCTCGTTGCCGAACCAACCAGATGTCCATCCACTAGTCTTTCGTTCCGGACGACGTCCTAGATCCTCATCATCAACCACCTCGAAGGAGTTCTCGCTGCGATTCTTGCGCAACGGCACGCCGTAGGCAAGGTCATCAGCCTCGAGTCCACCCCGAGGGTTGCTCTGCTCCTCTTGTGCTAGGGTTGACCGGAGGTGATCTAGCAGCTCTCGCTGCGAGGAAATATAGTGAGCTTTCTCGGCTCCGGACATAGACTGCAGCTGGCGCTGGAGGAGATTGCCACTGGCTGAAAGCTCCTCGTCCCGCGCTTCCCGAGACTTTCCAGATGTAACTGAGCCCACGGCGGCACTGAGAACAGAGTACCAATCATTTGTGTTGGCGGACCCCCCGGCACCTCCGGCAACGGGGATGTTGAACCGCGATAGTAGCGACTGCGCGTAGGAAGCGGCACCTGGCTGAGGAGGTGTCGTGGGGCGTTGCGGGGGTAGACCCAAGACTTTCTGCCGGATCAAATCGATGGCTTGGTAGAAGTATTGGAGACCCAGTGCCTTGGCCCGTTCATGAGTGTGGCCGATCATATCTTCGATCTCCCGCTCATGGTGTGTCAAGAACGGGTCCACGTAGTCTTGGTACAGTAAGCGAGCCCCTTGCGTCTGGGGGAGGACGAGATACGCCATGAAACCGAGGCGGATCCAGCTGTAGAATGGGAACCTGGATAATTATCAAGTCACGATTAGCTTGTGATCCTGTTGAGCGGAGCAGGTTGAACTATACCATCCGATGATAAACACTGTCCATGATTCAGCCAGCAAAATGACTGAAAGCACCACCCAGTACATCAGCCATGGTGCGAGTTGTGAGGGGTCAGAGGAACGGAGAGCCTTGTAGGAAGCGAAAACGGGGAAGAAGATCGTGATGACCGAGCTATAGAAATAGATCTGCGTTAGCTTGCGGACCCCTTCTTTCCGAGGTATATGAAGTTTTGAGCTTACGACAACAAGTCCGCAAAGATTCCAAACATGATGAAGCCTGGGTGAATTGAAGATGTGAAAAAAAAAGAAAATCCCTGGGGATTTTTTGTGTCTTCAGTCAGCCCCGCTGATCTGAGACGAACACCGAAGTTGGACAAAAAGAGGAGAACAAGGCAACAAAGATAGTTCAGGGGTATATGATGCTTGAGAGTAGAAATCAAATAATAGGAACTATATAAATAGTACACATAAATCACTTCACGATAACTCCCTATTAAGAGACGTGACCACTCGCATTTCCCAAAGAGATCAACAGATGTGTGTTGACGTCACGCGAGACACTTTTTGCTTAAGTGCATTGTTAATGATTTAGTCATTAATGCCTGTGTTGTTTAAGATGTATATCTTGGAAATTCATATCTTGAATATATTTGTGCTCTTTGTTTTAAGAGTAATGTTATTACCTTGAATATGGTACAAGTACAAGCCCGACAAGGTACACCTTACGAGTGGCCCAATCACCCGAGATGCCTTAGCTAGTTCCTTTCTACGTGTTATGGCCCGTTCCTCTTTCTCTTCCAAGATTTCCTTTCTCTTTAGAACCCTTGCTTCTACTCCATCCTATATACACTGTTCTTAAATTCGTGAATCCTTGTTATTCCCCGCACCGTTCAACTACCTCGGGGGACCTCGGAAACTCAAACCATGTGTATCGCATTGATCTCAACTGCCCACCCGGAATACTCGTTGATCATAATCAACAACAGAGATGTGAGTATTTCCCACTCTGAGCGGTGGAATCCCAAGCTTAACATATCTAGGAATTCCTCCATCGTCCTACATCATCGCCAGACTGGTGGCCAGAGCCATCCTCACATGTCCTCGGCTCACGAGACCTAGCCCGATCTACACATGGCACTTGGATGGGGGTCACCAAGCATGGCAAGGTGGCAGTTCTTACCAACTACCGTGAGGACTCGACCAGCGCAGCCATCGGAGTCTATAGCCGGGGCGTCATCGTTAATAGCTGGTTGATCGGGTCCACCGACAAGCGAGAGGATACCAGGGAGTTTGTACAAGGCATCGTGGCTAGTCCAGAAGCAAAGCAGGTGGGGGGTTTCAGTCTGGTGTGTGGACATATCAGCGAGCCCTTGGCCATTGTCTCCAACCGTTCCACAGACATGGATCAGATCACCTGGGTGGCAACGAAAAAACACCAGACACGTGGGCTTAGCAACACAAGCTATGATGACAGAACCTGGCCTAAGATTATTGATGGAGAGCAGTTGATGGAGGCTGCTATTGACGAGCATGTGCAAAAGGGAGACGGGGAGGACGAAGATGCGTTGATTGATCGCCTGCTGCAGGTTCTCAACACGGATAGTCTGCCACGACTGCCAGAGGAGAACGCTACAATTGAGATGTACATCAGTCATTTGCACAAGACCATCTTCGTTCCTCGCATCGGTGCTCCAAATGATCGTGATCAAGTTGAAGAGAAAATCGCTGCAGCTCGGGTAGAGGATGAGGCCGAAACCCCGACAAATGGACCCCCTGACCAGAGTTATACCTGTGGATCATATGGGACACAGAAACAAACTGTTCTCTTGGCACGACCGGATGGACGGGTGCGATACTTTGAAAGAACGTTGTATGACAATGATGCGATGGCGGTGCCGATCGGGCAAGGCGATCATTCATTTGAATTCAACATCACAGAGTAGCTTCTTACAAGCTTAGTTAATACGCTTAGACCCTATAACTGATTAATGAATGCATACTGTTTGAGCTCTTCAGACCAAAACTTACCACTGCACCTAACAAGTAAGGCTGGTGTCGTCCAATCACAGCCTTAGAAATTCAGTGATGAAACAAGTAGGCGGTAGTTTTCTGCCGGAAACAGAGGTTATATTGAACTTTAAGGTTATTCTTTCGCCCTTCGGGGCATATGGTCAAATGAAAATATACAGAGAAGATTAGCATGGCCCCTGCACTAAGGATGACACGCTCAATCAAAGAGAAGCTACCTATTTTTTTTTTCCTTCGAGATCATTTATTAGGGTTATAGAGTGAGCTTGTTTGTGCTACTCTTTTTTTTGGATATTACGCTTTTGGGGAAGTCATGTGGCCACCTGCCGAAGTTCGAACCCCGTGTGACGCGAACACATTTCAAATCCCAAATCGGCGAGTGCTCCTCGCGATAGCCTCAGATCTGTACCTTCTCGTTTTACAAAATATATATTAAAAAAAACGATGGTTAAACGAAGCATTAAGGATCAATATATTGTCCCTAAGGGGAGATGCTCAAGACTGAGTGATAGTATGTCCTTTCTAAAGATTGACTACTTTATCGACAGATACTGACTGATTTAGGATCTTTTTTCCCCCGCCGTACAGGGCCGGATTGATCGAGATACGGTGCTAAAATTCACATGTGCTGTCATTTCCTATCTGCGACTGAATTAGAGTATGAAACACGTCGACGAATCCAATTATATAAATGTCAACATGTACAGGCCTCTAAGCTGATATTTCTACAGGGTCAGACACCTTATATTCTGCCAGTATTGCTTCATAAAATAGGTAGCATCACTTTTATTAAATCCCCAAGGGAATGAATCTAGAGTCTCCAGGGCTTTCAAAAAATCTTGGCTCACCCAAGACTTCCTCCTTTGACTACCTATGTAATAATTACGCTCCCATCGCAATGTTGATAGTCAATTGCGATATGACACCATCCATATTTAATTATAACCTTGCTATATCAACCGAACATTATTGGAGGTAGAGTGTAATAGGACGATGAGTCGACAGAACAGTCTCTGGAATGATCTGGAACAAATCAAAAAGCATAGAAACATCTATGCCTGCTCTATATGCATTTTCCCAATGATCACTATCTGGAAATATGACTCGGTGGACGAAAGAAAGACAGAAGTACATATCAGGGTTGTCTCGGGCGAAAAATCGTCTCCAAACTAACAACAGTCTCAGGACATTTGATCGTGGTGGGAGCGACGACAGTCCTTGCACATCCGACAAGTAGTACAAAGAATATTATAGTCGCAAAATGCTAGCGACCACTCAACGAAGAGAGTCTCACAGCTTATGCCGTACGCCGTGAGGATATTTCTAAGATATTCAACGGTTATTCCAAAGGGTTGCTTATCTTGCCTAGCCCCATAGACCTTCTCTATACTTGCTTGGTTCCATGGACTGGGAGAAGCGCGTTGGTATAAGTATTGATGGTACAGGCATGGTCGATTGTAGAATATACAATCGTGGAGCCATAGCCGTCCCGAATACAAATTTCAAGGAGGTAGCCGCCGTTAATTAGACGAGTGAACTTGGTATCGATGAAGAGCAAGTTCTTGGGTCTTGTTTGAGCCGCATTTGTCCATGAGATGAATTGCGAGAAATCACGATGTCTAGCGTGTTGGTTCATCTGATTGAGGAGTTTGTCTTTCATGTTCTGGAGAGTAGAACGTTTCACGACCTGCCTTTTAGGTATAAAAGGACCGGGATTCTCGCTTAGCCCTGGGTGGTGCCTAGTGGAGTGTTTCTTCAATCTAGTACGTGTTGAGAATGTTTGACCGCAGGATTGTTGCGAACCTGAAAATCTTCCTATTAAGCCAAAACTAAAATTAGATCTCATCGAAAAAGTGAGGCAGAATTTTATGACATACATGACCTTTGGCTTCAAGTGTCCCCGTATGTGCTGAGCAATGCTAAGGCCGAAAAGGATCTATTGCAATGTGGGCATGGTGACCTCTCCTCCGTGTGTGTCTTCAAGTGGTCTTCAAAGTAGTACACGGAGACAAGAGTCTCACAATGAGAACAGAAGACCTTATTCGTGTGGCGCTGTATGTGTGCAACAAGGGTCGTGGACTCGTGGGTGAATAGAGCTTACTGCAATACTACTCACTTCAGACCTTAATAATGTATGTAGATAATCGAGCCGCCGCGCGCGGAGCGCGGCCTTTCTCTTACGCTTAAACGTAATATACTATTAAGATGATCAATTAAAATATATGCTCTATACCTTTCTATACGAATAAATAGGAATTTTTCGCCATTATTTTCGCTCTTTTCTTCACTTCGCTTACACTTGCTTACTATCTTTTCTTAATATAATAAATCATAATAACGAATCTTCATACGTATTGTCACAAAGTCGGGCCAGAGGCCCGGCATCTGAGGCTTGTACATGTATGTATATGCCCTAGTAACTAGTTAGTTAATTAACCACATAGTTAGGTACGGAGCACATATGGACCTCATGATTGCCGGTGGAGGGTGACCAATAGGATAAGAGCGGTAAGCGCCCACCTGCCGCAGAAAAACATGCAAATTTAGTAGGCGGTGTGTATAAATGATCGGCTCAGAAAATTTCCCACGAGCATCTTCACGCTTATATTCCGTTCTAATTACACGGCCGTGATCTACTGAGTGAGCCATTTTTAAAGATATTCTTGTTTAAGTTCTCAACTACGACATAACAATGGCTGAAGATACTAGTGCCGCGTGGCCTATCGCCGATGAGGCCCTTGCCCAGAGTCTCCTCGACCTTGTGCAGCAGGCCGCGCATTATCGCCAACTGAAGAAGGTTTTTATACGCTTCACTGGTTTCTAAGGTTAAGCTAACCGTTATGATAGGGCGCTAACGAGTGCACTAAGTCCCTTAACCGGGGTACTAGTGAACTTGTGATTATGGCCGCGGATACTAGCCCCCTCGCTATTGTGCTTCACTTGCCTCTTTTGGCTGAGGATAAGAACGTGAGTCAAATACCCTAGATCCGTACGCCGAGAATCTAGACTAATCATCTAAATTAGGTTCCCTACGTTTACGTTCCTAGTAAGATGGCTCTCGGCCGTGCTACTGGTGTTTCCCGCCCTGTGATTGCTGCCTCTATCACTACCAACGAGGCTAGTGATCTGACCGCTCAGATCCGCGCTATTAAGAACCAGGTCGAGCGTCTTATGATCTAAGATGTTCATCTTAGACATATGTCTGATTGGGAGGATTGGACACCGAACCACTGGTTTTAGGAATGGCTAGTGATCTACAATTGCAGACCACACCAGAATTACCCAATATGATAATGAACTGGAACTTCTAGTCTAATTTATTTGCAGCAAGTCCAATCCATAAGAAACTAGGAGCAGAATGTGTTGTATTGTAAATGTTCCGTTGGAAAGTCCGCTATAACTAATAGATTCCAAGACGGTAGACGGGCGGTGTCCAATTTTGTCGAAAACATACATATAAGTGGACTACATTGTATTCTATAGTTGTCATTCCCCTTTCCTCGATATCACTGGAAATATGTAACATCTGACTGCTCTGATTTCCAATATGAACCCAAGGGGTGATCACTAACAGCCTGCTGTACTTAAGCATACCAGCTTTCAAAGGTCCCAATAATCAAAACATATCCTGAATTCCTGTTATTCGGGTTATAAATCATGCCCGGGACTAACCAGAAATGTGGGTAATTGCTACCTTGATTTCGATATTATATGAGCTTAGCTTCTTTATCTTACAGGTTTGCAAAGGAGCTTCCGAGTCGATTTTGGAAAATTAAGCCGGGGATCCAACGGTTATTAACCTCTGATGTTTCATCTTGAGCATTTCTCATTTACCCGGCGCTCCATTTTCGGCCACTACACCCAAGAACGGGTTAGGCGATTCCGCAAGTGTATCCGAACAATTTCTTTTAGATTGCACTCTTTTTGAGGGTGAGACTTGTCTAGACTAGCGAAATGGAAGCTGACCTGACTTTTACACGCTTTAGTGATCTCATCTCCACATGCATCAGGCCATGGAGCTAAGCGTTTACGGCTAATCTCCGACGGATTGGGTTGACTACATATGGATGATATTGGACTTTTACATAGTTCTGATCTGTTCTTGGTACCTTGTGCTCGAACTAGTGGCCTTTGGGCAATTTGACCGTTTATCCGGCCCCTTCGGTGGTGGAGAGATCCGCCGTCTAGAAGAGACATCTCCTGCAGCCATCAGGGTTAGCGTTTCCCGGTATCCCGGTCATAATTAAGCCGAATGATTTTCCGAGTGGTTCTAGGAGAGATCTCAAACAGTGAACCCACTGTGTCTAGGATTATCTGTTAGTCTACTCCGTGAACCAGGCGCCATTTGACGCCTCCGAGCAGGGACAAGTATGGCTATATAACAGCCGGCCTCTGCATGTTTCACTCTTACTTCGCGCAATACATTCATTCACTTTCATTCAAACTTCAAGACTGGTCTCTTGATTTCCGTTCTTTTTCTTCTATTCCGTCACATTCTTTATCGTCAAACTCGACACTCACTCTCTTTTACATTTCACAATGAAGTTCACTAACATTGTCCTGGCTGCCAGCGCCGCAACCGTGGCCTGCGCATACCCCCGAGGAAGGGACGTTGTTCCCACCAAGCAGAGTGCTGATCTCAAGAAGCGTGCAAATGGATTCACTTGGCTCGGTGTGAGCGAGTCCGGTGCCGAATTCGGCGAGCACAACATCCCCGGTACCCTGGAACAGGACTACACCTGGCCCAAGACTTCCCAGATTCAGATCCTGAGAGATGCCGGCATGAACATCTTCCGTGTGCCCTTCTTGATGGAGCGCCTGGTGCCAACCAGCATGACCGGCACCCCGGATGCCACTTACCTGGCCGCCCTCAAGTCTGTACGTGATATGTCTGTTGTGGCTATTGACGCTCCTCCAAGGTCTAACAGTTCCATTCTATAGACTGTCAAGTTCATCACCGCCAGCGGTGCATATGCCGTCCTTGACCCCCACAACTACGGAAGATAGTAAGTACATCAAAACCATAATTGCTCACGGTTATTGGTATGATACTAATGCTCTATCTACAGCGCTGGCAACATCATTAGCTCGACCTCCGATTTCAAGGCCTTCTGGAAGACCGTTGCTACCGAGTTCGCCACCAACGACAAGGTCATCTTCGACACCAGTAAGCCACCAACCCCGTAGTCAATCCCACGCCATGAAAACTATCCACTAACACCATCTCCTAGACAACGAGTACCACGACCTTGACCAGACCCTCGTCCTGGACCTGAACCAGGCCGCCATTGACGCTATCCGTGCCACTGGTGCCACCAGCCAGTACATCTTTGTTGAGGGTAACGCCTGGAGCGGTGCCTGGTCCTGGGCCAACAACAACGACAACCTGAAGGCCCTCACCGACTCCGAGAACAAGATCGTCTACGAGATGCACCAGTACCTTGACGGCGACAGCTCCGGCACCTCCGAGACCTGCGTCAGCGCCACCATCGGAAAGGAGCGTCTCCAGTCCGCCACCGCTTGGTTGCAGAAGAACAACAAGCTGGGCTTCATCGGCGAGTTCGCCGGCGGCGTCAACAGCAACTGCGAGGCTGCCGTCGAGGGCATGCTCTCCTACATGTCCGAGAACAGCGACGTCTGGATGGGCGCCGAGTGGTGGTCTGCCGGTCCCATGTGGGGATCTTACATGTACAACCTGGAGCCAAGTAACGGCCCTGCTTACTCGACCTACCTTCCCATTCTCGAGAAGTACTTTGTCGACGGCACTGCCCCAGCCCCGTCCTCCTCTTCATCCACATCCACCGCCACCGCTGCCCAGACCTCTACCACCACCGCCGCCGTTGAGATCACCAGCACCCCCAGCAGCAACGTCCAGGTCCCCAGCTCCGTTATTGAGCCGTCCAGCTCGACTGCCTCAGCTCCCGCTGAGACTTCCGCCGCTGTCGTTCCCGTTGTCCCCACCACCACTGCTGCTGCCCCTACTACCCTCGTCACCGCGACCGCCACCTCCACCGCCAAGCCCTACACTCAGGTACCTACCACCAGCCCTACCACCAACCCTTCTACTGGAAACGTTGCTAAGCACTACTACCAGTGCGGTGGCCTCAACTGGACTGGAGCCACTGTTTGTGAGACTGGCACTACCTGCGTTAAGCAGAACCCCTACTACTACCAGTGTGTTAACTAAGGGATGATCTCGTATCAAGCCAAAAGGGGAGATTTTATTGATAGGTGGCTTGGTGTCAGCGTTTTCTTTCAGGTTGACTGTTATTTACACTACTTTTATACATTTCTTTCTTCTCGATTAGTTCGATTATATTATATAAATTCAATTCGAAGTTTTGCACATACTTTGTGTTTCTAGGTTTTGATGTAGTTATAGAATCCGTTTTCAATATTTATTGGAACAAACTGTCTTTCCCTATAACGTTTTCGTGTCTTATTCTGATGTGCTCAATATGGATGTAGACCCAATATAAAAATGAGTAATGCGACATTTGTCTTCTTGTGGCTAGTGCTAAAAAGACTACCTAGGGTAACTTTGCCTCTGATTTGATAAAACATGTCAGTGCCTACCTAGGTACCTATTATTTCATTTCTATGAGTATAAACGCAGGCTAACATCTCGGATGTGAAAACTGATTAATATTCTCACCAGCAAAAATAACTCAAGATAATAAAAAGTATATTCATAACTAGGTAAAGATGTCATTCTCATTATCATAATAGGCACATACCCCTCAGAGTAACTCTGCCAGGAAGAAACCGATACAAATTAACATACTGAAGCAGATCTCAGCCCTAACCGGGAAACCCCAACCAGACCCAAAAGAACCGCAGAAAGAAAAACACAAGCATCGCCAACCGCCCCTAGAAAACAAATAAAAAAACAATCCAGGGACGGAGCAAAAGGCAATCTAACCAACCCAACCCCCTCAAGCATCCTCAGCCTGATGCAAGCGCACAGTAACCAGATCAGCAGGCGCACTAGTCAAAGTAACACCATATCTAATCTTCTGATCCGGATAAATATCCTCAATCCGATCAAATCGCTGCAAAAGCCTCACAATAACATAACCAGCCTCGGTAAGCGCAAACTGCTGTCCAATACAGATCCGTGGCCCACCATTGAAGGGAATATATTCCCATCCAGGCCTCCGACTCGTCCAGCGCTCAGGCTTGAACTGGTCCGCATCAGGACCCCACAGATCCTTACGACGCTGCATAACATGCGTCGTGTACATAACCGACTGGCCCTTGCGGACGTAGACTGGGTCCTGGCCGTCCGGACCGCCGCCGCGCGGGATGGTCGTGTCGCGGGCTGCGTTGCGGCGGTTGAAGGGAACCACTGGGTACAGACGGAGGACTTCGTTCATCACGTGCTGCAGGTACTGGCAGGACTTTAGGGTGGCGAAGGTGATGTTCTGGGGGTTGGAGTAGGTGCCGAAATTGGAGATGATTGTTTCGCGGAGTTTGGTGAAGACTTCTGGGTGGCGGGCCAGCATGAGCGTTGTCCAGCTTAGGAGGGAGGCTGTTGTGTCGCGGCCGGCGAGGAGGATGTTGAGGAGTTGGGAGCGGAGTTCGATTGGGTCGCGTGTTACTTCGAGGAGGGCTTCCAGGAAGACGTAGGAGGATTTTTCGTTGGGGGAGGCTTTCTTCTCGGCTTGGGAGGCTGCGAGGGCGTTGGAGACGACTTTATCGACAAAGGAGTGGACTTGCTTGTCCGAGAACTTGGTTTCCTTGTTCTCGGCGAGGAAGGCGAGTTTCTCGAAGCGGCCTCGCTGCGCGCAGACCCATTGGGATTTGTCGAAGTAGGTGGCGAAGGAGTCTTCGGGTCTGTTTAGGTTGTTTAGAGCGCCGAGTTGGCTCTCGACACTTTCACCAAAGAGGAATTCTGTGGCGGAGTCGATGGTCAGGCGGAAGAAGATGGATTGGATGTCGGTTGTGGCGGTCCATCCGTTGGCCGCGACGGGCAGAGCCTGCATGGCCTTTTGCACATGCTCCTCTTCTAAATCCAATTGACTGATCTGCTCGCGGGTAAACTGAGGCCGAAGTAGGCCACGGGATCGGCTCCATTCCTCTCCATCGGCGGTGAACTATAAACAGTCAATACCCATAGTCGGAGAGAGAGAGAACAAAGAAGGAATAGCAAGTGACTCACAATACCAGTGCCCAGCAAGGGATGCAAGCTAATCCGACGGACAGAACCAAGCTCAAAGTCCTTGAACTGTGTAGCCAGGAGAGCCTGGATGTTCTTCGGGTCGATAGTAAAAAGGTGCGTGCGACCAAGGTTGCGGATTGAGAATGTAGTGACATAGCGTTTCTCCTGCTCACTGATGACCTTGACGCGCTCCTCGGCCAACTCAGGTACCACTTTGGCTTTGTCTGCCACCAGGGACTGTTTCAGGTTGTCAATTCCGAAAGGATCCTTGGATGGGTACATTGGCACACTGCCACAGCCCAGGCTCTTAGCATTGCGTGAGTGCTGCCATGAGTTGAATACCATACGGATGACCTGCAGCACGACGGCTGCGGCCGCAAAGCTCAAGACGAATGCCAGAGCCATGGTCCTGTTTGGAGAAAATTGGCTTTCAGAGAAATGCGGGCAGAATCAGATGTTTATAAGAGGCAACCTCGGGTCGAAGCACAAGTGGGGAAAACGGATTAGGCATGATCGTCATAGAGCTAAGGGTCAAGAGCCAATCGCAGTCGTAGTGGATGTCATAGACGATCGACGGGTTCGGGTTTCGCACTCCATGCAATTTCTACACCGATCTGGATCTCGGAGTTGTTACTTGGTGCGTGCTTAGACCCGACTTTGCGTGAGTTTTGTGTCGGAGTCGCCGTGTTCGTCTTCACCGTGTTATTCATTCACCATGTTGTACTTATTGTGAAGGTCCCCTATTCTTGGAATAATCCTCAGTTCCAGGCTCCTCCGAAAGTATCACCCGACATTGTGCGGTCCGGTAGTACGGGATAGGCAGAAGCCATGGAGGTCTGTGTGTTGGAATAATATAACGGGTTTCCCGTGTGACATCAACGGAAGTGTGCACAATTTGGATAATTTCTCAATTTCATAATTTCATAATTTCATAATCTCCATGATATTCATGATATTCATGATATTCCAATGTTGCATGTGCATACGGAGTAGTTGGCATTCAAATATCTGCAAGCCTAGTGGGGAACCCCTGTCTGCGCATTAGCGTGGTTGGCTATAGGCCGAGGTAATTCCCGAGATGAGTGATCAATGATGAGTGATCAATTAATTGTAATCAACCTCAACGTCAACCTCAACGTCAACGTCAACTCGGTTCTCTGAGATTATCTAGACAATTGGACTGCAGAATACCACCATTTCAAATTAAAACTGCGGATACATGCAGATGCAGGGACCCGCGATGGACATGCTATCGTCCAGATCCTACCTGGAACTGTCACAGGAACAAGAAGCAGAAATATCAATAAACACCTTGTCCAGAGAAAGCCGTCTAAGACCCCGAAAGGGACCAGCCCAACCACCGGAGATTCCCGACAAAGTGACAGACAGAGACTCGGCTGCTCCGGATCGTCCGGTGCGGAAAAGAGGTCGGCCGAGATTAGAGGCCAAAGATGCCACTGCTATTGAGGTAGATCGCGATCGGCCCTACAATATAAACATTGTTGACCAGATCCACAGGAACGCCGTCTGCAGATCCGACGGGCACAACGCACCTATCGTCTCAAAAAGGAGACTACCATCCGGACTCTCAGATCCCGCGTCAATGTACTAGAGCAGACACTAGAGAATGTATCAGATATCCTAGACGGAGCCCACCGCGACGCAGTCGCTCCCCTCAACGACGATTTGACTCTTCAGCCAAGCGTGGACTACCTCGCTCGCACACGAGAACTCATTCTAGCAGAAATAAACAAGACGCGCTTCACCACCGAAAACGACAATGATCTCGAACCGGAGCAGACCAACGCTCCACCTTGGGACTGGGATACATTCGGTTACGAAGTGTCGCACACACATCCCCAGAAGAAGGACCCCAGAATCACCTCTCCATATCCACAATACAACCGCGCCCGCTCTCCATCCCCACTAATAAACCGCATCCTCCCAACAACAACAATCTACACATACAGCCACCAAGAATCGAACCTCTCCCGGCGCCTCCAGAGATTCACCCTCGAGCACACCTACCGCTGGATAACAGACCCGCGCAGCGATCCCGCGCTCCTAAGCCGCGTCTTCGGACTCGTCCCCTGCATCCACGACATGGCAGGGATAAGACGGAGTTTCCGACGTACGCTGCAATCCGAGATCGGGAGCGGGCTTGAATTCGCCAAGATGCCTTTCTACACGCTCGGTGGGGCGGGGAAGCATTTCCCGCGCAGGGACGTGGATGGGAACCCCGTGTACCCGGAGAACAGTCGCAGACCCGGGAAGATTCTAAGACGGATGGAGCGGATCCTGCAGCGGGGCGGGATCCAGGATTGGGATGAGGATTGGAGTGGGGAGCATGAGCCTGTTGCTGTTACGTTGGAGGGAGGGGTGGATGCGATAAAGGTGAATATGAGCGAGGAGGAGAGGATTCGCTCGCTGGATCTTGATGGGGAGTGGTTTGATTGTCATGATGTGCAGGGGTATCTGGAGCATCGGGGTCTTGTGCTTGATGGGTCGGCGTTGAGGCTCGGCGTTCCTGAGAGTTTGGTTGGGGCTTTGTATGGCTTTTCGCCGGATCGATCGACTGTTTCTAGTCTCTATGCTTCGTCTGATGGGACTACTCCTATTGATAAGATGGAGTCGGAGTCCTCGACTTCGTCGTCATATACTCTGGATGTGGAGTGTTTCTTTGATCGTGAGTTACCCATCGATACCTTTGCTCCTTGTGTTTCTGTCAATATCACTAACATGTGTGCCAGTACTCCTCGCAAACCTCAGAATCCTCGGCCGTGCACCAGGCTTCCGAGTATGGGATGTAGACGCCGCATTACGATCAGCGATCTCGCGTCGCCCTTTTGGCTAGCTCAAACACACAAAGACTGACAACCGACAACTAACCTGTCCTTCGATGGATATAAGACATAATGACTACTTCACGAGCGACGACCAGAATGACCATCTACGTATATCAAAGCTCGTCAAAATATAAGAATCTGAAATTGAACTCCATTACTGGCATTGTTCTGGGGTATAGCGTAGAAAGATCCAGTATAGCAAAAAAAAGGGAAGTCCATCAAATCAAATCACATCAAATCGCATCACATCAAAGAACCGCCGAGGCCACGCGGTAGATGAATCCCGCCCAAGGTTCCAATAGTCGACCCTAGCAAGGAAGGCCGAGTCCATCAACTGTGTTATCGCATGAGCGCATCGGCGGCCACAGCTGATCTCATCTGATCGTCTAGCAGCAAATCTCACAGCACTCGAAGCAAGCAATACCGGCGCAACTGGGATAAGTTAGTTTTCCGTTATTTTATTGCGCGCACCGAATATGATTCTGGTCGGCTTGGATTCGGGGGAGAGGGGGAGAGAGGGGAACGTACACTCCACAGCAGATACCACCACCGCCACCACCGCGCAGCTGCATTTGTTCTTGGCTGGCCTAGATGCGACAGATGTTAATTTTTGTTCTGGAAATATATCAGTTTTATTTATGGGGGTATTGTCAACATACCGGCTGCTCAGAGACGACGTTCTGGTTGCTTGAAGGGGCAGCGGGGCTGGTGGGCTGCATGGTGACGGTGTTGGCGTTCCAGCCGTCAGTGGCGGGCTCGTTGGCCGGGGCGGATTTGAAGAAGTTGAAGTTGAACATTGTGGTGTGTGTATGGGTTGTATAGGGTACAAGATTGGAGGTAGGAGGTAGTCGGGGTGTATTTATGGTAGAGATATAGAAGAGAACAAAAGAAAAAGGGAGAAAAGAGAAAAGAGAAAAGGACGCTATATGTAGTGTTTCAATAATGTGGAGGATCGGCTGGAAATAAGGAAAATGAAACAACTAGCGCCCGACTAAGAAGATTACACGCTTACGCATTCCAATACTCTATGAAAGAGGTACCAAGGTACTGTACGGAGTACCCGTTGCTAAGTATAGCTGGACTAATCAGAATGATGCTGCCTGGTACCAGGGACAGCACAGAGTGAGGCTTTGCAGTATACGTACAACATAGGGCTTCCATGTTTTCCTGTCTATATTTACTTCTAGAACTGTGGCTATGTACATTATAGTCACATATCCACACATATTGCACAGCCTCTTTGGAGCTTGTTCTCCAAGGAAGCCATGGAACACTTGAAAATCCGATCAGCCCTTCAGCCCTGTGGGGTGATTTGCCAAGGTCTTGGCAGACAGCTTGTATTATACGGGTAATCGTATTGTGACACCTCCAGTATGCACGAGATGAACTGACCTCACATGGCATTTACATATCTTCCAAGATTCAATATTCCTTGGAAGGTCAGATCATGTATAATAGAAATAGAAGCCTGGAAAGTATAGCAAAATACCCATCACAGCTTCGAGAGAATCCCATCCGGCTGCAAAACCGAAAGATAACATTTTTGAATGTCGCTGATCGTCCGGCACCTGCTTCCGATTAGAATTTTTACTATTTTATGCATTCCAGAAGAGAACAATCGCTTACCCGGCCAATGCCATGGTGATCCGCAGTTCTTGGCGGAGGATCCGAATCCCCAATTCGACACCTTCTTGTCCGTTATACTGTATTTGGTCAGTCACATATAAACAATAAGCAAAACAAGGAGAAGCAAACACATACAGCCAACCCCCAGAACGGGATCCTTCCAATAAAACAGAAGCTAGCCCCCAATGCGAGAGCCTTGAAGATATCCGAGCCTCGTCGGATACCCCCATCCACCGCGAGCGGGATTCGATTCTTGGCTACCGGGGCACAGGCCCGCAGTGCATCCACTGTCGACGGCATGCCGTCCAGTTGCCGACCCCCGTGGTTCGAAATGACAACACCGTCGATGTCGTATTTGATGGCCAGTTCTATATCTTCGGGGGAGGTTACTGTATCACCAATCGTTAGTGGAACTGTGAGTCGCTTTACTTGATTCACTCGACAACGCAAACATACCACCCTTAAGCCAGATCTTCAGAGACGTATGTTGTCTCAACCAAGGAATCGTGCTCTCCCAGTCCAAACTGGGGTCTGCAAAATATCAGCATGTCCTCTATCACCTCACACCAACTCCACAGATCAGACTTCGCCAGACATACCGTATTCAGTGCGGTCCGAGTGATCCCCTCCGTGACTGAGGATATTCGGCCACGACATATCATCTGGGATGGTATACTCGTTCCGGTATTCGTTGATGCGCTTGCCTAGCACTGGTACATCGACAGATAGGAACAGCGCCTTGTACCCCGCCTCTGAAAAGGATGTTAGCTCAGCCTACTCATCGGCACCATGAAAAACAGCCCCGGAGGCATTCAAGATACGACATACTCTCCGCCCGCTCTAACAACTGAAGCGTAATCGCCCGATCCCGCAGTACACACATCTGCATCACGTACGGATTGCCCAGCCCTTGCGCGGCGACGTCCTCGAGCGGATAATTCGAGTACGAGGATAGGCCCATGCAGAGGCCGTATTTTGCGGCTGCGCGCGAGGTCGCGAGCTCGCCGTCTGGGTGGGCAAGTTTCATTGATGCCGCGGGGCTGAAGCCGAATGGGAGCAAGACCTATGGTTTGATTATTAAAGTTGGCACTGGTGCTTTCGTTTCTCTGCTGGAAAAGTGAAAGGATGATATACCTTGCTCCCTAGGAACTCGGTGGTTGTGTCGATTTTGTCGACGTTGATTAAGATCCGGGGGCGGATCTTGTAGCGGTCGTAGGCTGTTTCGTTCTCGTTGAGACTAGACGAATGTTAGGGATATGGACTAGTTGCTGCGTTTTGGAATTCCATACGTGATTAGATCCATAGCTCCTCCGTTGTAGTAGTCTATTGAGATCAGCACTGGCACAATGAATTGCTGTCGTGAACTATTTATGGTACTCACCTCTGACCATCGGAGCCAGCCGACTGCTCCCCATTTTCTTCAGATCTGCAATGCAGCAGACATCTTTGTGAAGGGTCTCTCCGCGGTGAGCCATTGTGCCGTGCGCGTTGGGATGTGATTATAGAAATTGTACAGGAAAAATGGGTAGAGTAAGGCGAGGAAGGCACAGTTCAAATAAGAAGGATCCCTAAAGAGCTCTTTCCTTCCGAGGTCATTTTCTATTTCCGGATTAAGATGCGCACAAGATGCTTCTCTTTACTATAGCTTGGTTTCTGGGGTTGGTTTCCTATCACGGAAGGGGATCACCGGAATCGCTTGCCAGATGGAGATTCCGTGGACGGTGTCACAGGTTAAGGATGCTTAGTCGCACAGAGCTTTTACCAAATCACTGTTTACGACTCATACAAAGAGAGCGCCAGCGCCAGTCATACAAGAGCGTCGAGGATAATGTGAGGATATTGCGCTTGGTCTAGCCAAACGTGCTGGGTCCAAGCCTGGCAAGAAAAGGCTCTACAAGAGGGAATCTGAGTTGCTTATACGGCCCAGGACACTGTTTTCCAGGTATCTGGCGCGAGGTTCGTCTCAATTTTGTTTATAGTAAACGGCCACTTCTGATAATCTTCAGCATTCTCAACGGTGGCAATGAAGTCCTACTGGGCTAAACGGGTTGTTGAAGCTCTATTTTCAACACAACCGGCCCAATTTCTCCTTTGGTTGTCCCACTTATGATGTACGACAAACAGAGAGGTGATCTCAGTCGGGTTGGAATGAAATTGTTGTTAAAAGGAACGTCGAAAGGAAAAGAGAACCCAGGACTTGGAAGAGCAGGTGACTCCTGAGATAGGAGGAGATAAGCCGATAAGAACCCATTTAGGAAGGCGATTCCGATTTTGGCGGGGTAGGCCTTAACGACTTGACCACTTTCCAATATGGAAATGAATCCGCAATAAGCTCCTTTAGAATCGAATCTATATATCAAATCCTTCGAAAATGGTGACATCTAAACGATCAAGACCTCGCCGATCACATGCGCTGGGAGGGTGCAGCACCTGCAGACGCCGGCATGTGAAATGCGATCAAAAACGGCCCGTTTGTCGTACTTGCCGGGCCTTAGGCGTGAAATGCGAGGGATATTCCGATCAGGTCTCATGGATGCGCACTGATGGTGGTGAGGAGGCTGAAAGTACTCGTGCGACTCGCCGGTATCTTTATACAGGTACATGGCCCTGACAATATGAGACAAATTGGACTACTCGGTATTAACCCATATTCTAGAGCAATCCAGACTTTCTATGAGCACTGCGCTTGGATCTGATCTTATATCAGGCTCTATTGATGCATCACTGGCAGAGGTTGACTCAAGACTGCGAGACCCTGAACGGTCCCTCGATGGTGATATTGTCATTGGACCGTTTGCGGTTCTCGATTTCTCTTCAGCGCCACGGAAGCCAGAGCAAGAATTAGTGCACGAGATTGCGCCCGTCAAGTCTAATGATATGAGTTCTGCAGTTGAGGCCGACGAGACTGTGGATCCTGAGAGACTGCACGAGCATGGTCCCTCTCCAATACTTGATTCCCTGTCTCATATTGATGACTTCCTCCGTTGGTCCGACCTATTGAGCTTTGGCCTAGACCAGACGGAGTTTGCAACAAACGGTGCTTTGAGTATGCCGAATGATTTCTCATTTGATATGAGCCAAGAGATGGGGTTGCTACCCGTTGACTCAAATCACAACGATGATCTACTGCAAAATTTCACAACACAACAGGCACCGGCAGAGCTTATTTCTGCTGATATAGATGCACTGAAAGATGCCCCATTCTTACTCAAACATTTCCAGGATATTGTGATCCCACACATAATGGCCATTCCCTGTCGACAGAAGTCGCCCTGGAAGATTTTGAACGTGCCGGCGGCGGTGGTTACATACAGTGACTCGACCTTTCTTGGGACAGAAAGGGTCAGTCATGCCAAACTTGCAAATTTGTATGGCTTGCTCGCCTGTTCTGCTATTCATCTTGTTTTGAACCCCTCGACAATATCGACAAAGCCGCCTGAGTATTGGTGGAAGGTTGCCAATCAGGCATACATGCAAGCTAAAGATCATATGCAAACGTCTTTGCATTCAGAAACACAGGGTTTAAAGAGAGCAAAATATAAAGACCAGCTGATGGCTGCATGCATTCTCATACAGTACACGGTGAGTTTTCCATTTGACATTAATTGAATGACTCTGACTCTCACAGATTATGTCTGGCCAACAACAACACGCCCGATGTTTTATGCTTGACGCAGAGCGGCTATTACGTCTTCGGGGACTTTCAAAGACCCGAATTTCGAAAAAGGCACGGCTTTTGCATCACGTCTACACCTGGCTAAGAATAGTCAGCGAGAGCACATTTGTTCTACATGATTACAACCTCTCTTCCTCCTCCTTTGAAGCACTTGGTTCTCGATTTCAATCACAATACACACCAAACTCGGAAGAAATGGGGAACCCTGAGCCAAACCCTCGGCTGGACGATTTCCTCCGCCTCGAAACACAAAACTCAGATAGCGATCTGAATATCGATGAACCCAAGGACCAAACTTCGGGACTTCACGACATCCACCTCCAGGACTCACGAAGTTATCCTGAAACTTTATACAAGCAAATATATGGCATCCCAGAAACCTGGCTTAGCCTTGTCTCGCAAACAACGAGACTAGCCAACGTTTTGGAGATATTCCGTATTGCCCGTGAGGCCGGCCAGACCATGAACCTCGAAGCATGGGGAACACTACAGCGACGTAGCACACGCCTGGAAAACATGATCTGTTCTTTCAGTCTAGGCCGAACAAGAGCCGGAGTCCTGGAGCTCCACGCCGATTCAAAAACGCACGGTCATATGGTGGAGGCATTGAATGCAGCTCTAGTAATTTTCTTCTACAAACGAATTCGACAGACCCACCCTGCTGCTTTGCAGGGTCATGTTGATAGTGTTATTACAGCGCTTCAGGCGTGCAGTGCGACATTGACCGAAGATGATCCCAGCGGACCCGGAACGGCGTGGCCGTTGTTTATTGCGGGATGTGAGGCATTGTCAACCGCAAGACGAGAGGCGATCATGAGCATGTTGGATAGGGCGACCTCAGTATGCGGATTTGCCGCTTTTGGAACGGCCAGAAATATTATCACCGAAGTCTGGCGCAAGCAGGATGAGCATCTGACTGCGAACCGGGGTGAATCGATGCCATCGTGGGTTGATACTGTGAAGCAAGGACAGATATGGCCTTTATTTTGCTGATCCAGCTTGCCTTTCTCTACATAACTGTCTTTATTATATTTTATAATTTGTATTATGCGCTTTTATGACGCAATGAAGAAGATGATTCCAAGATTGTATCTTCAATAAAGTGCGTATATAATATCTAACTATGACATTCTCATTCCGACATTCAGGCATTCCAATTAATCACATCAACAGATTAAACAGTCTTAACTCCAGCATTCTCCAACAATTGCTTAAGTTCCGCCGTCAACTTCGGGTTGAGCAGAGCAAAAGGCTTGCGCAGACCACCAGTAGGCTGCCCAATCAACTCAACACCAGTCTTAACAGCAGCCGCATAGTTATGCGACTCAAGGAACTTGCAAATAGGGAAAGCCTTAGCCCAAATCTCGCGCCCAAGCTTCAAATCTCCCTTAACAGAAACCGCCTCCCAAAGCTCAACCGCCAACTCAGGAATAATATTCGCCGCGCCCCAGACACCACCCGGTGCGCCAGCAGCAAGACCATAAAAAGTCAAAGTATCCCACCCATTAAACGAGGTAATCTGATCAGAGAGGCTAAAGATAAGCTCCGTCAACGCCGGCGCATTACCAGAAGTATCCTTAAGATACTTGACGCCGACCTTAGACAGACCGGCAATCTCAGTGGGAGACAGCGTGATGCCAGACGCAGAAGGGATATTATAGTAGACGATTGGCAGACCGGAGGCAGTGTGGATCTCGGAGAGGAACTCGTGAAGCTGTTCCAGATTGAGGGGGTCGTAGAAGGGGGCACGACCATTGTCGCTACGGCGCCAGATTTCGCGGCGTGCACGGAGAGCTCAACTGCCTCAGCGGAAGAAAGACTGCCTGTGCCGGCGACGACGGGGACACGACCGCCGGCGAATTTAACGCACAGCTCTGTTAGCTGCTTGCGCTCGGCGAATGTCATGGTGGTGAATTCGCCTGTGCTGCCGCCAGGAACGAGACCGTGCACGCCGGCTGTGATCAGGTGTTCGATGTGTGCTTGCAGACGGCTTTCGTCGATTGCGGTCTTGTCGTCTGTGAAGGGGGTGATGAGGGCCACCATGATTCCGCCGAGGGAGGCCATTTTTGAGGTTGGAGAGGTAGAGAGTGAGGGAGTGAGGAGTTGGTTGCTTGGTTGCGAAAGATGGTGAGTGATTATGGTTGAATTGGAGGAAGTGGTCGTGATCTAGATATAGTTGGGTTGGTTATGGAATCGCTTACCCTTTCTATATTCATGATTGTATTCATTCCGAGTTGTAGAGGAGTGACTTGCCTTTTCGGGATGGGTTTCCTATTTGGGATGTATACCCATCGTCGGAATGAAGACTTCTTTCTCTTTTGGGGGGTTGGTTTTCCCTTCTAATTCTGTGTTCTTTTAATTGGAGTTCTGCTTTATAGGGATTGTGTACTAGATCGATAAGATTGCCCAAATCATTTGAAATTCGGAAGGCTTAACGGCTAATATCGTCCTATGAAGGCTCTCGTAATGGTCACACAGTGGACTGTGATATCACCAATGGCTTTGCATGTATACTTTGCTTCAGATTGATCCAGTATATATCCCGCATTGAGCTAGCTGTGGGGTCAAAATAAGGCTGTTGAATGTCATGCATCTCCGACACCGGTACGGAGTACTTTAATGGTCCATTGATACTCATTTTGGATACTATTTACGAGGAGATAGGCTTAGATTTGAGAACTAGCTCGGATTGCTACTCAGCTAGGACTGACTCATCTTTTTTCTCTAGAAGAGCCCTGGACGAAGAAATATCCGGAATATACGCTTCGTCGCTTTCCAGCTCCGTTGAGCTTCTATGCTATTATGCTATTATGCTATTTCGTTTCCTTTTTATCCTTCCTACATCAAATCTGTTAACATACTCCATTCTTCTTGCAATAAAAATGTTCAGCTAAACAGAGCTTGAGAGAAAAATACAAGCTCCAAGTAGCACGTTAGGGCTGAGAACGTGGCTAACCGCAAAACAAGAACGGACGTTAATCCGACATGGGAGTCTGGTATGTCTACCGAATAATCGGATAGTTGAAAATAAGCCGAGAGTATTCAGATTAGGTTGAATTGAAAATAACTATTCTATCTATTCTATCCACTAATATCACTAACATTCGCTGAGAATATATCGGAAGGACTTGCCCGAAGGGGCTTAACCTCATTGGAGGAATGTCCTATATCATACCCCACGCGCCTTGAGAGTTGGAATTTCTGGAAACTGTTTAACTCAACAAAATGGATCTCTTCATTGATATCGTCACCCCCAACGGGCACAGCTACAAGCAGCCCACCGGCCTCTTCATCAACAACGAGATTGTACCCGCCACCGGAGGCCAGACCATCACATCTCTTGACCCCGCGTATGTCAATATCGGAATTGCTGTTATACACCTCACTAACTACTCTCTAGTACCGATAAGCCCATTGCCACCGTCCAAGCAGCGAGCACCGAAGATGTCGACCGCGCCGTGAAGGCTGCCAAAGCGGCCCTGGTCCACCCCTCATGGAAATTACTTCCCGCGACAGAGCGGGGCCAGTTAATGGCCCGACTCGCTGATCTCATGGAGGAGAACAGAGAGCTGTTCGCATCTATTGAAGCTTGGGATAATGGTACGTCTGAAAATCACACTCAAAAAAGACAATTTTCTCATTCAAGTCAGGAAAACCCTACCACGTCGCCCTTGACGAAGATCTCACCGAGGCAATCTCAACAATTCGCTATTACAGTGGCTGGGCTGATAAGACCTTTGGCCAAACCATCAACACAACTCCCCAAAAATTCGCCTACACAATTCGCCAGCCCATTGGTGTAGTTGGCCAGATCATTCCATGGAACTATCCCCTTTCAATGGCCACCTGGAAGCTTGGCCCTGCACTAGCATGTGGAAACACAGTTGTCCTGAAGCCGGCCGAGCAGACACCTCTCAGCGCTCTCATTCTCGGTACCTTGATCAAGAAGGCCGGATTCCCCCCAGGCGTGGTAAATATCGTCAACGGCTACGGGCGCGAGGCCGGTGCCGCACTCGCTTCGCACCCATTGGTCGACAAGGTCGCATTCACAGGATCAACAATAACCGCCCGGGAGATTATGAAGATGGCCGCCGGCACGCTCAAGAACATCACGCTTGAAACAGGCGGCAAGTCCCCTTTGCTTGTTTTCCCAGATGCAGATATGGACCAGGCTGTCAAGTGGTCGCACGGCGGTATTATGTCCAACAAAGGCGAGATCTGTACCGCCACCTCGCGGATCTTCGTCCACCGCGATATCATCGAAGCATTCACTGCTAGTTACAAGGCGGCAGTGGAAGCTGTGAAGATCGGCGATCAGTGGGACGAGTCGGTCTTCCACGGGCCGCAGGTGACACGCGCGCAATATAACCGTATCCTCTCCTACTTTGAAATCGCCAAGAGTGAAGGAGCTACTATTCTCACTGGTGGTGCTGCCCACACGCCGACTGACGAGAAGAATAAGAACGGATACTTTATTCAACCTACTGTTATTGTCAATGCGACGGATTCTATGCGCATTGCCCGTGAAGAAGTGTTTGGTCCCGTTGTGGTGATTTTCCCCTTCGATGATGAGGAAGAAGCCATTCGTCGGGCCAACGATACCACTTACGGCCTGGGTGCATCTGTCTTCACGCGTGATTTGGAGCGTGCTCACCGTGTGGCTGCTGAGATCGAGTCCGGTATGGTCTGGATCAACAGCAGCCAAGACTGTGATCCGCGCATTCCTTTCGGTGGTGTGAAGCAGAGTGGTATTGGACGTGAGTTGGGAGAGGCAGGTCTGGAGGCATATAGCCAGACTAAGGCGGTTCATGTAAACATGGGAACCAGGCTATAAACGAGATTATGAAGTACATTGCAAATTTTAAATAGGTTATTACTTTGTATAGAAATTTCTTGTTCTATCGTACATAACTAGTGTGAATTGTACCTACTAGTAAGCGCCCAACAGAAATGAAGGGTAAGCCCACACTACTCCTGAAGACTGTACATCGTTTTCCTCTCTAGTCAAAGAGGAAATAAATCATGGGCCTCAAAACGATTGTGTCAAAATTGAAACGCCGCGAGCCACCTGCAGGAGATCCTATCAGTCATTCAGCTCCAATATCTGGAAGCAGTGGCAAAGCGATTCTCTCGCCTCTAGCCCCCAAAGACTCAGAGATCAGGCGTTCTAAGTTCTTGAGCAGACCGAGAACGATCAATGTGTCATTTTGCTAAAAATATTCCTTGGTTCGTCCGACAAAAGTAGCGCCTTTTACATTCGATGGTTTGGTCACATCTCCCAGCACGATCTTTCACTTCAATTCCCATCCCGGGCAGGAGCACTTTTGTCGCATGAAGACCTGGCACCAGCTACGATACCGATGTTTACTATAGCTCAGCTTTCGCTGTACGAGACTCTCCGCGAATGGTGCGACAGCAATGATTTTGACCCATTTCAACAAAATGACCGCGGAGAAAATTTACTCACGATAGCTGCCGTGACTAATTGCATACCCTTGTGCGCCACTCTTATTGCAAAGGTAGTTAACGTCAACGAATGCGGTGTCAATGGCAGGTATGGCAGCGCCCTTGCAGCCGCAGTCGCAGCCGCGTGGGATAGACTGGATACAGTCAAATACCTTGTGGAGGAGGTCAAACCAGACGTGAGTCTTCAAATTCATGTGAAAACCCATGGCAGTGTGCTTGCCACCGCTGCCTTCTCTGGTAAGCTGGATATTGTGAGATACCTCGTGGAGGAAGCAAACTTCGATGTTAATCTTCAGCTTGGTGAGGAGACTTTTGGGAGTGTGCTTGCTGCCGCTGCCCGGGGAAGTCTCGTTGCAGTGAAATACCTGGTGGAGGAGGCAAAAGCAGATGTGAATGTACCGCATCAGGCTGGCAATGCACTTGTCGCTGCCGTCTTGAGTGGAAATCGGGATATGGTGCGATACTTTGTGGAAGAGGCAAAAGCAGATGTATATATCCTGGTTGAGGGTTGGCTTCTTGATATGGCGCTTGAGGACTATGATAATGAGGATGCTGTTGCGCTCAGGGAAATTCTGAAGCTACCTAGTGAGCAAGAGGAAGCAGGAGATGGGCACTAAAATGGAAATTATATAAACACGGTAAACACAGGAAATATACATGTACGTATGAATGTCGGGATAACTCATTTTATATCTGCACTCTAGACAAAAGCTTTGATTGTGTATTATTCTACCAAGGACGCTTCGATCTATATGGTTGAAGAATCTACTGTAGATATTTTATTGCATGTACTTAATATTTAGTATGACAACCCTGCTGGGCATAACATGTCTAGGATCAAGTGCATCCCGTGTGTTGGATTATGCCTGCATATCTCAGTCATCCCATTGATGCCTTTGTACAGTCATCTCATAGATGCCGTGTTTGCTTGCTTCGTAATAAAGTCTATTATAATCTATAGGAATAGATTAATCGGTGTCTTAGATAACTATATTTCTCCGTAAGGTGTTACGTGCCAGGTCAATTAACAAGAAAGAGTGCATTCAAACTAGAAAAGCAAAGATGGGGAGAAGGAGAGAGAGAGCAAGTGGTGAATCCCAGGGATCTTATAGCAGAGCTATCCCACAGTACAGGCAAACCCCTTTCCCGATTAGGAATAGTAGCACTTCGAAGAACAAAGGAAATAAAGCAAACAAACGATCTCTGGCATATAATAATATGCAGATCGTGATATAACCCCCACGAAAAAATCTATCTAGGCCGAACACATTTATAATTTCCACAACCGCCAGTATTCTATGCATTCCACCATTAGTCTAAATCAAGGCACATATATTCCCACCAAGGTATTACTCACACAGCACATCAGTCCAGATGAACATCCCTACCATTCCATGCATCTATCAGCTTTTTTTTCCACAGGGTTATACTCTATTATTTGTGGGTTTCACTCACATGCCCTTCAACCCGACAATCATCGGGGTCGATAGTGCAAATACTTCCTCCATCAAAAGGAGGAGGACACAGAGGAACGGCTTGGCTACTTGCTTCAATAGCTTCAGCGGATGCAGCAGCCATTGAGAAACTGGCGGCAAGCCAGGTTATGGCAAAAAAAGGCCGCATGTTAGGTGAAATGAAGGTTTTCAGTAGCACACCACTAGCAATAGAACGAAGATAAGGTCAAGGAAAGAAATCCATACGCTCTTATAGTTTTCTACTTTCTACCACCAAGGCTATTTTAGGTTTCTGCGTTATATTTTCTAAAAACAAAAGATCATGGCGATCGAGTTAATTTTGCCAATCTATTGTGACGGCGCCTCATTATGGAGATGGAAAGATTGCACGATCTGCAGGCAAAAACCCGCTGTCTGGACAGTCTTGAGTCTGATTTATTTGTTTCTTTTTCGCGACGCATGTCCCTCTTGTTTAATACTGCGACGAATTTCGACCTATGTTCCACAATTGCCGCATCATTTCAGGGCTTACAGCGTACGTCAGCGCTTTGATGGGTCACCCATCAGTCGCGTACTAAGAATAACTTCATTTCCCTAATTATTAGCAATGCAAACAGCCTATATTACTACATTTTTATTTTTTTAATAAAAAAGTGGCCTGAAACGAACGAAGTGGTCAAACTAGCATCCAAAATCACTAGCTTCGATGATCGGATGATAACTATTAGATTCGACTTTACATTATTGCCTTTTGTGTATAGTATGATTTGCTTTTTTCTTTTTTCTTTTTTCTGCTTTTGAAATCTGTCATTCCACTATCTCCATAGGCACGTATATTAAGAGCTGTGCCCCCGTGTTCTGGCTCATTCCTCCACATCGCTCCTACCTATAACCATCCCGCCTTACCAACCACCGTTTCTTCTCTTCTATTCATATTACGCCTCGGTAAAATTACTCAGTCTCTAAAATTTTCTCGCCCAACTTGTGGGTGTTATTGCGAGTTTTGACTGCCGAGCTAGGCATGATGGTAGGTTTCCTTCGCTTCAATAATAGCTGCGATCAAATAACACCGCAGCCGATCTCAAGGCGGGCTCTTGTCTCCGGGCTTTTGTTTTCGAAGCGAGAAATCCCAAGTAACTTTGGGGGGTGATAGTATCGTTCTTGCCGACGATCGTCCACATCGGGCATCGTCGTCTTAGTGCGTTCAATCCATCCAAGTCTGTAACACCCGATCTCCATGGACTGCCATCATAACAATGATGGCTAAGGCCTTGGGTACCAGTATAAGCTGCCAGCTGTCACGCGTAGAGATATATTGGGACGCGACTTACTGGTTGGGAGGAAAGTCTCGCCTTTCCGAGATTTGGAAGAGCTAAGTTCGTTGAGACTCCAATATTGGAGCAAATAGAGGATGTGAGATATGCTTATTGAGTTGAGAGTTGGTTCCCAGGTTGTGTAAAGGTGGTAGTGAAGTGATGGGAGAAGAGATCAGGAAAATGATGACGCCATGAAAGAGAGAAAGGATCCTATCAGGAAGGAGCAAACAGGCCTCAGGCTGCAAGGCTGCCAACACATGTCATTCGAGGCCATGGTCAGTTGCTTATCCGATAATATATATTAACTACACATGCACTCCGTAGTAACACGAGCTCGTGGAATCCTTCACGAATAGCTAGCCGAAAGTCTGTTTGGCCGAAGAGCGCCTCCAAAAAATAAGCGGAAACCCCCCTTTTGAAAGTACTTCGTCTCTTGCACTTCACCTGCAATTACCACCCCCAGAACTCTCAGCTCAGAATGTCGTGCCCCAATTGTTTCAGCGGTCATGTCCACCAAGGCACTCCCCGTGGTGAAGTCACCTCTCTCCACGGCTTACCGGCCTACAAGACCAAGCCTCTAAATGATGTACCTCATCGGGGCATTATCATCATAGTGCCCGACGCCTTCGGCTGGGAGTTCGTGAACAATCGAATGCTGGCCGACAACTACGCCGAAAAGGGGAAGTACCTCGTTTATTTACCTGAGTTCATGAACGGTATGTCCTAGTGTCATCGGTGATCACTAAGATTAACTCGCTAATCATAATATTAGGGCATGCGGCCCCAGTCGGTATGATGTCTGCGACAAAAGGGTTGCTGAAGACGAGCGGACTGACAACCTGGCTTATGAAGCCGTAAGTCGATAAAACAACAAACGCCCGGATTGCGCTTGTTTAAAACGGCCACTAATTCAAGCTATAGATACCATCTAGCCTCAATGCTCACAAGAATGCTGCCCTTCATGTACTACAATACGTTCAAAGTAGCATGGCCTATCGTCAGGGACTTCTTCAAGTCCGTGCGCGAGAACGAAGGTGCCGAGCTTCCTATCTACGGAGCAGGTTTCTGCTGGGGTGGAAAGTATATCGTCAATCTAGCCGCCGGAGCGGACATGGCCTCAAATGGAAAACCACTGCTTAATGCTGGGTTTACGGGCCACCCGAGCCTTCTCGAGATTCCTAACGAGATCGAGAAAATCAAAATCCCTGTAAGCTTTGCGCTTGGGGACAAAGATATAATTTTGAAACCTCCACACATTGAGCAGATCAAACAAGTCTTCGCCAGCGAGTCTGGTGCTGGAAAAGGAGAAGTGGTGGTTTATGAGGGCGCCGGCCATGGCTTTTGTGTCAGGGCTGATTTTGTTCTGGAAGATGCGAGTAGACAGGCTGATGAAGCGGAGAATCAGGCACTGGCCTGGTTTGAGAAGTATTAACAGATTGGAGACACATTGATGTTCTATATTTAGTTCAATCAATTGAAGTATACACTGAATGAAAGAAAATAGAACGTAGGAATCGAGTAGATGTAAGAGGCCAGCTATGTGACCTCGGGACTACAGTTGTGGGGCAGCCAATGAGAGCACTGACACAGCCACTTCCAGCACAGCCATACTGTGGCTGTGAAATTGACCCAAATCAGCAAAACAACAACAAAAATCTCCTTTCTCCCATCTGCCCAGCGTCCCACCGACGTGGTCCAAGTTCCAAGTGGAGAATATGTAGCCTTAAGGCTGCATTCTCGAAGCTCACCGCAGTCCATGCAGCCTAGTCTCTTTTTTTTTTGCCCCGAGAGTTTCCTCTTAGATAAGTTCACATCGCAGCAATCTATACTATTCTTTCCCTTGATCGCTCGTATTCGTACATGCCTCAAATTTCAAACACCCCAGAATCTTTGCTTCCTCGCTCAGATTCTCGAAACCCAGCGACAACATGTAGAGGCATAACCGCCCAAGGCCGGCCCTGCCGCCGCTCTTTGGCATCTCCAAATCCATCGCCTGCTGCTACCCCTCGAAAGAAGGATCCTCGCCAAGAAGCTATAGATGTGGCATCTTTGTACTGCTGGCAGCACAAAGATCAAGATTCCTCGGCGAATCCACATACGACTGTCATCACCCCGGCCAAGACGAGGACAAGCATCGATACATTAATGGATCGACTGGGTGTGCTCGAAATAAACGATGATCCAGTCTCCCAAAAGCCAAAGCCTCCGCACAGACGGCGGACAAACCAAAGTAGGCCCAGTGAAAAGCGTCGGCCGAAGAAAAAGACCACTTTCTGCTGCTTCCAGATCGTGGAAGACAGCGGCGAGGATGAGAAGCCCAGCTCAGTTCAACGGCCCAAACCCCCTCGCCCGACAAATGGCGTTTCGCCTTCATCAAATCCGAATCAAAAGATCAAACTGCCTGCCTCGGCCGGAAAGCCGCAGCATGCGCAGGTGTCACCCGCTCCTCAAACATCCCGGCCATCTTCGTCAAACACGGGGAAACCTTCTACCTCGCAAACACAATCCTTATTGTCGTGGATTCCGTCTACGCTTTCCCCGGAGACAACCTCCATTCTCATCACAGAACTTGCCAAACCCATCTCCAGCGCCGACGACGAAGGCTATATCTATATGTTCTGGGTGATGCCCCCAACAACTACCACACAACGGAGCGCCGACACCACAGTAACGCGAGACATAGCATCTTCTCTACTACCCCACGCCCCACAAAGTAGCAACCACCTCCGCCCACCCACCCAGCCACGCAGCGTCAGCGAAGCAATCCGTGCAGCACGAGACCTCAATGCTCTCACCTCCAACCCAACATCAACCACGCCCGGAACGCTCAGGCTGAAAATCGGACGCACGAGCAATGTGCACCGTCGACTCGCTGAATGGAGTAAACAGTGCTCGTACGATTTGACCTTGATCCGTTATTACCCTTACACACCATCGTCCTCCGCGTCATCCTCTCCTGCTAGGATGCCGCCATCCCACAACAGCCGGAATAGGGCCCCTTCCGCCTCTTTGGTACCGGGAAGGAAAGTCCCGCATGTGCATCGTGTGGAACGACTGATTCACCTTGAGCTGGCGGATCAGCGTGTGCGAGACTTAGGACAGTGTCCTGAGTGTGGGAAAGAGCACCGGGAATGGTTCGAGGTCGAGGCGGAGAAGGAGTCGCTAAGGAGGGTGGATGAGTGTATTCGACGATGGGTCTCCTGGGCCGAGTCGATGTGTTGAGACAGTGTTGGACCAAGGCCTCTATGAATCAAATGAAACCCAAATCAAGGTCACCTTGTACACTTTTTTTGACTGTGTTTATAAACGTCTCTGTACGCATTCGGAACTCCGAAAGCTCAGACTTCAGAAATCATCGACTGCCCGCGATTAGAAGCTGAATCCATTCTATGTATCAGACCGGAATGGGGAGTTGTTTGGGAAAAGGGGCTGATGTTGAAGGACATGTATAAGCCGTGAACAGTTCGACTGATGAGCGGGCGCTTTGCCTGGCCCCAAATGGGGTATTGGGTGCTCAAGATGACCAATCCGGACCGAAAAATGTTCACCTTGTGGAGAACGGTGCGGACATGTCGTACCCACAATGGAGCGCATTTGCAAGGGCTGGATGCGTTTCAACCAGCCGTATTGGTGTTGCGACCTTGATTGCACTAACCATCTTTGGCCTTGATACCTCTCATTTCAAGAACATTGACAAATTTCATGGTTCGCGACTATCGCTTGACGATGACCTGAATTCTGCCTGGCTGATCCCTGTCAAATTCACTCCATCGCTCTGGAGGTGGATGGCTCTCGCAAGGCCATAAAAGGGCCGTGGAGGGTCATTGGACTACAAACCCGACGAGTTAATATCAGGATGAGGATGCTAGCTGCTGGAACACTTGATCTGCAATCACCGTAGATCAGAGGCTAGATAACTTTGGAAACATACATTGATGACAGAATGACAAGTCGCCTGCTTATTGAACTTTTTCTAAAATGGTAGCGAGGAAAATCACAGATCAATAGTTATAGACATGTATATCTCGACCTATTTATCTATTTTGGTTTAATCTATACCTTCCGCTTTACCAGCCCACGGAAGAAGTCGAAGCTGTTACTATCACTTTGCAACTGCCACACACGTCCGGTAGGACGATCATTCCACCCCAACTCCTCGGCCAGCAAAAGACCCCAATCACGGGTGATACCCTGAATGCGAGCGCGAGCACCACCCTCCTCCTCGAGTGTGACAATCTGGTGCATGTGTAGCCAGTCTTCATAATACATAGCCTCAAAGCCCCGATCGAAGCCTGTGCGCAAGAAGCGGGTATACAAGCTTTCGAATGTAGTCAAGATACGAGCTAGGAGCCTCTCAAGCGTGACAGGTGAAGCGGCAGCAGCGCCCGGGGATGCGTAGCGTGCGGCGAGGGTAGTCAACGCGGTTGTCGGAGAGGCGTTGGTGGCATTGACACCGATGCCGACGACGGAGATGTACTCGTTTGACATGAAATGGGAGTTGATAAGAATGCCGCAGATCTTTGTGTATCGTTTCTGTTCGGGGTCATCTGGATCTAGTGCATCTGTAGAGATTGGGTATCAGTAAACCACCTCTAGTAATAAAGTAAACCACATAGAACGTACAAATATCGTTCGGCCATTTTAGTTTGACCGGGATCTTCTCGTAGCCTTTGGCGTAGTTCTTGATTCCCCGGACTACTGCCATGGCTGATAGGTACTGAAGGAACACAACCGGTGCGGACTGAATCTTGTCCATTGGGTGTCGCACCACAGTTGAAAATATTAGAGAACCTGCTGGTGAGACCCAGACGTTGGATCCGCGTCCACGTCCAGCGATTTGTGCGGTAGCGGTAGCCGTAAACCCTTGTGGCAACTGACGAAGCAACTTTGTGTTCCTGCTGGTCATTAGAGCTGATCAAAATCAGACTTATCGACCAAAATGCTTACTTTTCAAGAATTGTGTTCGTGCTAGTCACTACCTCTCCATATAAGAGATTGGAACCAAATGTTGTGGCCTCTCCCTTGGACTCGTCCTGATATTGGCGGAGGTGGGAATAGAATGCATGGTGGTTGAAGTATGGAGTCAGTTTCGAAGATGGGATATCATCGTGGAACACAAGTCGCTTGATGATTGTCTGATAATCAACTATACCCTCGCTAGGCTCCGAGGATGCTGCGGGAAGCGATTCTTCTAGTTCACCAAAGTTCCATGTTCCAGGGCGTTCAATGCGGAACGTATCGTAGTCGTCCTTGAGACACTCGGTTTGACCCTCTTGGGTAAATGCAGCCCCAAGACCCGATAGGATATCCATGGGGCCATCGGCATCGATTCCAGACATGTGCAAGGACGACAGTGAAGGCACTGTTGTCGTGTCCTGCGTGGCCTCAAGTCCAAGTTTGGACAGACAAGCCTTCAAAAAGTCCGTCCGTCCCTTGTCATCAGCAGCGAGAGCCGCCACCATATCCGCATATTCAGGCCCGCCCGCCTTCGGGTCGAGATTAGCAGCCGCAAATCTAGTTCACAGGTCAGTGACTCAATCCTGCCAATTGAAAATCGAAAACATACTCTGGATGAGGTCCGGTCAAAACTGCTGCTCCATCACCGACTTTGCAGTAGACAACAGCAGCCGCACCATCCCCTCCGTCGACATTCAGTTTCTCAGTATAGCTCGCAAGAACCTCTACCCCTTTGTCTGCGAGCGACAGCGCATCAACGAAGACACCACCGCCATTATAGTACGACCGGAATTTGGCTGGCACGGTGCCAGTGCTCAAAGCATCCTTAGCTACTTGGATTTCTGCAGCGCGTGCCCCCGTCTCGCTATGGTAAACGAAGCCCGGGAATGCCCCGCCCCGACAGATGCCCGGATAGAAAGCCAATTCACGATCTCCCACAACCTCCATTGTCTTATCACCAACCTCGAACTCACAACTCTTGCATCCGTAGTAGCCACCAGCACACAGACCGAGATACCGCCCACCATTGCGGACAAATTGCGCGATGCGCCGGTTCCCCGCACCATTGAGTGTGCGACAGTATCCCATATCCGCGCCGCCAGGCATAACCAGCATAGCACACGTAGTCATCCATGGCTCATTGAGGAGCATATCGCTCGTCACAGGAATAACGGCATAGTGGTAAGCGAGCAAGCGGCGGAGGGTGTAGAGGCAGTGACGGACTGACTCAACGGTGGTTCCATTTCCTGTCGAGAAGTCGTCGGTCAGAAAATGGTTGAGCTGTCAGGCGGAGTAAAGTGAGCGAACCGGAGTAAACTAGGACATTGAGCCTTTTGCCACTGAAATTGGCGCTGTTGCCCGTTGGCGTTGCCATTGTTGTTTCGTTGTAAAGGGAAATCTGCGCGATAAGATAGTTCTCTATCTTCCGCCGAGGCCAACCGCCTTTCTCCAACTTCCTCGCTACGATACCTCAGCCATGTCGAACAACGTGGAGAAGACAACTGTTATCCCGGATGATGATGATGAGCCGGATGATTGGTGAGCTCTTTTTCAGTTGTCTGGTGTGCGTGGTGCTAACACAATGGCAGGGACAAGCGGATCTTCAGCACAGGCTGCCATAGTAAGTTATACTTAATTCGAGTCGCAAATGCCATACTAATGCATATCAGCTGAGCAGGATAAGATGAATGACTGCTACTATGCGAAGAAGGACTGGCGCGAATGCAAAAAAGAGGTGAGCTATTCACCAAACCGAACATATAGCATTCCACCTGGAGCCATTGGAGGGCCAGTTCTGCAATGATCATCATACCGATTCTTCAAAGTCCAATGAATTGAAACAACAACAAACAGCTTCAATTACCCAAATCATACTAACTGGTCAACACAGATGGAAGCTTTCCGCGAGTGCTGGAAGCGACAGGGCAACGACCAGCGAACACAGACCAAAGACGCATAATGTACACTACTCATCTATAATACCATGTTCAAGTAGTCTCTCCAAATAAATCCCACTCAATATTTCCCCTATTATCCCAACATTGACGGAACGAAGCTATCAAACCATATCACGTGATCTCATATATTCGCCTCGTTACAAGACCTCCCTCCTTCCAATCAACAATCCAAGCCACGATGTCTGCTCCCCTCCGTATCCGGTCCTGGCGGGCAGTAGAAACCCTCCAAAATGCGACACAGCTTTCGCGCTCCTCAAGAGCCCCCAATCCAAGAATCAGCCAATTCTCCAGCCCGATGACCAAAAGAGCAATCAGCTACACCAAAAACCAGAACAACCAAACCACCGCCAAACTCTCACCAACGTCCTCATCCTCAACCGCAAAGCCCTCCCCCTCAGCATCAACACCTATCCCAACCGGCGTCCCCGCATCCCGCGTCCCAGACTCAACCCCCAGCCGCGCAACAACCGAAAACATCTCCAAAACAGGCCTATCAGACAAACCCCGCGAGCTCGATAGACCGGCCGAAGAGAGAATCGATTGGACACGCTCCTTCCACGGTCTATCTGCTGCTCCGTTCCCTAAAGAAGCGGCCGATATCCTGCTGGCGGAGACGGAGCCGGACGAGGTCGAGATCAAGCCAGATGGTATCCTCTACCTGCCGGAGATCAAATACCGACGGATTCTCAACCGCGCTTTCGGGCCTGGTGGGTGGGGGGCTCGTGCCGCGGAGTGAGAGTATCGTTACGCCGAAAACGGTGACGAGGGAGTATGCTCTTATTTGTAATGGACGGTAAGCAAGCACATTTCCCCTGCCTTTTTTTTATTTTACATTCTTGAAATCTTGTCTACCAGGTTTGATTTCAATTTATCCCAACCTTATAATGGGAAACTAGAACTAGAAAAGAACGCCCAGCTAACACACTTCTCACTCCAGCCTCGTCTCCGTCGCCCGCGGCGAACAGGACTACTTCTCCCCGGACGGCATCCCCACCGCCACGGAGGGCTGTCGATCGAATGCGCTCGTGCGCTGCTGCAAGGATCTAGGCATTGCGAGCGAACTTTGGGACCCGCGCTGGATCCGCAAGTACAAGGCCAAGTACACGCGCGAGGTGTTTGTTGAGCATGTGGTTAATAAGAGGAAGACTAAGATCTGGACGCGGAAGGATGATCCTGTTGGATATCCGTGGAAGGAGAGTGGTAAATAGGGTTGTTAGGAGGGTTGGATGGCGTGGCTAGCTGGGCTTTGGCTTTTACCTAGACTCGGTCAGACTTGTACTATATCACTTTGTGTTCGATATGTGTTGGATTATGGGAATATCATCTGTTTCTCTGCTCGATGTTTTCATTGGAGTGCTTGGATCGTGGTTTCTCTGGAATATTAACTGCTATATCATACCTTTATTCTAATATGAAACATACCTCACATATCAGATGGTTCCAAGGTTGTCATCCACCTTTCTTTTTTGTATGGCACTTGCCTGTTGTTACCGATGCCATAGTCATGTAGTAAAAACTGCAGTAAGAGTCCTGGAAAAAAAAAAGAAAGTAGATTTGATTTTAAAAACCCCAAAATCGGGAATAGCATAGCTTCATAGCCGCAGAAACGAAGGGACAAAATTTCTATGCGGCTCAAAAACACAAAGAAAAGAATCTATCGACATCACACACATAATATGAACAACCCAAGAAGGAAAAAGAGAAGTAGGTGGCCAAGAACGGTTAACCCAGGAGGATCAGTGATACAAAAAACAAAGATGAGCGAGGAAACAATCAAACCTCATGCTCCCCATAAGGAGACTTATTCTTCCTCAGCGGAGGAGTGTTGTATGCCGTAGCCTGCTGTGGGGGCCCCGGCTGGGGCGGGGAGTAGATAGACGGCGGGGAGACGGGGTCATATCGATCCGAGAGCTGGTAATTACTGGACGCCGTCACGCCGGAGATATCCGGGTTCGAACCGCGGCGTTCGCGTGCCGGAGTGTTCTCGGCGCTGTAGCCGCCGGCTGGGATCTCATTGTACCCCGTGTCGTGGGAGTAGTAGCCGTTGAAGGGGTTTGGGTCGGGGGATCCCACCATCTGGACGGTGCTCTGGTCTTGGTCCTGGCCTGAGCGAGGACGGGGCTCGTAGCGGGCGCTGCTACGGGAGCCGGGCTTGGGGGTCTCGAGGATGGGAACTTGGCTTGAGGACGGGGTCATGCCGGCGGGGACGGGGGAGAGAGGGCCGTTTCTGGGCATGGAGTGGGTTTCCTGCTCGTGGTAGGAGACGCGATCGCCGAGCTTGCGGTGGCCGGTTGATAGGCCGCGGTTGAGGCCTTCGCTTCCGTTGTGCACGTTTAGCTGGTTGCCTTGGTTGGTGGAGGTGTTGGTAGCAGTGCGGTGGAGGGCGTTATCGTGGCTGTCGTAGTTGTCGCGGCCAGCATCAACGGTTGGGGAGCGGGCGTTGAGCATTTCGACGATGGCAGCTTCGCGCTCGGCGTTGGTCTGGGTGGAGCCGCGGTGAGTAACTGTTCCCGAACGGGCCTGGTCGTATCCTGTCGACTGGGCTGTGTTCTCGTAGTTGAGGATACCTGCGGCGGCAGCGGCGACACCAGGGTCGGGTTTGGAGGAGTCGGCACCGCCACCTTGAGTAGACTTGCGGCGACCTGCGCCTGCACCGGCACCGGCATCATCACCCTTGCTATCACCGTCGGCACCCTCTTCTGCGGGAGGTTCAACACCTGGACCGCGAACCTGGATCTTGCGGACGGCTAGGACCAAAGCACACAGGAACTTGGATCGGCGGGCAGCGCGTATAGTCTCGTTAGACCAGTTAGACTTGTGACGGATGTCAACACGCAGCTGGAGCTTGTCCATATCACCAACGCCATCGAGCTCGATATCAATATCCGGCTGGAAGTCACGGCAGTTATCCTTGTCGCGAACGAAGTTCTCCATCTCCTGGCGCAGCAATTGAACCTCGGCAAAGCTAGTATCGAAGGCAACGGGGATGATAAGCTGTTCATGCATAGCATTGGCGCGAGTGAAGTTGTCAACCCAGAGACTGTTCAGAATGTTGTTAGGAACCTGCGTGATGCGGGCATCGGTAACATTGCGGAAGACAGTGAAAAGAAGCGAAATACGCTCAACGACGAAAGGCTTGTCGCTGACCTCGACACGGTCACCGATATCGAAGGGATGCTTGACGAAGAGGAAGATGCAGGAACCGAGGACTTCTTGGGCGGTAACGGAGAAGACGAAACTGAGGGAGAGCAGCGAGGTGGCACCAGCCGCAATGACCGTACCGAATCCAGTGGTGACGAAAGAAATGAAGACAAGAACACCAACCAGACCGGCGACACACATGAGCAGGTTATCCAGCACACGAATAGCCTGGTCGACATCGTGCATGCTGTGGTTCAAGGCCTTTCTCATGCGTCCAAACTCGGTGATGGTCAGGACCATCTCGTCAAGACTGATATCACCGTTTCCATCCCTGTCAAGAGCCATGAAGCACTCCTCGGCCTCAGCCTCGTGTTCAGCACCCAGGACCTCAACGATGTCATCCATGAATAGAGATTCACGGCCCTCGACCACAAACGACATCCAGATACGGCGGGCCAGCGCAGCAGCATGACGCTTGCGCTCAAGGGCATCGATAACCATGGTGTGCGTTGCAGTCGGGTTGAACACTTGCTTACCAGTAAGCTCCGACGCAACGTGTCCAAAAGCGGCGGTGACCTTGTCGCCAACACGGCCGACGTTCTTGCCGACATGACGGATCATGCGGAGGGGCATAGCGGATGACCGCTTTCCACCGTTGGTGCCAGCCTGAGCCAGGATGGAATCGAAAATGAGCGAGTCCTCCTCTTTGAATTCAGCGCAGTAGACAGGGAACATATTGCGCGAAGCCTCGAAGAGGAGAGTGACCAAGTGTACATTGCGCTTGGAGACCTGGATCTTGGCGTCGAACTGCTTACGGTGGTAACTGATCGAGATGAGCTGCACAAGAGCTTTCTCGGCCAGGTAGATGATGCTGCAGACGAGCAGCGCAAACAAAATATTCTTGACACTCTTTTCCCACGCCTTGACGCCCGTGTCGCCGGAGTCCTTCTTACCAGGAGTCAAGGTCATAACCGGCAGGAAGGTCACGAGGGAGATAATAGCCCAGATCAAAAGCGCAATGGGGGTCTCGAGGGCGCGCAGAATAAGCGCATACTTGCGGGTACCGGAGCTGACGATACCACACAAAAACTGGAAGAAATAAGGAATGTAACGGGCGAAGATCTTGGACGCCCACAGACTGCACCAGATGATCTCAATCCAAGTAAAGAACCAGTAAAGATGAACACCACCAATTTCGGCGTTCGTCGCAACCGTAGCGCCCACAATGATCGGAATCGCGATCAAAATCGCAATGGGAAAAACATAAATCAGGTAACGAGTGATGAGGGAGTAATTCAGGACAGCTTGGTAGACACGGCCCATGCGGTTCATAGTGCCGTCGTCGGGCGACTCAGCAGGCTTTCCGGACAATTCATTGATATCTGTATCTGTGCGACGCCTGCCGCCAGGACCACGATGATGGTGGCCAACGATAGGTGCCTTCTCTGTGGTCTGCGAGGTGCCGTCCCGGGGGCTGGTATTGGTGTTCCATTTACGGGCGCCTGTTTGACCACGGGAAGTCGTCTCTGTCAGAGGAATATCAATGGTCACGTCGTTGGGATTCAACATCCCATTGCCGTGGTCTGGCATGTCGTGTAATTGCTCGAATCGGTGAGCCGTAAGTCGCCTGGTGGAAAGACTACTCGAACGTCCCATCGCAAGGAGCTCGGAGGGCAGAGAGGACCTTTATTGTGTCACTGCAGATCCACCCCTAAAGCAATGGTTTCGATTGCGGAGGGGCCTTGGAGTCTATGGTGGAGACACGCGGAAAAAAAAATAGTCCCGTTATAGCACAACGTTTGGTAGCTCTGTTGTTTTTCGCCTCCCCTCGCCGGGTGAACCAAAAACTTCCGCGGCCGCACTTTTTTTTCTCGCGATAGCTGCCAAGTTATGGGTGGCTATGATTGCCGGACCAGTGTGCGTAAACGTCGGCAGTCGATCGTCCAACGTCAATGGTCAAGTATTAGGTGGAGATGTGGATCGGCGAATTGGCTAAATAACGAGAGATCAACCAAAAGCCGTAAATGTACATACAGTAAAAGAATGACTAAATTCAAGAGAGTGTGAAGTGCAAGAGAAGGAAGAAAGGAAAGTCTTAAAGTAGAAGACGCGAAACCATGGACACATACGGACATGCCGTGTTTCAGCAGGACCCGTTGGGGGGGAACAGGGCAAAAATGTGAGACCGCCTTCTTCCCCCCTGTGGAATCCTTCCGGCCTCATCATTCGTTGTTTTCTTTTAGTCTGTGCCCTTATATTACCGATCGACTCTAGATTACTTGAGACCCTCTTCTCCATTTCGCCTTATACAAAGTACGGAGTACTCCCCTAGAACATACAATCTATATTGTACGTGACCATCCATCCGAACAGGGTCGTGAACGCGAATTCACATGCAGGTCCACTACCACCCCACACCTCGATGCGTCTGATCAACCAATGAGAAGCTCACATCAGCGGGTGGCTTGAGATCAAAACAGTCTACGGAGGATTCGGTTAGCCAACGGGGAAGAAGCACACAAGGCTGATTCTAGATGCATCAGACGCACCTAATAATAATATTTAATTTCTGGAGCGCAGGGGATGAAACCCCTACTTTACGCCCACGAGTCAAGATGCATCTGCTCCAGCGCAGCAACAACCTGCTTCTTATCCCAACCGCCCTCCAATCCCCGCACAACAATATCCTGCTCACTCTCCGGCGCCATACCACTCAGCGCCGGCGGCCTCCGATCCAAATTCGTAGGGAAAGGATACCCCTCCGCAACAGCCTGTACAAAAGCCCTAATCTCCCTCTGCTTTAACGAATGCGTCTCAGGATCAAGTTCCTGACCCGCCAAAACGCCCCCAGCAGCCCGGAACCGCTCAACCAGTAAATCCCAAGTAGCATTAACAAGCGGCACTGAATCAACGGTCTCCATAGGCTTCCCAAACGCACTACTAATCTGCAGCAAATTCGCAACGCGTCGGAATCCCCCATTTTCGGGATCCATCTGATTCTCCCCAGCAGCATGGAAAAGCGCCGGATTAAAAAACAACCCATCCCCAAAACTCAACGGAAGCGCAACATATCTCTCCTGAAAGAAAGCCCGGAACTCAGCCTTCCGCCACGCCAGATAGCCCGGCTTGTATGTCTGACTAAAAGGCAGGAACCGTGTTGGCCCACTAGCGACCGGCATATCCGTATGCGCGACGGCGCCCTGCAGCGTCAGGAACTGCGACGTCAGCTGCGTCGCAGCCGGGTAGCGCTTGCAGGCTACTTCTTCCTGGAAGCCGAGGTGGTAGTCGCGATGGGCTTCCTGTGCAGCGCCGCCCGGGTGCACGGCGTTGACTTGGGCTGTTACGCGGTATGCTGGGCCCAGCCAGGACTCGGAAACTGCTGCTAGCCATGGGTTTGAGTAGTAGTCGATGAAGGAGGATGGGTCTTGCAGGGCGTGTTTTGAGAAGGAGTTCCAGATGCGGTCGTTTGTGCCGCCTACGGCGAAGTGGTCGCCTTTCTTGTTGTCTGATTCTGCGGCTTCGCGGGCGATGATCGCGTTATAGGCGGTGTTGGTGGTGTTTAGGGTTGTTGAGTATTTTGTCGGGGCGTACATTGATCGTAGGACGTACACGCCTGGGCCTGTGTGCAGGATGTGGTGCCATTCATCTTGGAGGCGGTCGATTAGGTCTGATGTTAGGCCTGTGGATTCGAGGGCGGCGAGGTCGTAGATCGGGATGTTGGATTTGACTTCGCAGGCTAGTGGGTAGGTTGCTGGGTTTGTGGTTTGCGAGCAGATGTCTTTGAACTCGGAGAGTTGGGGGGTGGTGGGGGAGTAGAGACGGGATGAAACTCTGTGGTCGTTCATTATTGCGTATTCGTACTTCTATATGCAACATCAAGGGAAAGTATGTGTATATCCCAATTGATTCTTTCGGTGAATCGTTTAAATATTTTTTTCCACGCGGAAACCAATGTCCATCGGCTCCCCGCATTGAGGTCGGATATACGGAGTAGTGGGCATCGAGCTGCGACTCGGAAAAGGATTTCCGTTAAAAAAAAGAATACTAGTTGTCAGGCCAGTTCCTGCTGTTGGTCAGGCAGGCTGAACAGTGGTGGGAGGAAGAACGTATGGTATTCTTCATACAGAGACTAATTCTTGCTAAGGGGAAGTTATTCAGGAGGCTCAATTCGTCGAGATCCCTCCCCTGAGTCGTAGGTGTAACAATGACGGTGCTGATTCCATCCAGCTTCCATGCACTTCTTCCAAGAAGTGTGGTTGTCATACTCTTGCAAGCCTGAAAGAACTCTACATAACGTATTCGGTAAGCGAGCTGCGCATGTAAGCCAGCTGCGCAGGAGCCCAAAACACATAGTAAATGCCATATTTTCTCACTTGCTATCTCAACAACCACATTTGTATCTTAGTCCATTGCTTGTCGATAGCTATTGATAAAGCTTATAAACTCTATACATTAATCTTAAGGGAATTGAAAATCTACATTGTTGAGACATCAAGTTGTAATCTATCGTTTTTACTATGTGCTTTGGGCTGCGCACCTTACATGTGCAGCTCGCTTACCGAATACGTTAGTTCACAAAGGTCCTGAGGCATCAAATGGGTTGCCTCAGATTGTAAAGGATCTCATTCTTTACTCAGCTTCAGAAGTTTGAAAAAAAAAGAAAAATAGCAAGAGTTCTAGACCTAGATGGGTATCACAGCTATCAAGCAGTATAGTACAGGTCTACCGCTACCACTGAAGCACAAAAAAAAAAAAAATAAGCCAAATAAACCATTCAGTCCTCCCGGACGCCAAACAGGAGAACGCCGAGCGAGGAAAGCCTTGCCTTGCAAAAAAAAAGACAAACCCCATGCATAAAATAAGTGGCATCCTTGTTGTGCCTGTTTCATAAGATCCGAATATTCCCAACCCACGCAAATCTATGCTTGAATTTCAAAAACGTGTTTTTTAGAAAGCAGGAGGAGAAAGAATTTCGTAAACGGTGCGTGACTGGGCACTGGGCACCCGTGGCAATTCATGCATTCATCATGACCGCTCCGACGTCTGATGTGATGACCGATTCGGACGGTGTGGGTTGGTTGGTTTTGTTGGATTCGCCGAGGATGAGGGTGTGTTCAGACATTGTCTCGATCAGGGCGCTTGGTCTTCCGGTGACGGTGAAGAGGACCTTCATGAGGAGAGTAGGGCCTTGCCCGTTGAGACCACCTTGGGGTTGGCGCCGGGTGTGGGTGAGCAGCACGCGGACCAGTTCTCGGATTGCTCCGTCAGTAGATGGATTGTGGATGGCGTCTAAACCGTCGATTATAAAAACCAACAGTGGTGGGGCAGATTGTAAGAGGGTATCGACTAGCGATAGCGCGGCTTTCCAGCTAGTAAGCGTTCCGTCTAGTTGGCGAAATCGCTCTGCGCTGAGATCCAGGACAGCGTCGCTGTCAACTACAGGAGGAAGCCAGTCGATTAATTGCCGGATTATACTGTAGGTGAGGGCAATTAAGCCTTGTTCGTGAATATTCAGCCCTTTGGGCTCCTGGCTAGGAAGGGCGCAGAAATGAGACACGACGGGCAATCGAGCTTGACGTGCGAAGGAGGCATAGCAGGCTGAAATTAGAGCCACCGGGTCGAGGGAAGCGGTAGGTTGAGTCCCGCCCACGGCTAGGGCCTGCGATCGCGAACTGGTGGCCCATTGCTGTAGAGATGAAACGATATTACCCTCGGCGACGACCTTGAGTTCGGGTTCGTAGTCGCAAATCTGATCATCACTATCAAAGAAGTCCTGAAGGTGCTTGGATGAACTTTGAATCTCGAGTCGTGCGAGACGGCGCTTGGATCCCCTCGACCATTCGAACGAGGATGTGTCTATCAAATTGCGTTAGATGAATCGAGTTGCAAAGATGCATATGACTTCCTACCTATATTTGGAGCTGGAGGTGTGGTTATGCAAACAATGCCACTGCTCTGTTCACTGACCGGCTGCAGTTGCTCGCGCACAGAACTCAATGTCTGTGCCAACAACCGATCCCGGCCCTCCCTATACCGAGTGCGCTCCTCTGCGTCTTGCTGGATCTCCCAAATCAGACGGCGGGTGATGGTATTTTGTGCCGCTATCCGACGGTCTTTTCCCCGGCGTCCTACTTGGCTGAGTCGGGACTCCTCCCAAAGTGCCCGAGGGCTATACGGGTCCTCCTCCTCCTCGTCAACGTCCATCGCCGCATGTTGCCATGGAAGATTCCGTGCCTGCAGTTGTATATAGAGGACAAGATGGTGGAATTCCGAGTACACATCCTGGCTGTGCATGTTGAGCAACTGGCACGTGGACCTCCGAACATACCAGTCCATGAACTCGGTCAAAAAGAAGAATATTAGAGCGTAGGTTTTCGTGATATGTTGGACGGCATTTGACATTAGGCTAGGATCACTAGGAAGACCTAGAGCATCGTGAATATTTAGCAGGGCAGTAGCTAAGCCCTCCATTACCCGTGGGTAATGCGACGACGCCTGACCAGTATGTTAGCGATGCGACGAGACCTGTGTATAGATCATCCACGCACCTTGATCACTGATTGGAGGACTCCGTAGAATAAAGTGGTATAGGCCATAGGGTCCGGCAGAGTAGAGAGGAGGGTCGCGTGAGTGTCTACAGTCGGTAGGAGTCGATCGCACAAGTCCATAGAGTCGCTAAAGACCCGTTGTCGGGGGCGGGACATCCAGAATGTCTTGATATTGCCGAGCAAAGTCTGCACGTCGAGTACCGTCTGTGGTCGCTCCTCCCATTGGACCTGATCCTGGGGTAGGAGGAGGCTGATAAACCGTTTCCAAGTGTGGGCCAACTCATTCCGTTCGATATCGAGTTCGGTGATGGCGGGGTTCCTGGGGAAGGATACGGGGTTAGAAGGGAGATGCACTTGACATGGTTAAGACTATCGATGCCATGATCGGTCCCCGAAAGGTCTATGGGGATGCTTACGGTGAGATTGGCTTCCCGTCAAAGCGGTGTTGCCAGGCCCGGTTCGGGATTGCAGTCTCGGGCATGATCCCACAGAGTTGATAAAGACAAAGCAGTTGCTGTTTTCACGACATGTCCCAAAAAGGAGATGTGAGGAATGAGAAAAGCGGAGGAGAATGATGGGGAAGGAAGAATTGGACTTTTGATGTGAAGGGCGGGTTTTGCCGCTCAGAGAGGGGGACGAAGGCTAAAAATGAGAAAGGAAGAGACAAAGTTGTTTCTATTAATACCCGTTTTTTTCCTCTCTATCGTTTTTTTTTATTTCAAGGTGATCTAGAGCTGTCTTATCTGAGTTTATTTCACTTTATTTACTGTCTTTCCCTGGGGGGTTTTTTTTTCTCGTTTGTTTTTGTTTTTTTCTTTTTTTTTTTTCCCACAGTGATACGGAGGACTAGGAAATGCACTCCGGGCCTGACGAGAGCCGAGGCCCTGGCTACTGTCTCGCCACTCAGAGAGGAATAAAACCTGATTTTGGTAGAATATGGTATATAGAATTAAGGTACGGAGTATAGGATATAGAATGTCAGTCTAAGTATAGTTATATATCAGATACCAATAAAGCGGGGACTTAGATGCTAAAACACGATTATATACTTAAAACATCTCTCCCCGGGTGTTCGCTTCTCCAGATTTCATTCTCGGACTGGAGATTGGAGACACATCAAAGAACTTAATAAGGTTTTGGTCCATTTCGAGAGCTCACCCCCTCTTCTTTTTCTTCTTTGCTTTTTTTCCCCCTCTCTATCTCTCTTTCCCTTTGTGGGTCAAATAACACGGAGTGCATTGATTTTAATAGGTATCTGCGGGGGGAACGTTGATCGTGGAACAATAATCCTGGAGCTGAAGAAAGTCTATTGAGGGTGTCAGATCAGGAGCCGGTCACCACATCAGGATCATTGGGATGATCAGGTTAAATGTCTCAGTCGGGGGGTTGGAGGCGCAGGGTGAGAAAAAAAAAAGCAAAGAGACCAAGACCTAAGACAACGGACGGAAGTCCGGGATTTTAATCAAGTTAAACGGGCAAGTTGGGCGAGTAGACCGAATACGAGAACGACACTACATAGAAAGATCGACCTTTTAACGTCCATATGTAATACCTAGGGTAAGTCCAGCGATGACGTTAATTCATACATAATGAAAAGTGTGATCGTCAATGGCATTATAACCTTGATGGTGCATGGATGGTCTGGAGGTTATGGTCAATGGTTATGGCATATCCATATGTATCACCAATATTATATCAACAATTATGTACATATATCAAATAACTAAAAAGAATAAAAAGTGTAGATAGTAATCAATAATAATGCAATTTATAATTTAAAATCCAAAAAAGAGAAACCCCCCTAATCTCCCTCTTATCCGCTTTGATCCCCCCCCCCAGCCCTGTTAGGGCCGATCCTCTCCCCTCATTTTCTAGTTTTCCCGGTTTCTTTTTTATGCAACTCCATCCACTTGACTAATGTGACCCCCCACATTATTCTTCCATTCCGCCGTCTCCCGCAATGGGGCTGTTTCTTTTCTTTCTCTTGTTCTTCTCAGTTCAAGCAGAGGTCATTTCGCTACCATCAAATACTACGGATACCCAGATCCAATCCACTGGGTTTCGTATTGAGGGAAGCACTCTGACTGGCCAGAAGCTTGTCCCTTTAACCGAGTCGCTGATTCAATCGACCACTGACCACCTCAAGGTGCTATACGCTCTCATAGTTTGCAGGGCACTGCTGACATCTTCAGACCTTTAACTTCTCCGGCACTGCCACTCAAGTCATCCCAAGCAATTCCCTCGATATAAAGACCTACCAAATCGCTTGCATATCTTGCGACCAGGACGACTATACCGGAAATATCCGAGTTGACGAGACAATTGAATACGTCACCTCTGCTCAATCCGTGGCAGCCATTCTGCTATACAGCAAAACAGCTACCGGCTGCAATTTCACTTCCGATGATAAGACCGCTACACCGTATTCCAATATCTTCACATTCACAAGCCAAGGCGGCTACTCTGCACTACTCCGTGCTTTCGATCAACCAACAACTATCAGCATCGTCTCAATGTCGTACCTCTCCGGTGTTCCTTCCGATGGTAACCCCGGTGGTACTGGTGACAGTCCAAACACTGGTTTGTACCTCAACTCCTCTAACTTGTTCAGTCCGTTGACTTTCTTCCCCAGCCATGATCATCCTGTACAGTATCACGGGTATCATCACTGCCTTGTTCCTAGGCATTATCATCACAGGTGCAGTCCGGGCTCATCGCCATCCAGAGCGATATGGCCCTCGCCGGATTGCCGGGCGAGTCCGGCAAAGCCGTGCCCGAGGTATCGCTCGAGCCATGTTAGACACCATACCCGTCGTCAAGTTTGATGACAAAAACGATGACGTGGAGGCTGCCAAAAGACACGTCGAGATGACCATGGACCCTGAGGATCACGAGAACTCCCACGATAACTCCCCGCCCGAGGCCAATGGAGGGTTATCGACACCCCGCGAATCCGAAATGCCAACCCCAGACGATAATGAGCGCCCCACCCCCACAGCCCCCGAAGCCAAGACCGAGATGCCCGATGCTGGTAACTTCTCGTGTCCGATTTGCACAGATGACTTCATCAAGGGCCAAGACCTACGCGTCCTACCCTGTAACCACCAATTCCACATGGAATGCATTGATCCATGGTTGATGAACGTTTCTGGCACCTGTCCCCTTTGGTATGTTTTATTTGAAATTGATAACATATCAACTCCATAAACATATGTATGAACCGAACTAACCATGTTGCAGCCGCATCGATCTCAACCCACCCCAACCCGAAAACGAAACCGAAGAAAACGCCGACCAAGCCGACCAACCACCCGCAGAAGGACGAATCCTAACCACGGAAGATGCCCGCCAGCAAGCCCGTCAGCAAGCCCGCCATACGCACCGCCGTCTAACCAACTATCTCCACGGACCCCTCAACGCCCGACGAATGCGCGATGCCACCGTCGAGGAGCGCCTTGCCGCGCTCCGACGCGTTCGCGAAGCAAACCAAGGCGAGTCTGCGCCCGAAGAAGGATCACACCGTGGCCTGACCACCCGACTACGCGAACGCTTCCGCATCCGAACACGCGCTCACGGCGTCGAGGCTGAGTCTTCCGCTGACGCGGACAATGCTGCGCCTTCTCCGGCGGCTCCGGCGCCCGCCCATCTCACGCCGTCTACTGCTTGATGCCTGATTCACCCCTTCACATATCACTCCTTCACATATCACTCCTTTACATTTTGCATATATTCTCGATTTACGATTCAGATGATTTCAGGTCCTCGGTAGGAGGCTATATGGCGTTTTTTTTGTTCCATGGGTTATGGTTTTCTTTTGTTCATTTTATGGATTATTTTGAAAGAGCATTGGCGTTACTTTGAACGGGGGTTGGAGGAAAAGAGAGACTGGTTTTCTCAGTGACTTATTTGTATCTGCTGGTTTCTTCTCTGTGAATACTTGCTGTATATCATGAATTTAAAGTCACATACATTTCAATTTACATACATTTGAATTTATGCATGGCATATAGTTTCTGGAGGGGTATAAAATATAGAGATAAGAGATAATATTCCCATCACGAGAACAAGAGGTCTAGACTCAGATCGATGTCCGCATCATCGACTCATGAGCCCTGGAGCTATCTGGCATCCCATTTGTCTTCAGATGTTCTTCACAAATATAGTTTAGGCTGTGCCAGGTCAGCAGGGAGCTGTACCATGGATTCCGCAGCTTCATCCCGAGAACCAATATCCGATCCGATCATTTCTTTTTGGTATTACGAGATATATATGAGGCTTTATTAAAACATAAAACATATGTTGAACTTTTGTACTGGAAGCTCAAGAGTACCCATAATGATGTTAAGATCGCCAGGCACGAGTCACATTCTGACCGATTGGCTGATGATTGCATCAGCGGCTGACACAAATCTGGTTTCACCGTACTCCGTATATCATATAGACACCGTTTGGCGTATTTGGAGTCATACGTGAGGGATATATTTCTTAAATCTCTCTAGATCGTACTATGTACTCCGTATACGTTATTACGTTCATAAACCACTATAATAACACTCTTACGGGATATTATATTCTTCTGTGGGGAATGGGATCGGAGAAAGTCCGCCAAGTCCGCCACCCCAAATTCGTTTTATTTCTCCGGAGTCCCGGTCCCGGGATCCTCCTGATGAGTTATTTTAGTCCCCTCACGGGTGTGGGGGAATGACACATACCATATGGAGTGACCAAGATGGAGTAGTTCTAGAATTGCTTGGGGAAGAGCCAAGTGTGTCCATTTGCAGAATTTAACCGGCACTATTACATATACATATGGTAGTACGGAGGTACATGAGTGTAATTGAAATATATTAGCAAATTGAGATATACAAACCCCTGAGCCGAGACCTATCATGCAACGACCTTGGCCTTCCAGAAGGGTCTCCACAGTGCGTCTTTTTTCCTCGGCGTTGTATGACACACTGTTTCTGGTCGGCGGGTGTAGCCTGTCGGAGAGGGGGAATGTGTTGGAGATTTCAACCAGGTGTTTATTTTGATGTACTCTGTGCGCTCTGTGTTACTAGAATAATAACTAACACTGTAGTTCAACTGTTGTTGATATACTAGCATGTGAACTCCAACGAGAAAGATACGGGCAAGTCCGTCCCTCGGTATCTTGTGCGCCGAGGATATAGTATAGATAAATATAAGAGACAAGAGACAAAATACTTCCTACTCAACTTACAATAATTGTACAATAACGATTACAAACAGCGTGCGCTGATTCCCCCAAGACAACCCCACCCCCTCACTCCATCCGGTGAACGCAAGCAGGAATTTCCCGTTTCGGTGTCAGATTCCGGGGAAAACTTACGTTGTACCCGGTCGTTTTCGATTATATAATTTCACCATGACTTCGATTCAGTCCGCAAGAGATCGTCTTTCCTCTCTATCATCACACATCATGGGTTCTTCCTCCAGTCCCTCAGTATTTACCGCGGCCAATGTGGCTGCCGCCCCCGAAGATCCCTTGTTTGGCCTTATGAAGGCCTATCGCGAAGACCCCTCCGATAAGAAGGTTGATCTGGGCATTGGTGCCTACCGCGACAACAACGCAAAGCCCTGGATTCTCCCGGTCGTCAAGAAGGTAATATCTATACTTCTATAATTATATCCCTCCAGGGCTCGCAGTTATCTGACATCTACACCTATAGGCCGATGATGCCATCCACAACGATCCCAGCCTCAACCACGAATACCTCTCTATCGGTGGTCTCGCAGAGTTCACCTCCGCCGCCCAGAAACTGATTGTCGGCGCAGACAGCCCTGCAATTCGTGAAAAGCGAGTACGTACCTCTACTCCCATATACCTTCAATGTTCCAACAACCCCCACCTCAGACCCAACTAACCTTTTCCCTTCCAACTAGATCTGCTCCCTGCAAACAATCTCAGGCACCGGCGCCGTCCACCTAGGCGGCCTCTTCCTCTCAAAATTCCACCCCCAAAAGCCCGCAATCTACCTCTCAAATCCAACATGGGCAAACCACAACCAAATCTTCACAAACGTCGGCCTAACCCTCGCAAAGTACCCCTACTTCTCCGTCAAGACCAAAGGCCTTGACTTCACCGGCATGATTGCCGCCCTTGAAGCCGCACCCCACGGCTCCGTAATCCTCCTACACGCCTGCGCACACAACCCCACAGGCGTCGACCCAACGGAGGACCAATGGAAGCAAATCGCCGAGCTAATGCGCGCCCGCTCGCACTTCCCCTTCTTCGACACCGCATACCAGGGCTTCGCATCCGGCGACCTGGTCCGCGACTCCTGGGCCATCCGCTACTTCGTCGAGCAAGGCTTCGAGCTGTGCGTCGCGCAGTCTTTTGCCAAGAACTTCGGTCTCTATGGTGAGCGCACAGGCGCTTTCCACTTCGTCTCGGCGCCTGGTCCGGACGCCGCTGTGGCGTCTGCGCACATCGCTTCCCAGTTGGCTATTCTGCAGCGCTCGGAGATCTCGAACCCGCCTGCGTACGGCGCGCGTATTGCGAGTCGCGTGCTGAATGATCCCGTGCTCTTTAAGGAGTGGGAGGCGGATCTGCGCACGATGAGTGGTCGGATTTTGGAGATGAGGCAGGGATTGAGGGATCGTCTTGAGAAGCGCGGTACGCCTGGTTCGTGGGATCATATTACTTCCCAGATTGGAATGTTTAGTTTCACGGGGCTCTCCGAGGAGCAGGTTATGACGCTGCGCTCCAAGTGGCATGTCTACATGGTATGTTTTGACTTCCTTTCTTGTTGGTGTATTTCGTTGTCTGGAATTGCGCTAACTTTCATTTCCTCCCAGACAAAGAACGGCCGCATCTCAATGGCCGGCTTAAATACGAATAACATCGACTACTTCGCCGAAGCGGTTGATAGTGTTGTTCGTGGGTCTGCTAAGTTGTGATACCTACCTGATACCCCGGTCTTGACATAGAGTGGAAACACTCAAGAGGCTTGGTCTGGCGTTCTATTTGCTTTTTGTGCACAAGCTTTTTTTTGTGGAAGTTCGGAAGGACTTTCATGATGCATCAACATATCATATTCTGAGACTTCGGTCTTGATTTCGCATTTCTCGTTCCCTTAGACGCACCTTAGCTGTGGGTCTGGGGGATATCACATGCATCACATGTAAATCATAGATATAGCAATGCGGCATTTAAAGTGCTGTGGGATTACTTTGTTCGATGGTTCCTGTGCAAGTTAGTATAATTGACACCATTCGAAGATAGAATTTGGTTTCATTTGGCCAGACCGAACTGTCTGTCATCAATAAGGTCTGTAGGAAGTATACAGCCCAACAGCCAGACACAATAACTACCGCGTCCTAATCGAACAAGAGACGTTGAAATAATATGCTACATTTCAATAAAATAGACATAATGGTATGTGGTATCGTATAAAAACGCTTTCTATGAAAGCTTCTGAGACAACCTGTTCAGTAGTATCGGGACTAAAAGACCAAATCCCAAACCACAAGCCATGTACACAGTCCAACAGTTCCCCAGAAGACAGCCTGCGCCGTACTCCGTCGCTCAGTAGCACGCTTCAACTCACGATTTCCCTGCCCGACATTCGTCTGCGTCGTATCCACGTCCGAGACAAGCTGGGAAATATGTTCCTCCTGCGTAGCGAGGTGGGAGACAAGCGTTTCCTGCAAAGAGGAGATCTCAAGGAGGGATTTCTCGGCGTTTCTAAAATAGATTATATTAGCATTGCCCTCCAACAGAACAAAACCAACCCCAACGTAAAAGAAAGAACAACAAACATACTGGACCTTCCCCAACGTATCCTCATAATGCCTAAGCATAGAATCATTCTCCTCAGCAAAAAGCTGCAACTGCTCCGGCGAAAGCTGCGCCTCGATCCGCGCCGTATCCGCCTCACTCAGAACCGCCGCATCAGGCGCCTGGAACGTAGGATCGAAGGAACTTCCACCCGCAACCCCAGCTCCAGCTCCAGTCCTCCCCGATACAGAAACAGACCCCTTCCTCCCCCCATTCCCACTCCCAGCAGCCTTCCCCGCACCAACCTTATAAAGCACACTCTTCTCCTTCTCCCTTATCCTCTCAATCCTCTTCTCAACCATCCGCCGCTGCACACTAACAGCGCTCTCAAGCCCACGCCTCAAGAACCAAAGCACGCTCTCGCGGACGGTCGCTATCGACCGCGCGCTCTCCTCTGCGCATATCTGCTCAGCGGATTTGCCCTCGTCGGCGCTGGCGCTGTCTAGTGCGCCGCTGCCGCCGGCCCAGCGCCAGAGGAGCGCGCCGGCGGCGGAGTGGCCGTATTTCTTGTGGAGGAGGGTGGAGGATGTCTCTTGGCGGAGGGATTCGGCGGAGGAGAGGTTTGCGATTGAGGTTGCTAGGTCGCGGAGGAGGAGGGCTGTTGAGGTGTCGACTGCATCGCGTTCGGGGTCTGTGAGGTTTGTTTGGGGGGTTGTGGTTGGTGCATTTTTGGGGTTCGGGGTTGGTATGTTTTGGCGGCGTTGGGGTTGTGTTGTTGAGAGGTAGGCGTGCCGGATTGATTGGAGGTATTGCAGAAGGGAGTGGACGTGTGAGTTCTGGGTGTTGGTTTTTTTGTTAGAGGTTCTTTCTGCTTTGCTGAGGTTTGGTATAGTGGGTGTGAATGCGGAGGACGGCTTACGATTCGGTATGCCTCCTTTAGGAACTCGTCGGCGGTTTCTGTGCAGGGTTTTCTGGTTTGAGGGAGTGACGAGCCTTGCTTTGAAAGCAGATTCGTGAGGGTTGGTGTTAGGTCGGTCATTGTGGGAGTGGCATGGTCTGAAATGTGTGTAGTGTTGTTGCTATACAACTGTACACTTGTCGATCAACATCCAACGTCACTGCGCGAGTGGTCTTTCCCGCACCCCGTATTTGTTTATGCCCGGGGTACGGGGTACTTGGAACAGACATGGGATGAGGAATCACCAACTATATAAATTGTTTTCGGCATTTGCTTCTCTTACTTTTCATCATGCAACTCATCACTTCTCAAGTGGTATCGCATCTACACATAACTAACCCATCTAACCATTACACTACATAACCTTCATCACATCCATCTACAATGGAGGAAGCTCAAGTCCATCATTTACGAGTCTCTCCCGCAGGCCCAGACGGTGATGGTACCCTTTCAGTTGTGCCAAATGCCAAGGGAATGTCCGACGAAGAAATGCGAGAACTTGCCTTAAGCTACGGCCACATAAGCGGGTTCGTCTTCCCCACACGAGAAGGCTCAGACTTGGACTACGAGATCCGCATCTGGCATCCATATTACGAACTAGAGAAGTGTGCCCACGCAATGATAGGAACTGTGTGGCTACTGTCAAAGCTTGGGATGATGCCGCGGGACGACCTCCGCATCGTGACCAAGATCGGTCGTATTGAAGCTCGGATCACGAAGACTGCCGACAATACAGACAGCACAAACGACGGCATCTGGGTTGAATTCTCTAACCCGACATGTTCAGTCATGGACAACATGGACAAGAAACACGCCGACGCCATACTGTCTGGTTTGGATATCTCGAGAGATGACATTGTACCTGGAGCAGCAATTCAGAATGCCGGCACGAACAAGATGGTGAAGACGCTGGTTCCGATCGAATCGATTGCGAAATTGCATGATTTGGAAGTCGAATACAATCTCGTCAAGAAGCTTCTTGGCAAGATTAAAAGCAATGGTTTGTGTCTGTATGCCATCGCTAATCACGAACGGCAGGAGTACGAAATGAGGCAGTGGCCATTGGGAGGATACTGCGACTGCTTTGGCTTTTGGGATGCTGATTAATGAGCTTGTCGACAACCCTCATGGGACACTTAAGATTAGGCAGGTTTGGAACCAGGACCGTCATCGTGAGATTAGTTTAAGGTTCAGGAAATGGGGTAGTAGCGTTGATGGCTGTTGGATTGGAGGCACAGCCAAGTTTGAGACTGAGAAGAGAGAGACTGGAAAGACAGGGACCTGGGAGACTGATACTGAATAGGAGACTGGAGAGACAAGGGGGGATTTTGTTATGCACGTCTAACCAGCGGCTTAAGCAAGTCTAAATTGAAACAAATCCAACACATTGACACGTACCAACCTATTACTTGCCCGGTTAATTTTGGAGCCTTGAGGAGATTCAAGGTATATCATGGAGGATGGCGAGAACAGGGAATTCTAAGCATTAAACTAGAGTGATATAGCCAATCCTTGAACAAAGTAGTTGTCTCCACAAGACCGCGAGTGGCGACAACCCTGCACGCTAGGGACTAGCATGACATATGACTTGATAGGTCATAGACACGTCCTCTGACAAGGATCTGAAACTCTAGACAAAGACTAATCATAAATTAGCCTGCGATTGGTGGGAACTACCATCCATGGATGTCTATGTATACTTCTAACATTAACCGTATCATTTCATGGCAGACAAGGAACCAGCCAAGTTTTCAGATATGCCGGGTAGACGTCACATTAGTGACGCAGCTTGATAGTTTGCTTCTATTGTATCAGATATATTTTTCTTGCTTAAAAGCGACTTCGCCTTCCTTTTTTCTAACATCAAATCTAGTAATTCCCCCTTCCATCATATACATATCCAAAATGGCGCGTCCACCTCAAAACAAGCATCCAGCAGCAACATCTACTGAGCTGCCCACTCTACACTTGACCCCATCCATCACGCGGTCAGCCACGTCATACTCCACGCCTCGTCAAAATGACCCCCAAGTGTCGAGTTTTGGCAATGCCACCGATGCCACCGATGCCACAAATGACCAAATCCGCGACTACCACCACCAAATCAAAGCAACTCTCACAAACATCCTCAATGACGACCGAGTGAAGCATGATCCCAGTGGCAGCCGCTGTGTGCAGAAGATACTGTTAGAAAATGAGCAAGATATGCGGAAACAACGGAGACATTCGCTCGGTACATGTGATGCTAAGTAGACAATGCTATTCTAAATGGACTAGTAGTACTAGTACAAGGATCAACGCTCATGCCTTTTCCCCATTGCCACTAGGGCAAATGAGTATTAGTAGATTACTTTTTAGCCTTGGTAGCAGACCATTCGACCATCCCCGATCTATGTTTTCCAAAGCGAAGCTTCTTCCTCAAATTTAGACACAGATTGAAAGAGAATTACATTAAATTTCTCATGCATTGGTCGTATTCTCATGCTAAATACGCAAAACAGGGTATAGACAAAATCACGATGCTAATATCAACAAAGAAATCCAATCATGCATCAAATCATTGAGCGCTCTTCCACCCATATCTAAGCAAGCACAGCAACACCAGTCAGCAAAAGCGATTCTTAAAAAATCACAAAGGGCAAATAAACTAACCTCGATCTTCCCCATCTCACTTCCTTCCCTTCGAGCGACCTCCTTCGCCGAACTGACTAGCAAATCCAAATCTTCCTGGTCTACCATAGTAATCATATCCCCATCATCCTGCACCTTCATCTTCAGAGGACATTTGAACCCGAACTTTTCCCGAATTCGATTTTCGAATTCCCCAAAATCGATCGTCGGTCCAATCATGATATACCTAGTATCATCAGGTGCGTGTACTTTTACTCTAAATTTCTGAATCTCAGGTCTTCGCGGATTCGCTTGGCGGGAGTATCGCGCTGGAGAGCGAGTGCGGCGTTGTTGAGGTGACTGGCTCGGACCAGCTTGGGGAGCGCCGACGAGCTCGAAAGCGCCGTCGTTGAGGGTCGTTGCGTCGCATGCGTCGCTGCCATATTCTTCCTCTTCGTCGATGTATTGCGGTGGTTGGTGGCGGGACCCGCGGCCCCAGCCTGTGTTTGCTACGTTGCGCTGGCTTGAGTATGGGTCGTATGGGTCTGTGTGGCCGTACTCTGGTTCCGGTGGGTAGGTCCGGTTTGCGTTTGTGTCGCTGAGGTTTCTGCGGTGGCCGGTTTGTTCGCGGGTCAAGCTGCTTCGGCTGCTTTCCTGTGTGTATCCGCGCATGTTGTTTTGTCGTGAGGATGGTCCGCGCGGCTCTGAGGCTGTTCGTGCTGTCCCTATCCGTGGCTTCTCGGCGGGTGCTTGTTCTTGTGGACAGGGTCGGCGGTCTAGACTGGCGCCTGCGCGATCGAGGTCTAGACGTGGTGGGCGGACGTTTCGGAGAGATGATGTTCGGTGGTGTCCGGATGTTGAGTGGCTTCCTGATCCAGATGCTGTGCTGACTGATCGGTCGTCTGGTGGTGGGGTTGGGGGGAATACGTTGCGGTTCAGGGGTGGTTCGGATTGTTGGCGAGTGCGGCTGCTGAGATTGTGGCGTACCAAGTTGGATGAGGCGAAAGAGACTCCTTCGCGACCTTGGAGGGCTTCTTTGTCAATGATCATTGGATTCCATTGGTGGTCTGATGATTGATTGCGGTCCGATGCGGCAACCAGTCGAGCCTTGCCTAGGTAGTCTTTTGTCTTGAGATTCTTGACTTTGGCTGCGTTGGGACGATAGAGAACTCCCACGGGAATCGAGAAGACAGTGTATCCCTGTATCTAAATTAGCTTGTATCGCAGCGGATTAGTAGGGTCCACCTACATCTGCATTTTCGCGAATGGCATCGTCAATCACATCGTGGTCCGGGGTAACCTTTTCCTTGGCTGCATACTCGAGGTCCTGGATGCCTGGGTTCATTTGCCGGAGGTAGATATAGCAGAGACCCCGATTGAACAGGACTTCACATGAAAAGAGGCGGAATAGAAGGCCTAACTGTTCATAGTCGATGGAGGTATTTCCTCGCAGATACAGCAAAGTGTCATTAAAGTTGGCCAACGCCTCTTCAAAGTCCCCGAGCAAGAAATTAGATACACCTTGCTGGAAGTAAGCGATTGCTAGATACCGGTCTAGGCCGACAGCACGTTGATAACATTCTACCTGAACCCAAATTAATTTACTGTCGGGAAGAACATCTCATGGGTTCACTCTTCACTTACTGCTCTATGATGCTCGCCTAGCGTTGCATAGATCACTCCGCAGTTGAACAAGATTTTTGATGTATCGGAAATCTGATCGAAGCACCGCAGGGACTCTTCAAATTCTTGATTGTCGTAGGCATCAAGGGCCTGCACCCATGTCTCGATTTCCTTTTGGACAATGTCAGCATGCTTAATGTTCCGAGATCACAATATATAGACTTACTTGTTTGAGTGACATTGTCTTGGATATAAGTTGACTATTTGTCCAAGTCTCCTGTGCCTAGATGATATATATTGGGGAAAGACTTTGCAAGTACTTTCCATCCAACTCTCTAGGGCACGGTAATATTTTCGTAGATGGCCGCCAGTTTGTCGTAGTAAGGCTCACCTTCTAGCGCAAAGCCGGGAAAGTGCAGGTATTATAATTGCCAATGGCCAAGGATTCAGTCGGTGTGACGAAAAAACCTTAGGGTTGATAAAAGGGGCCAAGAACAATCCGAGGAACGACCAGCGGGTTGGCGGGTTGACGTCGAGTAATCCCGTGAGGTAATGTGATATCCCGAGATTGACGTGAAGGGATAACAGTTGGAATGTATTTATAGAATACAATCCCTCTTAAAGCCGGCAATATCAGATGCGATTGAGAAAGTAATTGGTTTAACCTCTTGACGGGAGAGTGGAGATGAGGGGGCGTCCCAGCAACTTGGACCCCAGAAGGAATTGTAGAGTTAGCGGGAATAAGGGGGGGAAAAAGAAAGAAAGAAAAAAAAAAGAAAAGATGATAGAGAAAATAAAAATAAAAAATAAAAATAAAAAGCAAAGAAAAAGCCCAAATCTTAGAGAACCTGCAGAGGGGCTGCACGGAGGGGCAGGGGGGGAAAGGATGTAAGTTACTGGAAAGGCTACTTCGACCGAAAAGGCGAGTGATGGGACAAAAATAACCCGCTTTGCTGCAGCAATTATGCACGTCTGGGTCAATAGGATCTCACAGAAGGGTTTTCCTACTGCCGAGCCTGTGAGTGGGCAGATTATCAACATCGTATTGTGATCGGTGACACGCTCAACTCCATCGGCCAATATTCCATGGGCTTTGACTCCTAACTGTTTTTGACTTTTAGTTGACTCTATAATTGAACTGGTACCCTGACCCATCACATAGGGCCGCGTCTGGACAGTGCGGGGGGATTTTCTCTTGGAATTCCAATCTGGTCTATCGCGTGGGAGAATACTTGATTCATTGGTCCTCGGCCCCCCTGCCACTTCAATTCGTTCCCCGCCACGGCGCTTGCAGTGCTTTATTTAGGGTTGAACAGGGCCCGAGTGTATCGATTTCCAACATCTCGCTACGAGTTCCTGGAAAGGAAGTAGAATTCTTCGAGATAGTAAGTTGCTGCTCCGTACATAGTCCTGAAGCCATCGTCCTGAGGTCCCTGGGGCCGATGCTCTCTCCACAAGGCTATATATACACTCCACGACCTTTCCTTTTCCGTTTTAGTGCTCACCCTAGATATTAGACCTCCGGTGTTCCATGGTTCAATTTGAGGTGTTACACATGTGCAAGAAAACTGACTTGTCCCTCCTCTTGTCTGCTCGAAGTGGAGGACTTGGTATCTTCCAAGGTTGGACTGGAGGTGACGTCCACGGGTGTGTTGGGCTTGTCATTATCTTCTCGCCAAGTCCCAGTCGGTGGTTCTACTCGGGTAAGAACGGCCGATGACCCAAACATACCACCGAGTCGGCCCACATCAACACCCCAACAGTAAGAAATAGTTCCAGATCAATTGATGTCTGTGGACTTTCCTCCAACTTCAATATCAATGCAATTTACATGCAGCCACAGTCTATACCAGCTGGAGCCCTGGAGGTTGTCTAAGTGTTCACTTCCCATGGTTCACTATGGGTCCGGCCCGACCCGCTCGCTCACCAGACGTTGATACAACCCGTTGACAGGAGACTATTCTTCGGCGGGAAGGATATTGATATCGCAGTGCGGTTTCAAGTCTATCCTGAAGGCTGGCAATCATCTTTCTACCTCGACAGCTCAATCCCTTGGCTAACGAGACCGGCACATCCTAGACCCTGGTATATCCGTGCACCGTATGGGGCCTGCAAGGCGGCACAGCTGCAATACGTACAGGAAACATCACATCATGTGGGACTGTAGATCACTCGGTGAGTGTAGCTTCTCAGGCTCAATTGGGCACTTGACGGGGTGTGGGCTCTGGGGCTGCATCAATCTATAATTAGGTGGATAAGCAGCGGCATAATATGCCACTGAGCCGGTTTGGGATGCCCGAGGACGTGGTAAATGGTTGGTATTCTTAGATATCTCGCTAAGTAATTATGTGCAGGAGCCAATGACGAAGTGAAAGATATCTAGATATACAAAAATCAGACAAAGGAACACGGTGAGTTGAAAAAGCGAAGTGGATTCAACTCACGAATGGTCGTCCTGTGCTACGACCTAGTCTCCCAGAGCCGTACCAATCATCATTAGCTATCACCAACGCCGTTTTGCTCAGGGGTCTAGCACCCTGTTCTATTTTGAGCTTCAAGAATTCATCCGAGGCTAGAATCAAGAGATTGAAAAAGAAGAGAAAAAGTTGAACAAATCCAGCAGGGGAATGGCGAACATCAGCCTGCAACTTGAGGTCATGAGGATTCACCCGCGTACATGACCCATAGAGGCAGTCTGGAACAGGTATAGTTTGTGAGTGATCTACCAACTAGACCACCTGGGTTTCGGGGTCCACATTCTTTCCGTCCTTTCCATTGCGCTAATAGACCGATTCCAGCTGGAACATGCCGACCGCGTTGAATGAGCTCTGTGCTGCTCAGGCATCTCATGTGTGTCGCGAGTAATTGCTGAATAGTCTCTATGCTTGGATGAGCTCTTGACCGTTAGGCCTTCGATTATCGAGCTATAATGCCATTGGATTAATGCCACTAGTCATGCAGCCGACTTCTAGCTGACCAGCCAGGGAATTGTGACACTGATGCGTAGACCAAGTTTGGGATCTTTGCTTGACTCGGGGAATTCCATAGTTAATCATGCCTAATCTCTGGAGCTAAGCCTGATATGGCCACAACTATTCTGTCAGACCCACCCAGGCCCACTTGCGCATCGCAGATTGAACCACTTGCATTATGCGTGTACCTTGCCTTGCAGTTCTACCTGCGTGTGCATTGAGTCCATCGGATTAGCCCCAAGAGGTCCGATAGTGGCCGTCTAGTGACCTCGTATGCCCATTGAGAACGCAATAAAGGTGGCGTGCAACACTCGGCTGTTTGTCTAAGTTGTGAAACAGACGCATCGGTTTATAGGAGGATCTTGTCGGGTCACGTTGGACGACCCATCTATCGCGCATGGTCATTCATTGGGGCTGCATCTCCCGTGACAGTCCGTGCGAGAAATAAGGAAACAGTTGCAGACTTTTCTGCAGGGATATCACACAAGATCTGTCTATATATGTGTTTCAGCCACTTCCAACGGCCTTCACACCTAGCTCTTTCACGGCTATAGAACAACCTAAGGTGAGTTTTGATGAATATTTCAAACAGCATGAGCTATACCAAGCTTCTATATGGTGGACATCTTTGAGAAAGTGAGGGAAGCACCGATCTACGGTGCACGAGCACATCTAGACACGGGAAGAAACGTCTGCTTTTAGGAGAAAAACAAGGATATAAAGTTCTATTTATATCAGAAATGAACTAGCTAATGCCGGTACCAGGGATCATGGGTGTGATTTCCACGTGGAATACGGAGTAGTGGTTGGTGATTGAGTGCCCCACCCAGGCGCTTAAGAGCTTTTTTTGGATCAGGGAAGGTTCTCGGATATAGCAGGGATAATATCTAGTGGCCTTGAGAGGGGTTTACATCGCGCTAACTACATTAGACATCGAGTAAAATTCAAGTACATTGAGCAAAATCCAGGTAGGTTCCAAAATTCGGCCGGTGATATTCTCGGCCGAGGTTGATTATTCAACGCTGAATATGACTATAGAAATCGAGATATGTAGGGAATACTTTATTTACAGCTTAGCAACCATCTTGTTGCCCTTCTGGAGCAGAACAGCGGCATCTCCGACGAGCTCATCAACGATAGCCTTGGCAGACTTCTTCTCGTTGACAACGGCGGCAACCTTGCCCATCAGCCAGGGACGGGCATTGTCCAAAGTGTCGTCATCGACGTCATCGGGCAGGTTCTCCATATCATGCTCGACAGGGATGATACCCTTGGAGGTGAGCTGCTTGATCTCCTCGTGACGGTTCTCCTCCCAGTTGACGATGTAAGGGTTCTTGCGAACACGGAGGGGACGACCCTATATCGTATGTTAGCAACCTAAACATCTTGAAAACAAAGCCAGGGGATACATACAGTGAAGATAATGGTACGGATGTTGTCCTCGAAGTTGGAAGTGCGGACAGCCTCTTGGTGAGCGGCGGGGGCACCGGCCTCATCAGACAGGATGAAACGGGTACCGATCCAGACAGCGGAGGCGCCGAGCATGAGAGCAGCAGCAACCGAGTTACCGTTGAACAGACCACCGGCGGCGATGACCTGCACGGGCTGGCCGGTCAGAGGGCTCTTCTTGCCCTCGACCAACTTGGCAACGGTGGGGATGAGGACGGTAGTAGGGACATCACCGGTGTGACCACCTCCCTCACCACCCTGGGCGCAGATAATATCAACGCCAACATCAAGGGCCTTCTGGACGTGCTTGGGGTGACCGATCATGTTCATGCAGAGGATGCCGGCACCGTGGAGCTTCTCGACGACGGCCTTGGGGGGGACACCGACGGCGGAGACGAAAAGGCTGGCCTTTTCCTGGATGATAATATCAACGAGCTCACCGAGCTTGCCCTTGGTGTAGTCGTAGCTATTTGCCGAAAGAAAACGCGATTAGCACGTGTCAATAACGGAAAAAGTTCCGCAGCGATCGAAGGTTCTTACTTGGTCTTGCGGGCACTGCCGCCAACCTGGGGGAGGAGAAGGTCGACACCGAAGGGAGCATTCTTGTCGTTCAGGTAGCTCTTGAGTTCGGCGACTTGTTCGCGAAGCATCTCGGGTGTGTAGCCAACGCCACCAATGACACCCAGACCACCGGCGTTGGTGACAGCGGCAGCCAGCTTGGGCCCCGCAGCCACGTTCATGCCTGCCAGCAGGACGGGGTGGTTGATCTTGAGCAGATCAGTGATCGGGGTGCGGATTTGTTCTGTTCAGCAGTCATGGTTAACATCGATGTTGAGGCCATGGGCCCATGTGGATGGAGCCATCAGTTACGTAGGGGATCACATGAAAATAATGGGCAGAGTAAACATAGGGGGATATGTCACTTACGAGGAGAAGCCATTTTGAAGATATGTGGAGTGAAGGTAATGGAAAAAGAAAACCTGGGGAAGAGAAAGTTCAAGTTGGGGTACAACCAACCTATAAAGCAAAGCAACCTCGGTGGTTCACAGACTCGCGATGAGCCTCGGTCTACATCCTTTGACCGAGATTAGTATTAGTCACGAGGTTACCTCCACCGGAGGAACTGCCATAGCGGGGTTAGAGTTGGACACCTGAGGCAGAAACATTCACGTGTCTAAGATGCGGATTCCCCGATTTCTACGGAGTACGGAGTACACATCTGTGGACCATCATCCAGGATGTCCTGTCAACTGAATCGGCCCTAATTCCTGTCATATACCGGCGTTGACTTTTTTTGCGGCCATCTATGGCCACAGCACGTTGACGACAAAGTCGTCAAATCAGATAAATAGTCCATGTGTAACACACCAAGAGATTTTGTGGAATTTGGATTCTCCTTGGGCTTTATTATGGGGCTAGATAGCCCTTAACCATCTTTCTTGCAGAAAGTAAAAGCCATCAGATTCACTGCTCTTTTGGATCAAAATGTCACTTTTTGCAGTCGCGTTCCACACGGTTGAGTTTCGGGGGCACAATATTTGCAAAAATGTATCGCAAAGTGAGCTGGACGGCTATATCTACCAAGGGCACAGTGAAACACGATATATCCTTTCCGAAAATTCTCATATGCTTGAAGAGGATTTGGACGTTGACAAACTACTCATTTCAAGCGCCAATTGACCATGTCTCGGCTAATATAAAGGGCAAAGGACACTTGGTGGAATTGACGGCAGTAGTTGTTTGATACAGGAAAGAAAAGACGAAGGAGAATGCGGCCATGTTTTGCTTGTGTCCGTCGACAACTGCGGAGAAAACCCATGGATTGATATATCTGCTGCTGGAGCGAGGGAGAGAGAAAGAAAGAAAGAAGCAAGGTCCAAGTATATACTCAAGGCAGAGCCTCAGCAGCAAAAAAAAAAAAGCAAAGTCGGTTTGCACATTTTAAGCCGTTTTTACCGCCTATACCCTAGTTACAACACTTACAAGGGGAAAATACCCAAACAAAAGACTACCAAAAAGACTACGAAAAAGACGCGACAAGGCCGTATATGCGGCTGACCCATGTTGTCTCATTAAATTTCAAGTTTTCTTCCCCCAAATTCATAGATGCGGATATAAAACCCAAATAGGTTAATGAGAATAACAATAAATTCCGTTGAGACGTGCAGGGCGAATCAGACGAACATCAAGTTATGTTAAATACGCCTATATAGTCGGGATATGTTCTTTTTAAACACATTCTTGTATTGTCTAGTGATACTTGATAAGCTCACTGCTATAGAGTAAACGTCGACATCTGCAGAAGTTTATATACATATCCAAGAGTTTATCAACAAACCCAAGGAGGCAGTAATATTCTGCAAATCATAATAAAAAAACAAAAAAACAAAAATCCATCGGTCCTGCCGGTTCTAAGAAGAAAAGAAAAAAGGATGATTTATCCCAGAGTGAGAGTGAAACCGGAGCTCAAAGAGCAAGAGTAGGTGTTCACGTCATCGGGGAGCTGGTAAGCATCCTTGCAGTTCGCGTCACCAGCGGCACAAGAAACTGACTTGCAGCTCGAGTCACTGGGCACAACGGTGAAGCCAGACTTGACAAAGTCGGAAGTCGCATCGAGATCGATGGAGGACATATCCCAGAACAGAGTCGAGCCATCCTGGGTGTATTCGAACTGAAGAACGCTATCCTTGGTCTCGCTGGTGGAGATCTTGATGGAGATACCGCCACCGTTGGAGTTGGTGGTCCAGCCCTCGCTGTAGTCACCTCCGGTGCTAAGGGTCTTCATGCTGCCAGCATCGGAAGAGGTGGTCCACAGGTAGAGGTCCTTGCCCATGTTGTTGACGATCTGAAGACCGCCGCTGCCGGAACCGCGGGTCTCAATGGCGCCGGATTCTCCGGATTCTCCGGATCGAGCGGAGTAGGGGAGGGCGGCAGCAGTAGCAGCGAGAAGGCCGGTAAGGAAGACGTTGAAAGTCATGATGGAAGATTGTAAATTGAGAGAGTGAAAGTGGTAAGACAAAAATAGATCAACTGATTTACAGAGATACTAAAGTGACAGTAATCGAGGATAACCTCAAAAGAATGAATGACTTCAAGAAGAGAGTGACTTGAAGGATCAATGAATGTGTTTGAAGAAAGAAAGAAAGAAAAAGGCAGCCATATCTGCGGATATCCATCCTTTTATTGTGCTTGGTGGAGTCGTCCGGATGAGGATGAAACTTTGCAAGAGGACCAAAGGTGCGAAGAGTGTGGATAAACTACAATTATAGATGTGGGTTCAGTCAATAAGGTTGGCTTCCGAGAGCAAACAGCCAATCAGAACATGTGGCTGAGATATCCACAAAACGGTCTCGAACGCTTCCAAGGTTCGTCATCTTGAACATTTCGTCATCAGCGTACGAGTGGAACTTGGGTTTCCAGAATTTCGATTCTGGAACTTCAGAAGATTGATCCAATCATTCAATGAGTTTGGTTCACAAATAGAACACTTTATTCCCCCTCCGAAACACATCCGAGAGAAAAAAAAGAACGGATACCCTGACATCAGTTCTTCATGGCTTCCAAGATTGTCCAATTTGGTCCGCAGCTGCCCGGCACTTTGACAGATTCGGATTTTACGTCAGTTTCCTGTGGCAACTTTCACCTAGGCATGGGCCATTCACCTAGAGAAATCTACAACTAAAGCGGACGATTAAAATGTTCATGATATGACCTCTGGATAATATCCATCACCCAAGAGCCCAAATAACTTCTCGGCAAGATATGCATTTTTACGTTTTGTGCCTCAACTCAGCCTTTTTGTCCAACATCCTATGTTCTATCCATTCAAGGCTCCAAGTCGGTTCATATAATCCACCGACTCAGCCACCCCTGTTGCCACGATATTGTGTGGGGCTGTAATTTTGACAGTGAGCGCTAAAATGATTAGCCATGGCTTGTTTCTCGTCGAGCCTTGTTCAATAATATCAAAAGAGCGAGCGGTTGCGGAGTACTTTGCCTCCTTCGGGTCCAGCTCGGGAATGTCGGATAATACGTTTGAGTCTGAGTTTCTCGCCTTTCCTACGTTTTCCTGGTTATTCCCCTTGCAGAATGTACCTGTGGATAGATCCATCAAAACCAGAAATATTCACTGGGCTGTGTTAAAAGGGAAAAAATGGAAAAATAAAAATGAAATTCTCTCTTCTTTGCCTCTATTCTTCAAGAGCACTGGATCACAGGAGCACACGCAAAATAAAAGACACTATGTAACAACCTCTACAACATATTTCAGGTAGTTTCTTGCTAAGCCTCGCCTTGAATCCCTTCAACGTTTGCCTGAAGATCCTCCTGTGCAAACATCTGGCCTGGATTAAAAGCTGTGGCAAAGATCTTCTCAAATTCATCATCAGAAAGAGGGCGCACTCCGACAAGGTCATTATCCAAAGTCTTGAACTCGGCTTCGAATTTGCCACCCAAGAGCGCAGCTTTCAGCAGCGCTAGTGTTTTGAAGAGATCGAGGTCGCCCTGCTTGGTATTTTCAAGAATTGTCTCAAGCTCAGCCGCTGCATCCACTGGATTCTCAATCCATTTGACATCAGGCCCCGAATACTTCCTTGCCAGATTCAAAACTTTGTTCTGAGTCAAGACAATGTCGTGAACGCTAACCAGGCGGTTTTTGGTCGCTGCAGCATTCTTCAAAGCACCAGCAACGGCTTTCGCAACACTTGACACACTAGTTGAGCTGAAAGTATGCACACCATTGTCATACAGTGGAGCAGTTTGAGTCTGCAGGTCGGTCAAGAACGGCATCGACATGACAAATTCCAGGAAGGGCCCAACAGCGAAGAGTGTGTACTCTATCTGTCCGCTAAGCGCCTTTTCTTTGAGATAATTCTGGATGTCTATCCATAAGGCGTTGAGTGGAAGTGACTCTCCTCCAGGTCTGGTGGTAAGCGCCCCAAAGTCGGAAGGGATGAAGCGTCTAACGCCAGCCTGGATGCTGGCATCGATGACCGTCTTCTGTGTGCTAATACCAGATGAACCGACAGTAGAAACCACGGCATCCTGACCCTGGAGAGCAGTTACAAGACTGTCGATAGACGAATAGTCGACTTGCACAGTCTTGACGCTAGAAGGGGGTTCATCCACGGAGCGAGCTGTGCGACTCAAGACCGTAACTTGAAAGCCCGTATTCACGAGCTGCTCTAAGACTGCGGATCCCAGCCATCCTTTCTGTTGACCACATTATCAGTATAACAAACGTAAACATTCGGTTGTCAGTAAACTAACCCCCAAGAGTGCAACGTTTCGGATAGGCTCCATGTTAGATTGTTTGAAAGTGAAGATTATATGGAGGAATGCAAGCAGGAGGCGAATAAGTAACTGTAGTGAATCGAAAGAGAAATATATATGTTTTGAATGAGATAACAATACCGAGGACAGTCAGTGCTCTTCCTTTTATAGCTAGAAATGTGATGGAATATATGGTCCTACGTCTTATCATCCGCGGTATCTGCATCAGGCAAGTCATTCATGAAAAATGCAAGTAATCTAACCTCCCGTAAGCTATATTCCCATTCAGACAAGTCAATCATGGTATAGTGCCTGAAATCCCACTTATGTGGCTGTGTCGGAGATCATCGGCAAAGCAATAGTAAGGTTTGCACTATTCCCAGTTGGGTAAGTCAGTCGTGGATTAGCGCGGTAATTCGAACCAATGAGGGGCCGTTTGTGGAGGTCTAGCCCCAACCTTCCCTGGATCACCTAGGACAAACTCAAGACTCACAATAAATCTGACAATCTCTCTTACTGTGGGTCATTTTGTCAGTTGCTAAGATATCAAATTTTGGTGCCCAAGCCGCAGTGCTGCTCCCATTGCAACGCTTTCTGACTGGATTATTTCGGAAACTCACTCTGTTACCATTTCATGGCATCCACCAGAGCTAGCCCGGGTTGTGGGAACTGCAGGTCTAGGAGAATCAAGGTAGGCTTCCCACTTTCACGAGAATTTTCGCCAGCCTTGTTCGCCAAACTAACCTCTCGATAGTGCAATCTCCTCAGACCAAGATGTAGCCAGTGCGCTCGAGCCGGTCTAGGCTGTACTGGTTATAGGTCTCAGACAGATCTACTTTTTCGAGATCAGACCAAGTCGACAATTCAAAAGTTGCATGCTTCAAGTAACAGGGTGACCATGGCTAACAAGCACGCCACGTCTTGGAGCCCAGTCGCAATAAAACCCGCTTTCAATGTTGAAGAACTTGCACAAACAGTATTTTCTGACAACTTTGCGATCTTAGGAGATGGATGCAAGCAGTGGATGGACTCCACTGCGGGGCACCCGTCTTCCGCCACTATCAGCCTCACATCTGTTGGTCTCGCTGCACTTGCCGTTGTCCACAAAGATCCCGATATGATGGATCTAGCGCGAAGAAAATACAACTTTGCTATAAGAGTCCTTACTAAAGCAATTACTGGCCATCAAGGCTCTGGGATTGAACAATCTATTGCTGGAAGTTACATTTTGTCTATCTTCGAGGTTCTGTGCTCTGATATCCCGCCAATTCAAATTTAACTACTGGGCTGACGGATGGTTTATTTTCAGATGATAACATGCGATAACCACTCCTCTTCACATGCCTGGCAAAAGCATGTTCACGGTGCTGCTGCGTTCTTGAGCTATTTGTGTTCTACAAATGGTCTGCCAGTCTCACCGGTGAAAGAAATTATAGAGATTTGCTACACCACAGTACGTTGGTATGCCATCAGAGAGGAAGAAACTTACTAATTACTCGTACTTTCAAGACACTTGCGTGTCTTATCAGTGGCAAAACGGTTCCGCCCTTCTTACTGGAATTACCAGGTCGATTTGGAGCGTTATCAAATGCCTTACAAGACGAGGATCCCTTGTTATCAGCAATGAGACTCTTTGCTATTATGGGTACCATGGTGAATATCCGTGGCTTGGCAAATCAGGGCTGTTTTTCACCCAGCCAACTAGTTATACTGGCCATGAAAAATGATCAAGTTCTCCAAAACTGGGCGACTGCACTTCCTGCGTCATGGACTTATCACGAGCTTCCCAAAGGACCACAATACATTTACCAGGACGTTTGGTACGCTCGAATGTGGAACTACTATCGCCTAGCCCGCATTCTAGCCAACCGGATAATTATTGAGAATTTCGACAGCCTGTCACCCGCAGTGCTGCCAGGTGATAATTTCAACTTACAACATGACCAGTCATATGTCACCATTTCGCTACTGTTACGGGAGATCTACATCAGCCTGCCTTTCATGTTCGACTCGGAACAAATGCCTGCTACATCTCTACCACTCTCGGCAGCCCTTTTCTTTACAACCACTCTATTGCAATCTCTGTTGGAAATCACAGATGGAAATTCTCTCATTCAGGACTGGTCATCTCCAGCATGCGAGGTTCTAGGAGAAAGGTTTACTTTTACGAAGGGTATCGTGATGCAGAACCTTCGCTAGTGGAATCTCATTAATCTTTCAAGAAACTTCTACAGATCACGCATGACTGGTGTTGGAAGCAAACTCATAAAGCGCATTACCCCTCTTCTTGGTTAATTTGGATATATTTTCCCTTGGATATGTCTGTAGATACCCTTACTTGCTAAGAACGCCTGAAACGGCAGATTGGTCTCTATACCAGCAGCTTCATATGGAACTGCCCGCGACCCTGCCTTTCCTATTGGAATTTGTTCATGGGCAGTTTGCCATAGCCTTGGTTTGCCCAGGTGTCTGGGTACCTAGGTTTGAATGAGGATTCTAGCCGGCGAGGTCTACTTCCTGCGATTTCAAGAATTTTCCATATTTGTCTCTGGGAATTGTTTTACTCAAAAGAATTCAAGCAGACTATTATACGATTTGAATAAACGCCTCAGTTGCCATCCCCATCCTCGTCCTTCTCGTGCTTCTCATAAGAACCATCACGCTCACGAGAGGACCACTTATGAGCAGCATCCAGGCATGTCACTTTGAACCCCACACAGCATAAGCAAATGTTAAAGGTGTTGCAACCATCACATCTGCGATATGAAGTATTAATCAGTATAGGCCGAGGGGCAACCTTAGAAGAACGTTCTTAGCCCCGACCGAACTAGTGGCTCTTTATATAAGCAAGGCTGACAAGGCGCTTTTTCGACCTCAAGGGATAACTAGTCACCTGGGCAAGCACTTCCAAGGTCTAAGAGATAACTGCTGGAATACCTAAGCTTCAGAGTGGGAGACCGGAGGTGACTGAACAACTCCCATCTTTATATCATCACAATCAGAATTTCCAAGCAAAAGAAGTCTGAGTCTTGTTCCTATGGCTCCAATCCCCTTCCTCTATTGCTTACTCCTGTAGCCTCGTTTTTGCTTCGCTAGTATCTTCTCCCTTATAGACCAATCATTCTCTATCATGATACCCCCATACTTTCCGCTCGTGTATCAGCTGGAGCTTGACGTAACTCTGAAGCAAAATCTAAAAGGGAATAATAATATCATTCACTAGTGAGGCTTTTTTCTAAGATAATGGCAGACGGATCGATGAGAAAGGCCAGTATCAGCTGGATTTTTGGCACTCGCTAGTGCATCAGCGGATGTATTGGGTTATTGACCACTTGGTCACTGAATATAGCTTTGGGTATTTCGAATTCGATTAGAATACTGAAGTACATTTAGTATAGGTGACCGAGTCGTCCAACCGGAGAAGAGCGCCAATCGCACATACCTCAAGTGGGTCCATAGGCTATATACAGTCGGCATCCCGGTCTACATCGCAGCGATCGAGAGCTGCCCGAGGGATCGAAGAGGATAGACTGCATTACAGTCTGTTAGCTATATTCAGTCCACGAGTTATTAGCAGGATCCCATGCGCCATGTGGCTTTTGTTGTCTAGTTCATAGGCAAAAAAAAAAGAAGAAACCAAATGTTATCATAAATTTTGTGGTTTGGCCACGCGGCCACGAAAAGACATACACCGGTCTTAGAACCAGCTATGAGGATGAATTCGCCGTCTTTAATGTACAATGCTTCGACACGGGCCGTAGAAGGCGGTATTAAAAGCGAGGGGGTGAAGTAGGAACAAAACGGGAGCCTCTGTGCTATGTTGTTTAGGAATATTGACATCGACCGAACGCCTGAGAAGAGACTTGATGTTTATGAAGACAGGGATAGAAGGGAGGATATGTTGATGGCGATCGAAGGAATATATGAACCGAAAGGAGGAAATTCAAGCGAGGGCCTTCTGCTCCGACGGGGGAAGAGGAGGAAGCTAATAATTTCCATGGTTAGCAATCATGTCTAATCACACCAGATCAGGTTGAAAGTGATAAATTCGACATACCTCGAGCTTTGTGTTATCGGCCATCATGCGCTGGAAACCAATACCGACACCCTCGATGACAGCGAGGAAGACGGCACACATAATAGCAGAGTTTCGGGCGGCCTTATATCCACCACGGATAGCGAGGGAGCCACCAGTAAAGAAACCGGCAATGATAGCGTTATAGGGATCTTCCTTCTTGCGGATACCCTTAATTGAACAGTCGTAAATACTGAAAAGACCTCCCCAGCAGCCGAAGTTACCACCGAGAACGGGGGCGCGCGCTTTGATTGCTGTGAGCGCACCTATCCGGCGCTCGCCGTACGGGCTGTTGCGGAATCCCTTAACACCGTGCCAGACAGCACCACCGATGGCGCCCATGGCGAAGGCACCGCCAAAGTCGCTCAGGGCAACCCAGGGACAGGGATCGCGCGTGTGATCCATGATGTGTGAATGCGGTGGACGGAAGGAGAGTCGGGAAGAAGAAAAGGCGGATCACCGGGACGGGATCAGTTATGAAAGGCGCGAGAGTCGTAAACGTCGAGGATTTATAAATGGCAATAAACCCAGCGGTGACACGAGATAAGGTGGAGGATCAATGGCTTAAGAAATTCTAGATGGGGTGCACGTGACCTCGAAAAAAGTCCCCGGAAAGCTTTGCGAGGTTTGCACATAATTAATGCCTCAGGTATCACGTGTGTCTTGCAAAGTTTTTACCCTAGGTCATGTGATACCCATTTCGATATAAAGTGCACTTCTTGCCCTCCACTCACCTACTTAGAAGGCTGCATCCGTGGACATCATATTCCTATTCCATACTTCATCGAGTACATACGACCATAGGGTGTGGAAAATAGGGCTTCCCGTCCGCTCAGCCGTACTCAAGCCACACGCCGGTGAGTTAGTAGTTGGGTGGGTGACCACCAGCGAATCCTCACTGTTGTATGTTTTTGCATGGATTTCTTTTGATTGAGACTGTTGTAATCATGATATTGCCGCTTCCCTTCAGGTCCCTTGAGGCCCCTTCACCTGAATGCCCGTCAGGCCCTCTATTAATATTCGGGTGGGTGAACTGCCGCCTGAAGCCGCCTGAAGGATGCCTGGATAAAGCGGCGCGTCGCCTAGCACCGAACGATGGGCTCTGGGCGAGGTCGGCTATACTTTTGGCTGATTGTATGTTTTGTTTTGTATTAATAATAGTCATCGATGCTGTTCCCTTCATTGGATCTTAATTTCCTGTGCAACCAATTCCCAGTCTTACCGTCACCCCCTAACCTGCTCCCCACCCCAGTCGCGCGAGCTCAGGGCAGCAATGCTCACATGCGAGAACCAGTAAGGCAGCCGTGTGGGTGCTTGTAGACTTTTTCTCGGTAAGAAGATCCATCTCTGGTCGTCCCATAACATTGACCACTCACTAGTTAGTTGAATATGTTAATATTAACTCCGTGAGATCTTCCTACTTGGCCTTTTGACGGAAAGTAGGCATCAACAATATTTGGGATAGTATTTTCCCTTACTTCCAAGTGTTTGAATCAATTTGACACAAATACAGCGAACGCAGAAATTGACTATTTTAAGTGCATATAATGATAAGTCCACAAAAAACTTCCTGGCGCAGTGGTTGCTCTTTTTTCCCTCTCATTTTCGCTCTTTTGGCTTATTTTTTTTTAAGGCTGCATATCTCCTATCTTGCTCGCTTGGCTTAGTTACCTTTTCATGTTGACTAAGGCTAATGCGCAAAAACGATTGGTCGGCCTTCCATATTTCCCTGCTGAGAGTTATAACTCACCCCATCAACCTTCAGCCCGTCTTCATTAACAAGAGTAATAATGTCACCATTGCTCGAAAGCTGGAGGTTCGGCACTTCAAAGCCTCCAGTAGACATGGATTTCAAAACTGCATCACCAGGAAGTTCTTGGGCTTGACCAGCTGAGTTATGGAGTTTCCACGATGCCAAAGATACCCGGTGGTTTGTCAGGTTCGTAAGAGTGACTGATTTTCGCTTTTTCACCACTGCTTCCTTGATAGCCACTGAATTCTCAATTAATTCTGTGGGAAGGAATTGACCCCAAGTCAAAGACGATATAGCATGACCTTCACCGTTTGTGTGCACGGCTTGTGATGCAAACGCGAGAAAAATCCCGGTCCATTGACCAGTCTCCTTGTAATGGATGATAAGACCTCCGTCCTGAAAAGTTCCATCATCGTCAAGGAATTTCTTTATGTTGCCCTGGTTCATGTGCACATTGTGAACTCCATTTCTAGTGTTGAAACAGGAACCGAAAACGTATATCTCCGCTTGTTTGTCGATTGATTCCTGTACTTCAGGCACCAAGACGTCAATCATATCATTGTTTGGGCCTTCGATGTCATGGCGAAGAAGACGACCTTTTTTGGTATCAAATAGGCCAGATCGAATATAGTCCAAGCCTTGGTCTTCAAGCTCCTCGAGATCATGGAACCCGAAATCCAATTTAGCTAGATTTTGAACCATTGGATGCTCGCTGAGATTATAATTCACCCAATAAGCAAGTCGAGAGTTGTCCCGATCAATAGACTTGATGTTGATCGCTGCACGAAAGAGCCCGGGAATTTCCCTCGGTTTGTGTTTATTCGAAGGTTTGTTTTTATGTTTCTGACGATACTTGAGGTCAAATTGTGGCTCCGTTTCAGGATTATCATGGTAATATAGAGATAGATGTGGAGAACGTGGGTCTTCGTAACGGTCCTCAACCTCGTAATGAACGGGTAACCCCTTCCAAACACCGTAGTCGTCAACAGGCATTTCGGTTTCAAATTACAACAATAATCGAGATGATTCAAATTCTTATCAATGGAGGAATTTAATCTCGTAGAGAACAGTGTAGGGCTTAAACATAGGAATTGGACCAGCTTTTATAGGTATGACCAGCGTTCAGGCAAAGGACTTCAGTGACGGCGTCTTTGGACACATACGGCTCAACACCTTTCAAACCTTGTCGGTATGACATACTGAGAGGTCTAGAACTATCAATCACACGTCACGACCTATCTTCAGAGTGGCCTAGAAGTTCTATAGGATCGGTCGAGCCCATCATGGTTTGTCCTTAGATATTCAGTATTTGACAGACATGTTCCAGTTTCGTCTTAACCGGACTATACTTCTGGAATGTGGAAACGATCAGGCGACTATTTTAACAGAGTTCAAACTATGGTACAATCAAGCAACAAGTTAACTTCTATCCAAGTAATCAATCTGAGTAGCCCCTTGACGGACAGGGCCGAGGGCGTTCCAAAGCACTCTACCACCATCGACTAGCCTGGCGCAGCATTGTTAGTGACATAGTGAAAGCGAGATAACATAATTAGCAGGCGGACAGGTCATGCAACTTGAACCAATCAGATTATGCCTGAATCGCATATATATGGCCTAGATTCCGAAAGTTCAACTCTGCACCTGGGGATTGAAGCCAGAAAGTGCTGATCTGCATAATTCAATAATCAAACCAAAACTCAGTGCCAGAAGTCAGGTGTAATCTATGATCAATGACGCTAGAACAATGGTTATCTAACGCCGCTTTTGATTGATGGATATAGTTCCCTTTGCGGATATGCTACATCTCGTGCTTCACCTTAATTCATGCGAACATATTCAGATCTTCTAACTCTGTACCGATAGTTTGCTACTAGTTAGGAGCTTACCAAGTAGTTCACCATACAGGCATTCTCAAAATCGCCTTGACCAGTACACACTGAGAAACTCTTTCTCAGCCTCACTGCCAAGGCCTTGGCGTAGATCATCCATTGAGCGGGCAAACAATGGATGATCTACGCCAAGGCCTTGGCAGTGGAGTAAGAAAAGTGCTTCTCAATGTGTACTGGTCAAGGCGATTTCGAGAATGACTTGATGTCTACCACGGTTGTCGCCGCTCCATGGTCGTGGGAGAAGAGGAAACGGAGTGGAAGGGGTGACTATTCCCAGACCTACTTCAATTAGTAGTCGGCATCGCAGACTCTTAACAGTGGCAATAACGCGGCGAGACAGAGCAGATTTTCGCGCCAATCCTCACTCTCATGCCCACGAACGAAGTGAAGTGAGAGGAAGGGGAAACATCCTGCACGTTACGATTCGTGACACTGTGCCAAAAGCCTGTACAAAATTTTGGCGAAATTTGACCAAAATCGCGATGATTGGCTCGCTGTACTTTAGTGTTATTGGATGAATGCTGTCAGTGCTATTCGGTGAAGACTGATACCGGAAACGACTCTAACTTTGCGCTCTTTGTCCAATCCGCGTCCCTATTGGTGTTTGTGGCTCACATAGACCGCATTTGGAGCATGCAAGTAACGTTTCTGGGAATGGCGTTCGAGCTAATTACTATGATTTAATGAAGCTTATCGGACTCGGCTAGACCTCAACTCGGCCCACGGATTGGGCTGGCTGCCCATCAGAGGCGGCCCACGATCGGCCCAAATACAGTGTAATTTACAGATAATAAAGAAGTTTAAGTATATATCTCTACTAAATACAATATAATTACCTTTAATTACAGCGTATCTGGGCCGCCCAAACGTGGGCCGTGTCGAGGTCTAGATTCGGCTGCGCTTTTCCGGGACTTTGAACGTGGTAGGACCCCATGCAGCCACAGTTCCTTGATATTACGGCCCTGTGAGTGAACTTTGGTCCCAAATATGCTGGCAATTTCATCGAGATAATTCACTCTCACTATTATTCGGTACCAATCTTGTGTTGGCCCATGATCAACGGGTAAAAGAATATTAAGAGTCCTTAGTGTTTCATCAAGAAGCCCTTCCGGAAAAATTGTTGGCGAACGCTGAAAATGATAATCGATAAGCTTTCGATGTGAAAAATCCGTACTCAGAAAAGATCACCATTACCCGCCGGGTCCTGAACGCGAAGATGGTCGCAAAGATTATTTGCCCATATGACTGACTGCAATTTTCGAGACTTTCTAGATATCGTACAGCCGAAAATATTTGTCGAGTACAAAACCCTGATAGGTATTGCCATGCCGAGGAAACCATAGCTTCAACTGTTGCCGAAGACCGAACTTCGGTTCATGCCAAAATCCTGCATATGGGTTCCTTTGTTGCCAGATCCGACGAATTTCATCATCGACTTGGATTCCGATCTCGCGATTGTCCATAGTTGGACTGAAATTTCCAAAGCGTGAGGGCTGCTTGATTGAGATTTCCCTCGTGCTGATTTTTCAGGCTCAACAACCGGGTGGCGTCACTTATCAAAGAATCGAGCGTTTCGCCCGTTTCGAGTCCAGATACAATGATATCAACATCATCGGCTGTTGTCTTTCTCAGTGAATTGTTTGCCGCCCTGTCACTGGACATGCGCATTCGTTCTTGTTTACCGATTTTCTCAGGTATCGCGCCATGTACGGTCGGGAGAATTCCTGACTTGTAGACGTTCTCTGTGTAAACACTTTTGACATAAGTTCCTCATACGCCGCGTTAGTCTCCAAGGACCAAATTTCGCTATCAGTAGAAACAACCGGCCCCGAACTAGGATCCATGTCAAAAGTTGTCCACCCAAGACCTTTCGAATGGAGATGAGGGGAAGAACCTGTAACCGTGCCAAGCGCCCAATACACCTACCGGCGGTGTGTTGGGCGCTTGGCACGGTTAGGGGCTTGCATCGCTACTCAGCCTCACTGCACTGCCTCCAGTTCCCCTGCGGCCTTCCCCCTCAAACCCCGAAAATTTTACTAATAGCCAAAGCACTCTTCTTTTTTGTTACCTGATCCCAGAACTCCAAAGGATCTCCGCAAACCCTCTTCTTTTTAAGCCGTGTCAGGCTAACAATATGGGTAAGGAGGTTATACCCTATTCTAGCTTGGAATTGAATTCTATTTTGCGCGAAATCAAAGTGGGCAAGTTACTTTCGAGAATAAAACATCGACATATTATTGACTATAAGAATGTGTCAGCAACCTCTGAGCGATGGGCAGAACGAGAGTCCGCAAATAATACACGGTCGAGCTAGGAGAGCGAAGGAACGGTGAGAGCGGTCGCCAGATCGGGACAGCCGGATAACGGCAGGCAGAAGGGTAGGTCGAACAACAATATAAGAAGAGCATAATGTATTGCAAGAAGTCCACTGACAGTACAACTTCTGTAGCTTCGCGCACACAAAGTCAAAGCGATCCAAGACCTAGAATCCGTACACAGGACCCAGTCACCCATTTAAATCCATCCATGGATGTCCTGTGACGCAGCGCTACAAGCCAATTGTATCAGGTCGCAACCGGCCCTTGATTTTACCCGGGGCGCTCTGCGAGTATCGAGTCATTGAAATGGTATGCTATGAGACTATTTTCCCCTATGATAGGCTTATGGCAGACATTCTCTGTTCCAAAGTGGAGGTGTACGTTGTAGACCTTATTAACCCGTACGGAGGAACGGATCCTACTTCGGCTTACGGTCTATTCTTGTGTGGAGAGAAGGCAACCAAACAAAATCCTTATTTCCATTGCTTATTGTCACTTGTCCCTCGGAACAAGTAAGTCAACTCGAAAGCAAACAACTTGACAAATAGGCAATCGAACAGTGGGCGTGGTTGCAATTGCTCATCACTACAGCTTCCCCGAGAAGTCTAAACCCACCTGAACAGAGAGGAGGCGATGAAGAAAATATCTAACAACAGCAAATGGGCTCCGTTTCTGGCTTTGTGTCGATTTCTAATAGAGCGGAAATTCGCGATCTATCTGACAAAGATCCTGTTTGGAACGTTTATGTGTGCGGAATACTCCCTCGTGGCAGCCAAATCACGCTACTAACATATGGCTATGTCGGACCCTCCCTACAGATGTGTAGACTGGTTACAGCTAGTGGTCTTCTTCGAATACCGCAGGAGTCTGCTGCCTTTGGGATTACGGTCGGTCATGCCATGCTCTCTTCCAAAGTGGATATTGATGATATGTCCACCGCACTTTCAGGTCCTCGAGCAGCGCACAATCAAACATTCGACGCGACTCTCTAAGAGAAGACAAGATTTTGGGACATACTAGGATCGGTCAAGTTAGGCAATTCAGAGATCGACTTCTCAGCCGGTTAGACTGGGCGATTATAAAGTTCGACGAAGAATTTAGAGTTGACTAGCTACACGCTTCTCTCCCCGAATGAGGAAGATTTTTGCCATCAACGTGTGACGATACTTCGTCCATCAGGCGAAATCACTGGCTGGCTGGGTCTATACCCATACTATATCCGTACCTCTGGCGATATATGTTTCATTAAAACATATCCTATTTGATTGGGCAAAGAATATCAACTTGGTGTGTTACTACATTTGGTCAATTCACTTAGTTAGGCTAGTTAACTAACTAGTGTTGGATTTCAGGCTCGGTGCATAAAATTCTTGTGTGCACACAAGAAGAAGATACCTAGAAAAGTGGCCGCCCGAAGATAAAGTATTATTAACTTATTAAAGATGCAAATTGCACGCTAGTAGTCCCCTTACTTCTCGCGAGAACGGTAGGTAAACCGCCGCTTGAAGCCGCCTGAAGCCCCCTGAAGCTGCCTGAAGGACGCCTGGATAAAGCGGCGACTCGCCCAGCACGGAACGATGGGCGCTAGGTGAGGTCGTCCATACTTTTGGCTGTTGTATGTCCATGTCCATGTCCATGTCCATTTTTTTTTTTTTTTTTTCAATTCGCCTGGGAAAGCCCACTTGCCGCCCTACTCTTCAGCCCCTTCGCCTGACTGCCCCGAACACCACTGTTTTGCACATAAATATCCTGCACAACCCCAAAGCACTGACGTGGCCTTCTTGATAGGAAAAGAGCCTGATCGTTAGATAGCATAGGTTTAAAGAAACGAGGCATTTGTAACCACATTGAGCATATTATAGTGCTATTGAATTGATTCCACCTTATCTTAGAGACCTTTAGGTAAGACACTAGGAACATGGATTTGCCACAATCACCAAATAGAAACGAAGCATAGGAAATAACAATCTGAGGTTTACTCTCGAAACTCAGCATACCCGGCTGCCTTTTCTTTCTTAAAAAGTGTCTCAGTGGTCACTAGTACCTGTTTACTAACAGCCTTGGCAAACGCAACGGTAGTTGATGCAAGTTCCGCGGCCGCCGGAACACTATATTGAGAACCTTGTTAGTGGAACGGAAATGCAATTCAATGTATGTCCCAACTCACAGGGCAGCAGTTTTGTGGCTTATTCGAAGGACAAGAGACATCTCTCGTAACAAGGGAAAGTTTGCTGTTGGGAACAGCTTGCTCAGAGACATCCTTAGTATTAGGCACGGCAACCGCCATGGAAAAGCCAAGGAAGGCAGTAAGGATGGCAATGGAGAGCTTCATTGTGTAATTGGGAAGGTAAAAACTTGGAAATATGAAAATATGGCTATGTAGAGCAAAAAGAAACTTTCTCTGCGATAGTGAGACTACAATTAATAAGTGGGATATCCTGGTGGCTTTATAGGTTCTATGCCTTTTCGCTCTCAAAGGGATCAAGGGCGTATGGGGGATATTCAACCTTCTGATCTCACAGTCAGCGCTTTCCCAGACCCCGAGAAGGCCCAAGTGAGGTGGTATTGAAATCATAGACTTGCAGATAGACCCCTCCAGGTGAACTTTCAACCGGAATGCTGGATGGAAGCCGAAAGTGGGTCGCCTGGCTGGGTTCTTTGCAAAAGCAAACAAAATGAACAATAGACCTATGTGAAAATTAAAAAAATAAAGCCTGGCTGCTGTCCCTAAGCTTCTAAAATTCCGACTGATGTTGCCAGGCTTCTCACACCCATATGTGAACCCTTCTTTCCTAAGGTCTTGACAAAGCCCCATTTTTCATTTTACCATTGCAATGCCAAATAACAGTGCTCTACGCAAGCTCCTACCCATGAGTAAGGGATCCAAACGATACAACCAATCATAGTGTTCTCGCCCAATACGTACTCATAGAGAAAGTTCGATTGGTCAATACATAATCAGGCTGAGACTTTCGGGGCCGTTTCGTCTGTCAACGTTGTATTGTCCTCTTTTCTATGACATTGTGTTACTCCTAGCTATTCTTACAAAACTATAATATCCTTAATATGGTTACAAATGCCTTATTTCTTCAAAACTATACTGTCTAACGATCAGGCTCTTTTCCTATCAAGTATAATGTTGACCACCCTCTAGAAGACGCGTATAATAGTAATAAGTGAATTGGCTAGATAGGAAGTAGAACGGAGGCAACTGAAACGTAGAGAATATACCTACTACCCTCGCTTTCCTAAACCTCCGCTTATCTAGTTGATATGTAGGCGGTGGAGGTCACCCCATCCGTGCACGGATAGGTCCGTCCCGAAAACTATCAATTATTAGGGGCTCCACCCACATGGCTCGTATAGGCTTATGTGCATGATCTCCATCATGCAGGGATAATCCTCACGAATGCTCACTCGTATTCCAAGACGCCAAGGTTGATCTACAGAGATTCTGCTGTTTGAGCAGACCTGCAATTTCGGAGCTATTTCCTTTTTAGCTCGAAGGAATACAGTGCCAACTGATCCAATTCCTGCAATGTAACCTCAAATTGCGAACTAGTAAGGCAATGTTTTGAGATATTAGGTACAGCAGTGCATAGTGCCCTGTGCGCCATATTTTTTTTTTCCATAGTGTCACTTTCTACAATATTAATTTCTATCAATTTCTATAGCCAATAAAATACACATATCCTAATTTTATGAAATATTCTGCTGGCAAAATACGATATGACACACTGGCGGCTATGCACTGCCGTAATATTAGGCGTCCAACCCTTGGGATCCGCAAGCTATGGCTCGCATTAAGGAAATAATCAAGATATCATCGACCCTATATAAGGCTCGACGCCCATTGGAGTGATGAAACCAATTCCTCAACAGTACATTCGAATTTCCCTTCTACATTATCTCTTCAAACCTCACAAAGAAAATTTGAACAATCTTTACAAAATAACTCCTCAACAATGAAATTTTTTATTGTCCTGTTTGCACTTGCTGCCTACGCAATGGCCGAAGCCGATCCAAATCTGGAAGCGAGAGCTGGGTGCTCCATGAGGGGACAATTCTGCGTTAACGGCGGCACATTCCGGTGCTGTGAGGGACAAGGGAACTGTATTGCACAACGGGTAAGTCTGCTGCTACGATTTTTCTGGAAACAGATATCGCCAAACATGATAGCGGATAGCTAAAGGAAGTATAGTGCAAATGAGCCACCATCTACTGAGGGAGTGTCGAGGTCGCCTTAGGATTACGGGATCTCATGTATCGGAGTGTCAGGACTGTGGACCGTCCATTGGTTACTCTGGGGTATACCGGGCAGAGTGTTGTGACTTCTAAACCGCCGTTGGTAAAGATGTTCATCTGCAACAAAGGCCAACAATTCAACGAGATTATTATTGTTGAGACAGAGTAGTTATCTACCTTGATGTCTAAGTGCCTGGTTTGTCAGGCTTCTACTTAGTATTTAACTATAGTTAGCTAGTTTCTGTTTGTTTGTAGAGAATCAATCCTTCTTCTCTCTTCTCTTGCTCTCAACAATTATGCTTTGCTAGCTAGCCATCTGTCTCCCATGAGACCCAAAGGCCGACGTGTCTAGTCAATTGCCCCACCTTGTGTCTAGGAAGCTTTTGCTTACCCAGGTAGGTGTTACATTGACATAATGTCAGGACAAGCTCCTTGATTGTTTGGCTTAAGACCTCAATATGTGGGCTTAGTTACAATGGTGTATTATAGAATGGAAAACACTGACTAGCCTGTCCAGGCCGCAACAAAGTGTCCATGGAGCATGCACAATTGAAAGCAATTTTGTTAGAATCAATATAACTTGCATTTCCTCCCAGTTTCAACGTGATGTGTGCTTTGGTATTCACATCAGGAATTAGGGACATTTGAGAACGCTCTCTATAGTGTTATTGGCTGCAATTATACTGGTGAGGTGGTCAGAGTTAAGGATGGTATGGCTGGCCGATGACTGTTAGGGGCTAAATATTCGGGTGAAGAATATTCAGGTGGGTTCGAATCTTTGTTCCGCAGATCAAAGTCAAATAGGCAGCAAGGCAGTAAGGCCAACACGTGGCGCTAACTAGTTAACTAGTTAAGTATAACAATCTAAATCTTAACCGCAATTTTCCCGGTTTCTACATCTTAATTAATTCTTCACATTACTTATGAAAATCATGCAATGTCGTCATTAATCTCCGCCCGGGTCAGAAGCCTCCTGAAAAGCCCAACATATCAATCTAGCGCCCCGAGGAGCCTCTCAAGCATCGCCTCTTTACCTTTATCTACCACCGGATATCCCATTCTCGCATCACGGCACAACACAGCAGCACGACCCGGCATTAAAAGAAGGCTCCAGCAAAATCTTCCGCTTCAAGTTCAATTACCCCTTCGGTCATTTTCGTCCACATCACCAACTATGGTCATCAAAGATTCCAAAAGAACCCTAGGGTACCCAGTCACCTTCAACGAAGCCGACGTCATTGAGATAAATATGCGAGACGACAGGTTCCGGTACTGGGGTATCGTGATCTACCGAACCACTTACAAAAGCGAGTCGGACTGGGAAGAGTTCCTCCGCCGGTTCCTGGGCCAGGTCCGCCAGACACTAGAATACTACGAAGGTCTCGACATGTGGGATTCGTTCCGGCCTACGGTGATGGATGACAAGAGTCGGTTTGACGGAGCGACACCCGCTCAGATATGAGACGCTTTTAAGGAGTGGGCGATGACGGCCTGTGAGACGGAGCAAGGGGTGACGTATGAGCGCGCAGAATGGGCGTATGGAGCCCGATATCGGCTTTGTATCTTGGTTGACGAGGAAGCGGTACAGTCTGTGTTAGAGATTCCGGAGAAGGAATTGGATGAGTTAAATACGACTGGGTTTGTGGTGATGATCAATAGGCGGTGGGTGCCGGAGATTGTTGAATGGGAAGAAGATGATGATGGGTACGAGCCATTGTACGGCTGTACGCGGCAAGATGTGGGCTGGATGAAGGTTCGCTATGATCGAGCGCAAATTGTAGCCTCCACTACGATGCGCAATGGGTCGGATTGGGGCCTTGAGTATCGACGGCCACCGGCTATTTGTTTTCATTCTTGAAGGGGGGGGGGGGAAAAGTAGTCATCCCAACCTGTAGACGACGAGGTTGTCCTTAGGAGAATACAATGTATATAGCCAATAATGTGGACTCTTCTCTTTACAGCTACTGGCATGTTCTTTTCCCGCTCCCACGGCTTTTGTGTTTATGAAACACAAACGCAAATGGCATAGCCAACATCCAAATACTGACAGTCTGGCCCGATCGCCGGATTCCACCCGTACAGCTGCGCAAAAGTGACTCCGTACTCACTCTCAACCGTCGCGCACGAGTCCCCAGAAGCAACCGTGTGATATTCGTTGCAGTTGGACGCGATGCCAGTCTGTGTGGGCGCACTAGCTGTACTACTTGTTGTGGCTGCGGGACCCTTCACACAGTAGGCTAAAATCCGGTACATATAGCTGCATACATACCATGTAGTATCAATTGAATCCTTTTATGCACTGCACAAATAGTTCCCAAGAGCAGATAAATAAGTTGCCTCGTTTGGGTTTATCATGAGATGGTTACATAGTGTAAATCAGACCCAGCGTGATAAGTCAATATGTATTTCTACAATGGCCTCGGCTTCTTCAGCTAAATTATCTTCGTCGTTAAACAATACAAGTCTCAATTGGCTGATACGCTTGTTCGAGAGAATCTATGAAAGTCTTACTGCAGTTTGCCATAAGTTAGTTAGGTCTCATTTCACTTGCACGGCTTCTATAAAAGAATACTAACCAGTATCCACATGCGCTACACAATCGCTAAACACCGATCCTTTATGAACTAAGCTTCTGTCTGGTTATCTTCACCACGATGATATATCGGCGTCGTCAATATCTGCTATATTGCTCTTAAATATCAAACTAAAAATCGAAATTGCTGAACATCAAATGAAGTTTCAAATCTAGATACTGTATGCAAAATGGGGCGGAAATTAAGGAAGGCCACATGTACAAAGAGTAAAGGGTCGGAAGAAACCAAATAAATAATCAAAAGATCAGATGACAACAGAGGGGCTGTGAGCATCTTGTAACAATTCTAAGATTGTCTTACAAACCTTAGCATTGAGCTCATCCAGATGAGCCTTAGTCGAGATTTCACTGGAAGCGTTGATCCTGATCTTCAGCATTTCTCCCTCGGTCGAGGTCAACCTGATATTTGGAGGTGGTGCGTTCTTGGTCCAGGCATCTAGCCTGCAAGTTAAGCCTTCAGATACAAACTCATCATCGGCAGAGTCTTTAGGTATGTGATTAATGAACGATCCAAACATAGTGTCCGGGGACCAGCTATCGGTACAGCCCTTGGCTATGGCCTTGAGACCTGGAGTATCGAACTGTAGCGAGTTTGCGTGTTGCTGCTGAATTCGCTGCAGGAATTGGAGGATCGACTCCGCCGCTACCTTCTGGACACGGACGGGAATGCGGTTGATACAGGGCCCAATCACTTGGTCTAACTCCTCAACGCCCGTGTTTCGGCTCACGACGAGCTGGCCGAAAACGACATCATTGGTCTGATGGAACTGGAACTGCACCATGGCCCAGGCTGCTTTGACAACTGTTGCCATTGTAATTCCAGGGGGCAAGGCCATGAGAGGTACCTGCTGTACAGATTCGATGATAGATGTCTCGCCGGTGAGAGAGAGTTTCTTAGGGAGCATGGGTGGTGTCATTTCGGCGCCCATGAGAAGACTTTTCCAGAAATCAAACGCCTCGGACTCATGGTCACGGCAGTGGCGCACATACTTTGTGAAGTCTGCCGATGCCGAGACCTCCTTGCCATGGTATAACTCGAGAAGATCCTCCAGCAATCTTTGTATGCATAAGCCATCGTACTGTGCGTGGGAGAGTCTCACCACTAATACAGAATTTGATGGACTCTGCTGCACTAGCGCCAACAAAAGAGGGGGAATGCCAAGAACTGTCTGGGTTTTTGAAGAGTCTTCCTGAGACCAGGCCATCGCAATTTCCATGGGATCGTTTTCGGTGACATTTTGGATCGGAATCGGAGTATGTTCTCGCAGAACGACCTGAACCAACTGCTTCTGATGACTGAGGAAGGCGGTTCGGAGGATACTGTGTTTTTGGGTCCACGCGGCACAAGCACGATTCAACTGTGTAGTATCCAGCACACCCTTGATCTCCAAGAGCCAATATACATGAGGTCGTCCTGCTAGGTCTGCCTGGACCTCAATCGTTGGAGCAATATCCACGATATCATCTCGGTTGAAGGGCGCATTTTCGAGATCTAATTCCTGCAAAATAGCTTGGGTCTCTAAGTGATGTCTTGAGTCATCCAAGCGAGGAACGCTCGAATTTGTTACCCCTTCGTATGGTTCGCTAGAGAGGGCCAAGGAGCTTAGCACAGGGTTTTTGAAAACCTTGGCGACTGTCAGAGAGAGACCATCTGTTCGAGCACACGATACCAATCTCATTGCACCGATGGAGTCCCCACCAAGTTGGAAGAAGCTGTCATCCATGCCAATTTGATCTAAATTGAGGTTCAAAACTCGAGCGCAGAGTTTGTGAATCTGAATCTCGACCGGAGTCGATGGAAGCCGCTTAGCAACTTGTGTGACCTGATCAAAGCTTGGCTTTTGCCAGGCCATCTCATCAGATGGCTGGGAACTTATGAGTAACGGCTCCTTAATCCCAGTCTCCGAGTCTTCTGCTTGAATTTGACCGAGGGCAATGGAATCATCTGACCAGATCTGACGAACTGCTTGCTCGACTAGAGAGAGGAATCCTGTCAATTGATCCTCTGAGAGAATTTCGGGGTCATAGTTTGCTACCACGGTAAAGCCACTATTCTGGGACTCCAACATGCAACTCATAGCAAGGGCAAACCCACCAAACTCTGTACGACCGGCAGCATCGTCCAGCTGGACGAACGGGTCTGGAGCTTCGGATTCATCGAGTGGCCAAATATTCAAATAGGTCTGGAACTGACAGGCGCGAGCGGCTTCCGGGCTGACTTTCCGGATATTCTGAAGACCGAAATGTTCAAAATCAAGCACGCGGATGGAGGTCGATTGAATCTGTGCCAATGCCGCTTCAACTCTCTGCGACGGGTGCAGTTGGAGGCGCATGGGATAGGACGATAAAGTTGGACCGGTGACGGAGAGAATCCCACCGAGAGAAGCGCTACGCCCTGATGTTGTGACACCAACGACAACATCAGAAGACCCGGTGAGTCGTGAAATTACGCTGGCGATAGCTAGACGAATAACTGTTGTCAAAGTATGCCTGGTGCGTTTGTCCGGCAGATCCATGACAGGGTATGTCAACGGAACCCCCGCCGTAGGGGAGTATTGGGCCGAGGAAACTGGTGGGAAAGCTGCAGCGCGCGGATCGAGGTTTTCGAGCTCGGTCTGCCAAAAAGCCTTTGCTTCATCGCCTTCTTTTCTCATGACGTACCCCACAAATGAGCAGAAAGGACGAGCTCCCAAGCTCTGCCCTCTGTATGCCGCCGCAGTCTGCTCCAGAAGTTGACGAACCGTCCATCCGTCACACAGGGAGTGATGCAATGACAAGACCCAAACTCGAAGTCGATCGGATGTAGCCGGGGCAATTGCCATTCGGACGAGCTGTTCGCCGACGTCCACATGTCGCTTCATGTCAGTGGCAATGTAATCATCCAGGTTATCGGGCTTGTCCCACACCACATGGTCATCCTTAATGACTGCCTGATACAAACGAGAACGGGCTTGGATGATGCGGGTACGGAGTATGGTGTTTGCTTCCGTGGTCTGTCTCCAGGCCTGCTGAAGTTGCTCTTCTGTCATCTCGGGCGGAATTGTGTAGAGATAGCGACATTGGTAGGTACCAGGGTTGGCAATGGAAAGAAACATCATACCTTCCTGCAAAGCTGTACAGGGGTAGACGTCTTCAAGGGAGTCAGCTGGGGCATTGCACTGATTTATCGCCTCGCGTTTGATGTAATCACAGTCATTTTGCTCGATGTCTGGAGTTTGGATGAGAGAGAAGGACTTGTATTGTTTGTGGGCAGAATCCGGGTCGGAGTCTTCCATCACCAACGCCATATCGCAAAGTTTCGGGTGTGCAAATATATCAGCAACGGTCAGCTTCTTGCCCGTCTCCAGGGCTAAGCCAGCAAGCCGCATAGCGGTGATTGAGTCTCCTCCCAAGCTGAACATGGTATCATCCATACCGACCACCTCGGGTTTTAGGCCAAGAAGACGGGTCACTAAGCCATGAACGACTTCCTCCTGCGGGGTCGAAGGATATCTTTTATCCTGTTTTGCGGCTGCATATCTCTGTAGATCTTCAAGAGGAAGGGATGATGTATGCTCTCTCAATCGCTTTCGGTCTCTATTTTCCCCGATGCAGTGGTGGGCATTGTTTCGAGCTGGAAAAACAGATTGGGGACCATGTAACCAGGAAGTTGGGTTCGCAACTGTGCCTCTGCCTGAATAATGCTGGACCGGAACTCATCTTCGGGGTCACAAAGAAGCTTCTTTGGATCTGTTTTCTCCGCTTGGCCTCGCAAAATAAAGGCGACCAGCAAGGCACTGTTGTTTCTGGGCTTGATCACATCCACCACCAAACTGGAAACTTCTAAGCACTGATTCAAACAGTGCTCAATCTCTCCAAGCTCAATTCTCTGGCCCCGAAGCTTCACTTGCATATCCTTCCGACCCATGAATCGTATAGACCCATCGGACGCGTATTGTACCAAATCGCCTGTCTTGTAGACTCGATTGTGGGGTGATGAGGCCGGCATCTCATGTAGAAAATCGGGAGTGTCAACAAAGGCAGCTGCCGTCTTCGTAGGATCATTCAAATATCCACGCCCCACGATCGGTCCTCCGACTAAAAGCTCGCCGATGGCACCGATGGGTACTAGCCGATTGTGGTTTTTGCTATCGGCTATCCAGCATACGGCTCCTGTACCAAATCCAATGTTCAAAGGATCTGTATCCAAGGTCACCTGAGACTGAATGGTGGTAAGTACACAGCACTCGGCTGGTCCATAGATATTGATGAGCCGGACGTGGTTGCCCCAGATGTCGATTACTGCTCGGGACAGCGCCTCTCCACCAACAGCAATAGATCTCAGACTTGGCATGTCTTCAGGTCGCAGTCAACGAAGGAAGGATGGCGTAAAGTCTGCGTAGTTGATGTTGAATCTGCTAACGACACTGATGATGTCGTTCATTCGGTCATCAGGGGAAGGAATACAGATAGTGCCACCGGCGAGCAAGGTTGCCAGGTGATCCGTCACGCTCACATCAAATGAATATGAGGCGAACTGCAAAGCCCTTGTTTCCCTATCCATTTTGGCAACCTTGATGTAGGCCAAGGCACTTGAACAGAACGCTCCGTGTTCGATTACGACTCCCTTTGGCTGGCCCGTGGACCCAGAAGTATAAACGACATAGAGGATATTCGTTGGCCTGACCTTGGACCGGCGATACTTGAGAGCGTACGCCGCAAGTCCATTGCCGTGGGTATCATCAGTGTCGATCACGACAACGCTCCCTGTGAGGTCCTTTGCATTGGACACCAATTCTGGAGGGCAAACCACGAACGGTGCTCCGGTATCCTCGCAGATAATCTGTAATCGTTTCAACGGAGTGGCAGGATCCAACAAGGCAAATGCACCACCTGCTTTGATGACACCCAGAATGGCAACGGCGGTCCATTTAGATTTCTCAAAATAGAGAGGAACAATCGTGTCCGGACTAATGAGCCCTTCCTCCAACAGTTGCACGGCAAATCCACTCGAAAGAGTTTCGAGTCTCTCGTAGGAGAGCTCTCCATTCCAGGCACAGATAGCCGCGATGTGCGGTTGAGATCGGGACATTTCTGAGATCAAATCATGAACGCAAGATTGGACATTTTCGGGAGTCCTGAGACTATTCCACATTTGCAAATCCATTCGATCCTCTGGACACAAGCCCTCAATATCTGCAACGCATGAACTTTCCCCACGGCTGATCCACTTCATAATATGTGAGTGCTGTTGAAGTATTCTTTTCATCTGGACTTCAGGGATGATGTGATGGTCGTAGACTGCCTGCACGCTGACTGTGCTTCCTGCTGGTTCGACAACGAGTGTAATGGGGTATGTCCCGAACGTAGCGTGGTTTTCAAGATCATGGGTTTGGGTGACCTCGCTAAACAGCGAATAATCATCACGTCTCTTCGGTTGCAAGACAATAAGACTCTGGAATTTGCACAGAGCCGCAGCTTCTGGAGACAATTTGCGCATCTGGTTGAGACCGAATTGCTCATGCTGGACCATCTCTCCCCGACGATGGTGCAGTTGTATCCAAGTCTCGCCAATTGGTTGGTCGTCTTGAACCAAGACTTGGAGGGGGAACGTGGCAATTGTTGGACCACTCATCAAATCAACTCCTGGCATTGCAGCGCGTCGTCCAGTGTCAGTGACACCAAATACGACTTCTTCGGATGCCGTATGACGCGAGATGAGGATTGCCCAGGCCATCATGACTGTTGTCGATAAACTGTCGAAATCCATACATTTATCCAGGTTCGTTTCAAGGATGAATGACTTGGTTGCTGCTGGCGTGTAGGAGTCAGCTGGCACAGCTGGGAACGAGGTTGGACTCATGCGTGTGAGCTCATTATGCCAGAATTTCTCGGACTGTTCGTTGGACGCATTCATACAATATTCAGTAAACCGGGAAAAGTGCTGATGGGGCACTCGTTGTTCAGCGTAAGCCGCCTCGATGTGTTTCAGGATCAAGGCTAATGACCAGTCGTCATACAAGGCATGGTGAAGTGTAATGACAAAATGAGCAGGACTTGCTGGGTCCAAATCCTGAATGAAACCTGCTCGCGCTAACGGTGCCCCCAATGGCATCTCCTTCTGGCAGTCCTCTGCGAGATATTGCTGGAGATTATTGCTCTTTTGGCACTCAATGCCCTCACGAACAACTACCTGCACCACACCCCGTGAGCCGAGTTGCACGACTCTCGTGCGCATGATTGTGTGAGCTCTGACGGTGGCATCCCATGCAGCGCGGAACTGCTCAAAAGTAATACCGTCCCTCAGACGATATACATACCGCGCCACATACATGCGCGGAGTTTTGACGGATAGTGCTACCAGGGCCTCCTGCACTACTGTACAAGGGTAAGCGTCCTGGACATCATCTGCGATGGTGCCGCATAATTTGGCGATTGAGGGCAGGATATCCTTTGCCCCATCGGTTCCAGATATCAAAGAGAAGGGAGGAATGGTAGGTTCCTGGTGGGCCAAAATACCATTTTGGGTACTCTGGTTGAGATGGTCTGGAGTGGGATGAAGAACCTTCCCACTTCCAACTCTTGTTGACATCATACTTTGTGTCATGGTCTTGGGGATATCGGGCAAGTTGACTTCCAGAGGGAAAAATATAAGTTTGTGTTGTTTTGTATGGAAGAAGAGGGAGGGCTGAGGGAGAAATTTCATGTGTGGCGGTCAACGCTGCTAGCGTATACAATGTTGTATGAAGACTCCATATCATCATGAAGGATATTCTTCGCGATACTTCCGGCTCCACTTAAGTAGGTTCACTAGTGTATGGGTGGATCCGCACGTGCATGTCCACGGGTTAAAGGTGGAGCCTAGTCCGCACCGGCCCCTCCCGAACCAAAGGTCCTTGACCTTCCTACGTTATGCATAGCGCGGCTTATCCCCGGCTCGTTGGTCTTCCAAAAGAAACCACGGTCAGATAAAACAGTTGGACGACCCTTGGTTGAGAACCCCGCTATTAGTCCACTGCCATCCGAGAGCATCCCCGAATATATTTTCTTTTTAAAAAAGCTCCGTCTCATGCACGTCGCAAATCACTCACATTAACGTACCTAGACATGACTTCTTTTAACACCGAGTCCTCGGAAGGACTTGAGAACGCATCTTATGACTTTGTGATTGTCGGCGGAGGTACTGCTGGCCTCGTGGTCGCCAACCGACTCACCGAAAATCCCAATATCCGCGTACTCGTCCTGGAAGCGGGAACAAACCGTCTCAACGACCCTCGAATTACTGTCCCCGGCTTAGGGCCGGCGACGTTTGAAGACGAGGACTTTGATTGGAATTTCCGATCATGTCCCCAGGTACGCTATTGTCCACCCAAACCCCATAAGTATCGCCACTAGCCTTACTCATGTAAAATAGGAACAACTCAATGGCCGCAAACTCTTAGCCAACAAAGGTCGCACTTTGGGAGGCTCCTCGGCGATCAATATGGGAATGATCATCTATCCCTCTCGTTCCGGATTGAATGCCTGGGAAAGATTAGGCAATCCCGGCTGGGGATGGGATGGCCTGGCCCCATATATTCGCAAGTTTCACACAGCTACACCCCCATCGAGTGGCAACCGTGAGTTCTTCAAGGGGATGAAATATGACCAGCAGGATCAGGGTAGTACAGGTCCTGTTCAAGTGTCATTTGGAGATCAGTACATGCCGTACCATGCGGCGTGGATGAACACCTTCAAGACCCTTGGATACCCGCAGGCCGATGATCCAATCAATGGCGCCGGTACAGGTCCCTTCGTGAGCCCCGGTGCTGTGGATCCAGTTACCCACACCAGGAGTCATTCTGCAGCTGCGTATCTGGGGCCGGATGTCCAAGTCCGATCGAACCTCCGGGTCGTGACGGGAGCCTGTGTTGAAAAGATTATTATGGAGAAGGGGGACAACGATAATAATGCTGTTGCTACTGGTGTTCGTTTTAGCAAAGACTCGGATGTGTACACCGTTTCAGTCGCGAGAGAGGTTATTCTTGCCGCCGGAACAACCCAATCCTCTCAGATCCTAGAGCTATCAGGTGTTGGAGATGAAACCCTCCTCCAGTCCTACGGGATCCCGACTATCATCAACAACCCCGGTGTTGGCGAGAACCTGCAAGATCACGGTATTGTCTCGTTTGGATATGAAGTTGCAGACGGTATGCCGTCGGGCGACATGGCGAGGGACCCCGTCATTGCCGGTGCCGCCATGGCCGCTTATCAGAAGGATGGCTCGGGACCTCTGGGCATGGTGCCCCTGATCTCTGCATTCATGCCGCTTGTAGACACCCCCGAAGACGAGAGGATTCAATTGCTCCAGAAGCTGCAAGCATCGATGGATAGCCCGGACATCTCGCGGACACATAAGAAGCAATATGAAGCATTGCAAACTGTGCTTCAGAATCCCGATGAGCCTACCGCTCAATTTATTTTAGCGCCATTCCAGATTCTGCCCCGTGAAGGAGAATCCACTAAACGTCTTCTCAGTCTCGGGCACCCGGGTTTCTTTATCAGTATTATTTCTCTTCTTAGCTACCCTCTATCACGAGGATCCGTCCATATCCAATCTCCCGATCCAAAGGCTGCTCCTCTCATTGATCACGGAACCCTCCGTCACCCCGTTGATCTGGAAATGCATGCTCGGCATAGTATGTGGATGGACAAGATCTCTGAGACGGAGCCGATGGCGTCGCTGCTGAAGAAGGGTGGCGAGCGTCTCCACACACCGGAGCCTCTCACGGACCTCGAGAAAGCAAAGGAGCTTTGCAAAGAGCTCATCTTGTCCTTGTTCCATGTCAGCGGTACCTGTGCGATGATGCCACAGGAAGATGGCGGTGTTGTGGATTCTCACCTGAAGGTGTATGGCTCAGCTAATATCCGCGTTGTCGATGCCAGTATCTTCCCCTTGGAGCCGAGGGGCAATATCCAGGCGACTGTGTTTGCGGTTGCTGAGAAGGCGGCAGATATCATCAAGCAGGACCTAACCTAGAATTTTGAAATCAATATCAATGCGATCTTCTTTGGTGACGTTCACGGGGAGGGCTGAGCCTGCTTCGCTTTTTATATATCATCAAAGCCAGCTAGCTATCTACTTCAGAGAACGGTTCTGCTGGGAGAGGTCTACGAAGACGTCAAGATTCATGTTGCAATGTGAGTTGAGATTGTTGTAGAAGTTACATAGGTTCTATACTATGGAATCTGACAGGTTCCTTCGTCGCAATGTGTACACTTTTGTAAAACGATAGCAACAGGTGTCATACGCCTAATGGTGCTCTTCCAAAGTAAGTCAAATGAGGATAAACTAGTGGAGAAGAAAGAAAATAGAACTTCCAATTGGATAGCGGCTGAGATATTAAGCGGTGCAATGCCCCTTGCACCAGGCTTGGGGATTACTCCTAATACTTTCACCAAGAGCAATAGCTCTGGGTTAAATTCGCTTGTCAAGACCTCAATCTCTCGGATGTCCTATTCAATTTCCCGTTGCAGCTGCCGAAGATAATCGAATGTATCCTCCAGAGCCATAACACTCGACATGAGGTCCAAAATCTGCAATTTGCTCTCACGCATCATCTTCGTGTTTGCCATTCGCGTTTGTTGGAATATGCCGAAAATGATGTTTTTGATTGTCTCGCTCTTTTGACAGCATTTCACAATTGGGTAGGACAATTTCCCCTCATCGAGATCTTCGCAGAACCCCTTTCGTTTCGAATAATCTGTCCCTTGAAGATTCATGTAGTCATCGCGAATCTGATACCATTGGCTGAAAAGACGGGCCAGTGGTGGAAGTCCATATGCGAAGGGCGGTGTTTTGCCATTGGCTTGCATAAGCTGAACCATCATGGTCAACATGGCACCAGTATTCTTGTCCACCATAGCGAGGTATTCTGATTCCGTGGGGCAATGGAAATGATGTCTCCAGCTTAGATCCCAACTCTGACCAATGAAGATCGTCTCAAGGCCCTGTAAAATGGCAGTCATCATCTGAGGAGCACCCAGGGCGTCTACATCTTGAGCAGCTTTTGCAAACATGTATGTGGCGCTGTTGATTGATTGCGCAGGTCCGAAAATGAGATGGGTTGCTGTTCTCTCTCGTCGGAGTGGTGAGTTGTCTTGGAAGTCATCCAGGATTAGGGAAGAGTTATGAAGATCATTAATGACATCGTTGATCGCTGCTAATGATTTAGGGGACACCTGCACCCAGATTTTGAATGCATCGATAAGTTTTGAGCGCACATTCTTTGACGAAGAAGACTCAATGTAACGAGCTGGAGCGAGGAGAGCCGAGTCATCTAGAACGGAAGTACTTCTCATCGAGTTCAAATGGGATACTGAAGGTTGAGACTGAATCTTCATGTTCCCTTGGGTTTCATTGCAAGTTTGGTTTATCTTGACTGGCCTGACAAGCGGAACTTTGTCTGTAGGATGGATTTGGTAAAACGAGTTCCTGGACACTTCGTCATTCTCTGCCTCACTTCATTGGTTCCTAGCCTACAAACGAGGAACCGAAAAGCCAATAGTGCCTGCTTAATTCCAGGATGAATTAATAATACCAATTGCACCAAACATTATTAGATGAAGGAATGTAGGCGATGTATCTATTAATCGGGTTGTTGGGATGAAGATATTAAGGCATCAAGGCATCCAGGTGTCAAAGCGTCAAGGCGTCAACGCCAAGGAGGCGAACCACGTGAAGCTTACCAGAACAGACTCGAAGCTCTTACACTGTTGGTATTATTGCCTCCCTTCTCAAATCAGCATGAATGCAAGGGCAATCCAGAGAGCCCCTCCATTGGCATCTTTCATCACTTATCCACGGCAAACGGGGAGATCGCTAAGACTTTCGCCATTGGCTGCTCCAGCCAGGATTGATCATCGACCGTTGCATACAAGGTAAAGCCCCCAAATAATCAATTGACTGTGGCGAATCTGACGATATCTTATAGTTACAGAATATCCTCACCACGGAGCCTGGGTATGTGCATAGCTACTTCTTAGAAGCCCCTACGCTTATCGGCGTATCGTCCCAATGGGGAAATATGCCTGTCCCGCATTTTTTTCTTCTTTTGATTTGCCATGTCTGCGCTTTAATCCAACACTAATATACAATAGGGTCGCATTATCAACCCCAATTGGTACATACAGCCCAATTGACATCGAGAATTCTCACCAGAAATGGTCTACCACGACGTTCAATAACGTCGTTGCATTTGACCCCGCCTGTGAGGAATTTATCCACTGCGCAAGCAGTTGACTCCAAGATGAATTTGAAGTTCCCCAGTCCAGACCTTCACCGGGCTTTTATTGCCCTGGGAAGCAATGTCGGAGACCGAGTAGAAATGATTGAGCAAGCTTGTCTTGAAATGGACCGGGTTGGTATCAAAGTGAAAAGGACAAGTTCATTGTTCGAGACAGCACCGATGTATGTGCTTGATCAAGATACATTCATCAACGGTGTATGCGAGGTATGCTAGCAAAGTTAATGCAATACCCAAACTTGGTAGCCAATCGTTAATTTCCTTCAGGTTGAAACAACCCTTGCACCTTTGGATCTTTTGGACACTGTTCAAGCCATTGAGATTGCTATGGGCAGAAAGAAGCTCATCGACAAAGGCCCACGCTCTATTGACTTGGATATCCTACTATATGATCAGGAGATCTTCTCTCACGAGCGTCTCAACATCCCACACAAACTGATGCTCGAGCGAGACTTTGTATTGCGACCTCTCAGCCAGTACGCCCCCAATGGCTTGATATGCCATACCGACACAAAAGAAAGACAAAACTAACCATCTGAAACTAGATTAATCCCAAATGAATACCCTCCACTACCAGGGAAGGACACGCAAACATACAGCACACATCTGAAGGCTCTCCCGCCACCAGAACCAACGCCAACGTCAACAACCCCAATCTCACCACTATTTCCATCCCTGCGCGCAACAGATCCCAAGCGCAGCACCCACGTCATGGCAATCCTCAACCTAACGCCAGACTCCTTCTCCGACGGCGGCAAGCACCCCGCCACAGACCTAACCTACATAACAGAAACAGTGCGCAACTTCATCGCCTCCGGCGCAACAATCATCGACATCGGCGGCGAGAGCACCCGCCCAGGCTCAACACCTGTCGGCGCAGCCGAAGAGATCGCCCGCGTAGTGCCAGCAATCCAGCACATCCGAACCACGATCCCCGAAGCCGCCAACATCGCCATCAGCATTGACACCTACCGGGCCAGCGTAGCGGAAGCCGCCTGCGCCGCCGGCGCAGACATCATCAACGACATCTCAGCCGGCCTCCTCGACCCAGAAATGCTGCCGACAGTAGCGCGGATCGGCAAGTCCGTGATCCTGATGCACATGCGCGGCACGCCGCAGACGATGACATCCCTGCACGAGTACCCGTCTGGGGTTATCCCGGAAGTGGCTGCTGAGCTGGTGGCGCGCATTGCGGCTGCCGAAGAGGCGGGGATCCGGCGCTGGCGCATTATCCTCGATCCGGGTCTTGGTTTTGCGAAGATCCAGCCGCATGATTTGGAGATATTGCGGGAGTTGCCGAGGCTGCGTGCGATGCCGGGGCTTGAGTGCTTCCCTTGGTTGATGGGGCCTAGTCGGAAGAGGTTCATTGGTCATATTACTGGGGTAAAGACGCCGCGGGAGCGCGTTTGGGGTACGGCTGCTACTGTCTCTGCTAGCGTGGCTGGTGGGGCGGATATTGTTCGTGTTCATGATGTTCATGAGATGTGGCAGGTGGCGAAGGTTGCGGATGCGATTTATCGCGTTGATTGAGGTCGTACTTGCTACGTCACTTATTATATACATGTGGCCTTGCCCTGCTGCTTTATATATGGGGCCTTTTTTGTATTCAACACTTGGGTGTGACTTGTACTATCATGTACTACTGTGTTCTCTTCATTCATCATGGAGTTTTGGTTGAGCGGTGCGGGACTTGAGAGATTGGAGTTGTGCTTTTGTCAAAAACTCTTGTCTATCAATAATATCAAATCATGAATTTCTCGATTATCCTAAAACATATCAACGAAATGAGCAAAATAAAATAAAAGGCCCCTTCGATCATCCTGTGTTGCTGTGTAGGAATGCGAAGAAGCAAGGAAAAAGACAAAAAATCGTCAATCACACGCCAGATTGCAAACCAGAATGATATGAGACCCAAGATTTTGGCCGACTGCTTATCGCAATGGTTTTTCCAGGTAAAGAAATATTGTCAAGGGGGCGAGGTGAGCAGGGGGAGACACAATATACGTCGTGCACGAAGAGGACGGGACTGGGGGTAGTCAGGGAACAATGTTGCTTGCTAAGGTACTTGGGGTGATAGAAGGCGTAATATCTGATGAACGTGGGCGACTAGCCTAGTTGTTCAGATAGTTGCGGATAGCACCTGATGATACTCAGTCAGCAAGAAGTGGTTACATGACCAAATAAAAAATTTCTCACCTTGTAGCTTAGTTGCACCTTCGCCGACAAGATGCGACAGGTTCTCAATATCATCTCCAGCCGTGATACCAAAGCGGCGGATGAAATCTTTAGCAGCAACCTCCATATCACCATACCCATCGTCAAGTGAATTGAGCTCATCCTCGGGCCGGCCGAAGTAGGTGTTGCTAGAAATGGATGTAGCGCTATCGAATTGACGGAGACGTTCCTTGGCCTCCGACTGGGCGGCGGGATCAAACCGCTCCCGTCCGAAGAATTCATCAGACGAAATACCCTTCTGAGTGCCAAATCGGGTTCTGGTCTGGGTGAGTTCCGCTTCTGTGACGAATGTTAGCTTATTTTTCATATGTTGTAATTGTACGATCAACGAGGGAAATTTACCATCAGCAGGGTTGGGCTTGGCAGGGCCAACAGAACCAAAGGTTGGCTTCTTGGGGGCGACGGGCTTCGACACCTGGCCAAAGCCAAGTCTGCTTACACCCATGCCTAGTCGCTCCACATCACCCGAGTTTCGGTCGTTAGACTTGCCAGCAGGGCTGACTGGGATAGGAGAAGCGATCGGGATAGCGGCGGCAGCAGTGGCCTTCTTGGCCTCGGCTTCTGCCTGCTCAGCCTCGGGGTCGTAGCCAAGCTTTTCAATACGCTCAGCCTCTTCCTTGGCCTTGCGCTCTGCCTCGTCGAAATCAATTATATCCGCAGCAGCAACCTTCTTAGCCCCGAGCTTGGGTGCCTTCTTGGCACCGAGGACACTGCCCTTCTTTGCAGAGCTAGCTGCAGTAGAGGACTTCCGAGTAACACTGGTGGGCCGGATTGCAGTAGGTGCGGGAGATGCGCTCTTTTCTTCCGATGCAGACAAGGGGGATTTCGAGCGGGATCCATTTGCGTTGGCACCAGCGTTCAAGAAAGGAGAGCCGGTCCGGCTGACAACGGGGGGCGTATTGGTGCGCGATGGGGGTTGGCTCGGACGCTTGATCGAGGGCTTATCCCAGGAGGAAAAGAAATCGTCGTCACCGTCGCCAGCAGGGGTGTTCGACCCATCTGAGGGAGTGCCAGCGGGGAGATCTGTGATGATGACTTCGCCGGGGTACCTAAATAAAGCAATAACACTGGTTAGCACGTGGTCCTGCCAGTTCCACCGAGATTGGATCCACTGACTGTTGCGCATCCAGCGCAGCGCGCCTCTTGAGTTCCTCCTTATACTTGACAGCCGCATTGCACGTGTATTTGACCTTGGTGTCCTTGCTCGCCAGCGCAGCGGAACCTCCGTGCGATTGGAAATACTTAGTCGCAGACTCATTTCCGCCAACCTTCATAACCCGCAGTTGCTCCCATTGCCACTCTGCATGAAATGTCAGCGTTGCGCTACCGGCACATTTGGCGTGTAAAGAAATTGTGTGGCAAGATACGTACGGTCGAGGTTTGTTGATCGGACAAAGGAGATGTGCACACCGAGATTACGGTGGTGAGCTGAACAATCAAGGCACAGGTAGATACCGAATGGAACTGAAGACCATGTCGGGTTTTTAGTGCCGCAGTCGAAGCACACCTAAAAGCAAAAACATCAGAATCGAGTGCCACAATCATACAGCGTACGGGGGTGGGGGTGTGCGCACCTTGTTCGCGGGCTTCAGCTTGGCCTTCTCAAAGATTTTTTGAGACTGCGCCTTTGTGGCACTCATGATGGTACCGAGGAGAGATCAATGGGAAAGAGAAAAGGAAAATGGGGGTTTGGGCGAGAATGTGAGCAGGTGAGGCAAAGAGCAAAGCATCCCGAGTCGGGAACGGCGAACGTGGACTCTCTCGACCCTGTCCCTGGTGTAATCGTCATACAACGCCTCCCATTTGGCCGGGACCTTCTCC